TTTTTGTTTTTCGATTTGTGGAAAGTATTGAATTTCAAGCTACAAGATATTTAAAGATGTCTGTGCTTCTTAATTTGGATGATGAAGAGAAGGATGTATGGTTATAAACCTATATGTACAAGTACATGTACAGTGTATATCATCTATTTGGAGCCAGAAGGGCTATTTCACTCACATACCTGTACTCTTGCATCACTAACATCCGTTTGGCTCTTAAAGATAAACTTGAGTTCTGGTAAAAAAAGAAAATGAATTCTCACAGAATCTAACAAAACTTACACTGAATGTTCAAGATTACAAATAAATGTCATGTGCCAAACAATTTTGGAAGAAAATGTATGCTGGCTGAGTAGTGAGCATAGAAAGATAAGGAAATCAGGGTAGTACTAGCCCCGACAACATGTGTGTTGTCCCATATACATCTTTATGTGTAAGTGATTGTTACTTTACCAAGACTCTGCCAAATTTATGATGATTTTGATGACTCCAGAACCTTGCATTACACACCATTACTTACATGCTATATGATCAACTTTTCTGATCCATTCCACACCTTTTCTTTCACAATGCAATCGCATTACCAGAACTCAAGTTTATCTTTAACAGTAAAATTTAGTATGACTATGATAAGGGGACGTGGGCCTGCCAATATGAAAGAAATAACTTTTCTGCTTTTGACAGTCAGAAGGACATTCACTACAATACATGTACATGTACTGCATGTTACACTGGAAGGCGATGCTCTTAAGACCCTCAACTAGCAGTCAATATCTCAAGTCCTCTTAAAACTGTTCATTTATGATAAAATTAGCATAAGCGTGATAACAATACAAACTTAATGTGAGAGAAGGACCATCACTCTCTTCTCACATCTGCATAAACACCGATGGTAATGACTGTTATGAAAAGGGAATTCTAAGATTAATACCGGCTAAACTACAGAGTAGAAACATAAACCAATGCTGTGGTTAGGGAACATCCTTTATTCCACAAAATGGATCTTCTAAATTGTAGGTTACTAGGAAACCTGATCCAGTTTCACTCTTCAGAACAAGGACTTGAACACGCACACTGACGTTGCCTCAAGAAATCCTACCAACAACATGCACAGCGATTTTTTGTTTTGCAGAGCATGATATACTTTTTATAGGGTTTGATATTTAATGCATGATTTGCAACTGACAAACCTAAGGCTATCAAGTACATATGTAGCATGTTTTGTCTTCCCCTTTTCTCTTTTCTGTGCGTATCATGCTGTTACCTCAGGGAGTGTAAAATTCTCCCAATGAAAGCTTAAGGAGACTTTAAGTATTATACACAGAATATAATAGACATTATCTCTTAAAATGGTAACGGTATGTGGAGTTAATTTTCTTTTTTTTAATTAATTTTTTTAAAGAAAAAAGAAGTCCTCAACTGATTATGTGCCATGGCAATTATCTCTCCACTGCATTTCTCACAAGATAGTTGTACCAATATGTTCAAGGTTATTTTGCGGTTTAGAAGGTGTTAGAAGGGCCAGGGTTGTCATTTAAGCTATATAATAAAGGCCAGATATTTGTTAATTTTGCAAAGCTTTTGTGTTGCACAAAGCAAATCTTCAGTCAATTGATGCAAATCGTTTTGTGCAAATCAACACGTGTGGCAGACAAGCGATTGTATAAGTTCGAACTTGTGGCAAAGGAAAGGTTAACTGTACTCTGAAATAAAAAAAATTGCAGGGAGGACACTTTTAACGATTTTGTCACAAGTCACAACACTGAAATGTTGTCAATTCTTGGAAGTTCTTCCACCTAAAATGGCCATCATGAACAATTCACAAAAGTTTCAGGTTTTAAAAGTTACTGGTCTACAGATATTACAATTTTTTGTCTTCAATTTTGTTGTTGATTAAAATTGCTTTTATATGCCACATCATGAATTACATTTAAACCAGTACACTGCAACAAGTACCCTATATGAAAAATATCAACTTGTCTTTTTTTTTGGAGATTCATTTCCAAGATGCATTACATGCATGTACATATCTGTTTATGTTTTTATAATACTAGTTACTACATACATGTAAAGTATCTGATGTGTTTGTGATGTGGTCATTTGTACACATTCTTCCTCTTTTACTACTTAACAGAAAGTTTGTTTGATGAGACTACATGAAATATATATGAATGGCAGACCTCTCAGATTAGCATTAATTATCAAGATCATACTGTATTTCGGCTTTGGCAATAGTTTCCTGGAATTAGTCACAATCGGAAATCCCATTTAGTCATTAATTGTTCATTCAAAGTCTTGTTTATGGGTTACATGATATGTGTCATTATGGTTTCTCTTCAAGTACCATTCATACACTACATACTACATGTACATGCACAACATGGGTGAATGTGAATGTATGCTAGTGCTGTAAATTGGGAATTATATTATATAGGTGGCCTTCTTAAGATTTTGTTTCCATCCCAGAATTGGGAAAAGCATCAATTTGGAAAAAACAAACAAACAAATAAACCAACAAACTAACATACACTGAAGTGCTCATGAGATAATTCATCAGCTGTAAATGTAAATGTTAGTGTCTTGTAACTGTTCATATTAAACTCTCATATACACGCACTTCGTAAAACACAGTTTGATCTTCAGCCTGTTTCATGAAATTGTTTGAGCACGACTGCCATCTTAAAGACGTGACACCACACTTTGGGTTTTGGATGTAATGCATGAGGCGTGAGGATAATCTTCAGGCACACACCCTCTTTCACTTCAGATACAAATTGCACGGTCTGAATTATTTCGGTCGTAGACTAACATGAATGTACACATGTAGATGATCGAGGCCCTGGGAGAATTTGTAATGCCATATTTCCCCAAAACATGGAGCTGATTAAAATGTTGCTAATGCCAACTTTTATTTTCCTATAGCACATACACTGTAACTTGAGTCTGTCATGGAGACTGTTGTTGTGTAAAGATTAAATCTGATTCTAACCCACCCTCCACTCAATCCCCCCCCCCCCCCAAAAAAAAATCAATATAGTGTGAAAGAGTATTCATATTGGCATTTAGCTACAATACATTGTTTATTACTGACTGCTGTCAGTGCTGTGACAAGATCCTATGGGTGCATTGCAGAGACATTCAACAAATATCTGGATGAATGCTATCATGATCCTCCTTTTCTCAATATTTTGATTATTTTATTTACTGCATAGTAAAGTGCTTTATGAGATTAATTTCCAATTCACTTTAATTTCTAAGGATAATCCATTCTAGACCTTAGATCGTTTTTATCCTATTTTTCATGAAAGCAAGATAATTATTTCTGATTGAATGTCGAACCCTGCACTACGGTTCAGTGCGATGTTGATGATGATTGATAAATCAACTGTGGAGTCGACACGCAGATAAATATTTTGCTTGGGAGAGTCGGTCCGAATGGACCGCTGAGCTTTCAGGATCTAAATGACCTGGGACTCTGGCAGTAATTACATCAAAATGGAAGCGGTGAATGGAAGCTAGCGTAGCCACTCAACAGTTATATTCTTAACTAGTCAGGCGTGACTTATACCGAGACAACAGAAATTGTTTTTGAGCTTGTCACATGACCTTTCAGTGAACCTCTAGTTGGGTCACATCCAACTCCCATGTGTAATTTGGCTCCTGGTTCGCCATGATGACATTAGTCTTTCAACCCCAGCCTTTTCGATGAATTCAGTTAAAACTGCTATATTAAATACATTAAAAAGATGCTGATTAAAAGACTAGTGCAGCTCATCCTTGCATGCTTTTGATATACGAAGCAGTGCACAAGAAACTTCTATTTATTTTTTATCTACAAGTTAAGAAAATATATTTTTATTACAAGATTATCCAAAGTTGGACTGATAATAGAGACTAATGTGACCTCTCCTTTCCCACCCCCCCCCCCTCAAGTGCTGAGGATGGTGTAGAGCTACGAGAGCTGACATGTAGTTTTTTCTGACAGGGAAACCTTGCAGTTGTAATTGGAGCATTCATTATTATTTTTTGCCTCCCTGTTTCTCTGACCTACATGTACTTGCGTTGGCTGTTATGGGTCACACAAGGGGCTAGCTAGGTTTGCCTGCATATTGACACAAGCATCTTTGGGCCTACTTGTCTCATATTCTTCAATTTTCTGCTTTATGCTTAGACTTACAATGTAGGCCTTCATACATGTAAAGGCCTTCTGTCCAAACTCTCTCAAATTCACAACTTGTGGGTAGTTCTCTTGTTTAGTAATGCTTATTAAAATCTAAGATGATTACTAGCATATTGTCTAGTGTTACGGAAATAGTAATTCACAACGTAAATTTGTCATGAACTTGAGTGTGCGTGTTTGTGAATGTGGGTATGTATTGTGTACAGTTGTGAATTGGGTGATAATGATGTGACATAAATTGTAATTACCTGCCTTCCGGTTTTACTATGCATTCCAATGATTATGGGGGATTTTGAATGAGTGCCAATGAGCTTTGAAAATGAATCATTCAAGAAAGAGGGAAAATTGATAGTCAACACAGATCTTAAGGACCTGTTCCTGTGAAATGTAAAGGGTAATTGTAATTTTCACATTAGTTTTATGTATATGCACAAGATAAGCTTCACGTTTGTAATTTTGTATGTCCCCAAAACCGTAACTGTCAAAGCTTGAATAAAGGATGAAATGACTGATAATCCAAATTTGTTAACAATATTCCAGACCGTAACATTAGTAAGACCAGACATAATGGCCTGAATTCACAAAGGAGGTTAATATTTTACCCATGGTCTAAAATAAGCGCAAAATAAGCCCGACACAATCAGAGGTCCAATATCAGACGCGCGCAAGGCAAGGTATGCTTATTTTGCGCAAATTTTAGACCATGGGTTATGTAAATGAGGGTTTAAACCATAGGTTAAGTTAAACCTCCTTTGTGAATTTGGGCAAATGTTTAGCGTTCTGTACTTGTGATGCTCTTTTCAATGATTAATTATGTTTTTAGGCAGAGAAGAGGGCGCACCACAATGCCTTAGAGCGTAAGAGAAGAGATCACATCAAGGATAGCTTCAGCATGCTGAGAGACTCCGTACCAAACCTCCAGGGGGAAAAGGTTAGTGTATGTATCCAATAAAGAGTCACTGTAAGAAAATGGTTTAACAGAGCTGCCAACCATTACATTTTTTTCCCAGAATTTTTCTGTTTTTTCCTCCAAATTACAGTAATACGTCTTTTCTTCATAAACTACAATTAAAAAAAAAATACATAATTAATTTTTTTATTTTTTTACATCCCGCACGTCAAATAGCTGCCCTGAAATGTTGATTTGATCACAAATTCGACAGAAAAGTAAGGTTAAAACATACTTGAAGATAAAAATATTCTCAAAAAGAATGAAACATTGATAATACAACCAAAAAAATATACCACTTGTAGATAAACTGTAGGTCCTAATATGGAAAAAAACCAGTATGAGAAATGGACATTTCTGCATTGGAAGTGTTTTGTGCGTGGGTGTAAGTTTCACTTTAATAAATTCCTTTTTTTTGCCATCATGGTTCCTTTTTCTGGTCGCACAAGGTTGGCAGCTCTGTGTTTTAGTTTGTAATTGTAGACACAAATTTTTATCATTGTTTAGGCTGTGAGACTATACTGATTGTATGTTCTACTGCACACTGTGCAGGCTCTGTTAATAATTTTATTTGATGCAGAAAGCCAGAGACTGACATATGCTCTGCTAATTAGGCTTTAGGAATTGTGGGAAAGTGTCTAATCAGAGTCTGTTTTTATTTTACTGGTTCAAACAATCCATCTACTGTAGGATAAACAATCCAGAATTAATTATAGCTATGTTCTCTCGACATACGATTCCCGTACCAGAGCCCAAGATTAGCTTTAACCAACTTTTAATGCATACATATCAGTTTAGTCCAGTTTACCTCATAAAGGGACATCCTTGAAAATGACCTTTCTTTAATCTGGTTCAAAGCTTTAGGCATTACTCATGGAAGTGCTGGAAGCTGTGGTTATTTATCAAAATCATTGAACTCATTAATAGGAAGTAAATGGACCAACTAGTTACTATACAATGTGTAAACAACATGAAAATAGAACAAAACGTTAACTACAGTGCAATCATCACCTAAAATTGGAAGTCTGGTTTATACGTCACGTCACGTTAATATCTATTGTCTGCCCACTGCTTGTGCAACAGTGCAGAAGTAAGGTCATGCAATGCCACAACCATGACAGACAGACGTGGGCTAAATTTGACAAGTAACCCCTTGAGCTCTAATGGGATAAAATTGGTATCATTTTGCAATAGCCGATGACTCGTATGTTTGCTTTTCATAAGTAGACATAGAAAGGTGAAGCAGAGCAAACAAAATGGATGACGGGTGGGGAATTCCAAAACTGGTGTCACTGGAGACTTGTTGGAATTGGAAAATTTAATAATTCAGTAATTCCCAAATACCTTTACATTAGAGTAAATTTGAATTTGAAAACACAATTTGTAGTAAAATGAAAACAAATAGTGCTCATGTGTCTTCGAGTGTGGATTGCAAAGAAGAAAAAAAAAGGAGAAAAAAGGTTGATTGAACAAGTACAGGAAGAAAGTATTAAGTTGGGTTAAATGTGATAATGAAAAGAAGAACTAGTAGTAGAGGAACTTACAGGGTGGGGGCTGGGGAAGGGGGGGGGGGAGGGGAGGGTACAAAGAGGAAGGACAGTGACTAATTAGATACTTGTAAAATAAGGACGCCTATCTAAACATACAAAAAGTGAATGATTTGACTATGCAGATCCTTGTCAAAAAGTGTGAAATCATATAATTTAGAAAATTGAGGAAATGTTGATCTGTTTGTTCTCATGCTCATGTTGATGGTAAAAGTTTTAAGAAAATGGAAATTGAATAGAAATGATAACGATAATCATAATAATCAGTAATAAGTGTACTCTAATATATTTCACTCTACAGGCATCCAGGGCGCAGATTCTCAACAAAGCAACAGATTACATTCAATTCATGAGGAGGAAAAATAACTCGCATCAAACTGATATAGACGACTTGAAAAAGCAAAACTCAACATTAGAACAACAAAGTGAGTATCTCTGCATTTTTCTTTGTGCATATGCAGTATATTTTAGTTAGCAGAGTCAGATAGTATAATAGATATATACCAAAAATCTTTTCAGCAGCACACTTCATCGCAAAAACGAGGAAGAAGATGGTATTTGGGAGTTCCAACTTTTCATATCAATGCAATTTACCTCTGAAATTTTAGCTGTTCAGCTACAGCCTTTGTTAGCAGTGTGACCTGATTTGACCTTTCTGGCTCGAAGGTCAATGACCACCTGGTTATTGACCACCCATTGAAAAAAGGTGGTATTGTTTTACTTTCAAGTCTCGTTTTGAATGCCCAGCATATTCGATCGTGCATGAGTGAAGTTGAAATTGTCAGTAAAGCAAATTACAATGTATATGAATTATGATATTAATGGAGAGGGGACTACTAAGTATTTCATTGAATTTCAGTGAATTTGGTTCATTACACCACAGTTAGTGATGTAATGAAATTGACTGAGATATTTGTATGAATGCGAAATCATTTTTAAGATATGGCATGTAGGCTGTCTCTACTTCTGAAATATTGATGTAATATCCTTACCAAATAATTTTTGTAACATATCAGTCCATTACCCAATAATGAATAATGAAAATGACAGTAAGGTATTTTGTGAGTCAATTGTAGGCTTGACTCAAGACACAGTGGACTTCTTTAAAATGCAGAAAATCTGAGTCTGAACAGGCAGACTATATGTAAAGTCTATCTTATATAATATGTTGCCATTTCACACACACACCACTTGATACCTGAAAGGTGGGCGTGGTTTAAACTTAGGACCATGTCATGCCAGTGAAAGAGCATTGGCCCTTCAGTTGTTTTGAGAAACTCGTCTTTTAGGATTAAGGGAGTTTCAAGGCTACGTCTCCTTTGTGTGTAATCAGTCTACCTGTCTGTCTGTGTGTCTTATGGAGGCATCTTATGACCTATTGTTAGACGAGGTCATTCAACCTTGGCAGGGGATTAGTGGCAAACAGAAGCAAGATAGGGTTGACAGTACTCTGTCTGGTGTGCATTAAAGGACAACCACACTCGTTCATTCGTGTCTCCTTAGATCAAGATTAATGTATCGTGATCTTCGGAGTAGTTGCTACTTGACTTGCAATATACAAATTGAACTGTGGATTATTCTTAAGATCATTCAAGCAAGTACATACAAAATGTACTCATTTATAGTTTCGGACACATTATTGTGCACATGTACAGTATACATGTTTAATATCACCTAAAAATCTGATGAACTGTGCGTAGTGCCTTCATTTCAAATTTGTTCATGTTTTTACCAAATATCCTCCTGTTTTAGAATACTTTACCAGCAATTAATAATAAAGCCTTTGACATCATACATGTAATCATTTTTATATTATATATATATATATTCTATGTATGTTATAATTAACCCAAATATGAATGTACATGTAGCTGTTCTTTGTGTCTTTTCTGCAGTTATAGAGTGAGACATGCCACAATGGCTAATATAATTAAAATTAAACAGTCATTTGTGTGATTGCATATTTAATATAACATTCTTTTATATTTTAAATGAATTGCGAAATCATTTAAGTTGTGAGGATTTGTTTTTACTTTCCAAATATATCAAATTGAATTGAAATGTTGAAAGCATTGGCCCTTTAAAACATGTGTAGCATTGACATGCTGAAATAAGTGTCAGTTTATGAATGGCTCCTCCAACATACTTGAAAGCAGAGACAACAAGTAGCCCTAACATTCTCCAAAATATAACATATACACTTTAAGAAATACTTAGTGACAATGATGATGATGATGATGAATAGGTCTGTATAAATACATTGTTGATCCATTTTAAGAACATAACCTTAATTATCTTTCTGCTTTAATATCCTCTATTCCTTTTCTGTTTTGTTTTGCTTTCTCTCTCCCTCTCCCTCTCTCTCTCTCTCTCTCTCTCTCTCTCTCTCTCTCTTTCTCCTCCCTTTTCCCTTCTTCTTTCCCCCTCCCTTCCTTTCCTTCTTTCTTTCACTTCTGCAGTTCGTCTCTTGGAGAGATCTTCGACGGGGGAAGTAGCCAAGACCAATGGCATCATTCTCAACACCAAATTATCTCACTACGACGCCGGTTCCGAATCCGACTCGAACTCCTCAGACAATCATCCCAAACCAGGTCACAAATCTCGCAAACGCTTAAAAGGCGAACACTCAGGGAGTTCAAAATCTAGCAAAAAGAAGGATGACTCGAGGTGATCGTGTCCATCCTCTCTTTTTATTCAAATGAATTTATACACTTGTGCTTTTTTTATTATTATTATTTTTTTCTTCAATGAGCAATCAATTTTTGTGTGTATTGTTCATATTCCTAGAACCTTATTGATTGCCCATGTGATGTCTTGTCTTATTTTGTGAGTGGTTATGTCAAAAAAAGAACAGTGCTGCGGTTTAATAAGAACTTTGAAAAGACACGTTCAATTTTTTGGCCAAGATTTATTAACTGCAGATGGGGGGGGGGGGGGGGGGGGGGGGGGGGTTCACTCCGATATTCTATGAGTTCAAAGTAGCAAGTTAAGGATTTTGATGGGTAATATATTTATAGTTAATTAAAAGAAAGATGGTAAGCGAGAGCTAGACGTAAGAAATAGGGTGCATTTATCAGCGTTTTCAAACATATTTCAGGCATATTTGCATGGTGATAAACGCAAGCCTGTTTATAATATCTTTAGATGTGGGTATATTGAAACGCTGAAAAATTGCGTTTTGAATGTGAGAATGAGCCAGAATCACGTTTCTGAGAGATGATAAAGGCAAAGCTGCTTTGAAACACACATACATATTGGACCTTCCCAGGCTAATTTCCGGTTCAGAGAAATAGCGCGAGCCATGTGCCGTGCCCTAAAATTGACCTCCGAGCAACTCTCTGCTTCCCTGGTCAAAGGCGCAAAGCAGTTGCGCAGAGACAAGACCTTAATTTCGAATCTTGACGACTTAATTAACGCGACATCGTGCAAATCAAGTTTGTATAGTGGGAATCGATATGTATGTGTAGAAACGCCATTTCTGAGTGGCACAAGATGATAAACGCACCCATAGTTAGATGACATGATACTAATATCACCTTTGACTCAAAGTCGAAGAAGAGGTCGTATTCCAAGGACAAAAATGATACCACTATTAAGCCCTGTTCAGATATGGCATGATGAACCACCGCAAAAAAGAACTGCCACAATATTTTGAACTTGTTAAGGAATACCGCTGCATATCTGAACAGGGCTTAATTTAATTGTGTTGTGCATTTAAAGCTCGAGTCCCGATTGTAAAAGAACGTGGAGTTATTATACCCACTGTTTGATAGAAGAATGGTGGATTGTTAAAATGTGTGGTGTATCGATCCAGAGGTAGGATTATTTGAATAGAGTCCCATACATAATATTAAATATATAATAGATATCAATTTGATGGGAGTATTTATTATTAAAATGGAGGCAGATATTGATCTCGGTTCACTTGGTGTGAAGAATTTGACTTTTTTTCTTCTTCATAGAATTTGATGGAATTAAGAGTAGCTGAAGAGGAAGTTAAGTTTGGGTATTTTAAATGGGTAAGAATATTAGAGGAAAGAATTTTTAAATATTCTCTTCCCTCCCCCATCCCTTGAAAACAATATGCTTGCCTCATGGACAAAAATTTATTCGGTATAACGTCCTCTTTCAAGAAAGAATGTCATCTATTTTTGTATGTATTTATTTGCTATGCATTTAACCTTTCGTTTATTGTTATCTACACACATCCAATGAAATTTAGAAAAGAGTCAAAGATGTAAAATATACCTTACTTGTATTTTAACATCTCTAATTGTTAATCAAATTGTTTTTTGAACTTTTTTGTTTTATTGTTACACATGTCAATTAGCAAGTACAGTTAAAACCTAGGGAATAGACTGTGACATCGTCTGCAGAGTGAAAGAATGTTCATTCACGGAAGAGTGTTTAAAAAGCTACGGTTTAGTGATTTTTTTTTTTAGAATAAAGAATGTGACACTGTTTGTCTAAAACAAAAGAGAACAGAGGCCATTATTTTGTTCATCTTTTCTTTGGAAAGAAATGGCATTTCAAATCGACATATATCAGCATTTGAGTTTGATGTTGATGTTATAATATCAGGGAATATGTAATAGTTATTATTAAATCTATCAATACTTTATAATTTATTCAAAGTTTTGTCATTAGATCATGGTGAGACATTTTCCTGTCAAAGTGTTTTTTTGTTCAACTTTTTTTTCTCAATTGTCTTCTTTTGTTGCTGCAATGTAATGCTCGAGTGAGGTTATATTTTGATAAATCAAAATGCTGCTATTCGACTGCAGTTGAAGAAAAACAAGGCAAACAAGTTGAAAACTAAGAGCACTTTAAGTATGGATGGATACAGTTATGATGGCGATCTGTATTGGCCAAGGCGAAAAGAATAGTTGGACAAAAGTGTTTTTGTTTTATTGTGTACATATAGAGAGAGAGAGAAAAGACATTATTTTTATCTTCCAGTTTCACAATTTTCACTGTAGGTATTCTGAAAGCTGGGGTGGTATTCTGAAAACCGTGTAATTTATTTAGGTTAGTGAAACGATGTTTATCGTCATAACATAACTTAGGGCAAGCCAATGGTTCATGTCTGCACAAAGCTTACTCGCTTTGTGTAATGTTAAAGAGACAATTGTGCAAGCACTGACGGCAACTGTCAGTTTTATGCAATTTAAATTCATTATGACAATCAACATCATTTTTTCCTAACATAATGGATAACATCGTTTTCAGAATACGACCCATGAACAATATCAATGGAATGTAGGTCGTATTACCGCTAATCATTTCATGGCATGAAATCTTTGCCAATATCACTTTTTCATGAAATTTGCCAAAGTTTCTGATTTGACACAAATTTTCTGTCTTGATAACGTTCCAATGTAATTTTATAAATCTTTAACAGATTTTGACACAATTCTTACACACAATTTTCTTTAAATAAAAAGATATCTTAAAGTACCTGTAGTCCTTTTCTTTCAAACTCAATAAGTGATCAATAAAGTCTTACTCAGTTTGTACTGTGGTAATATGCTTGTACAGGTGTGCATTGTTACGAGTTACAGAAGAGATTTGTACAGGTATGTAGATGCTATCACTTTATTTGCTTTATCAGTTCACTGATGTACATGTACAGATGACATCATAGTCTCGATTGAAAAGGAGGGCATACTCTTAGTATTATTGTACAGATAAAATGATATCATGTGAGTGAATAGACAGTTTTATCTTTACTCTTCATCAATGACACGACTGGGGGGGGGGGGGGGGGTGTAACCATAATATTTCTGAGAGGGTGGTGTATTGTGTCGATTTATTTGCTTTCACATTTATTATTTATGAATTGTGTACTCAAGATTCATGTCTACTTTTGATGTATGACATGTGCTCCAGCGACAAACACTCCGCGATCAATTTAGAAAAAAACTTGTCGGATTAAAAACTTGATCATTACCAAATTCCTAATCCTAAATCCGTGTGGAGATAAATCCTGGAGTTAATGTCGCTGGAGTTGGATCACCATAGTTCCGCTTGATATCATTTTGTCCATTTGGAGCCGGAAGGGCTTAAACTTGTATGCTTTAAATACAGCGTTAACGCCCTTTGGGTCCTGAGAAGATGATTTGCAGTACATAAATACAAGTGTATTCTTCATTCCCAAATATGAAGTATTCTGCTACATGCACACGCCAAGATCGTTAACATTCAGTGAATATTATATTCTTATTTGTTGTTTTGTTTGTTTTTCAATTTAAAAAAGACAATAAACGTTGGGAGTTAAAATGGACGATTGGACGTCAAAGAATTGATTTGGATCAATCAAAACTATTGAATAAGATAGGGCCCTGAGCTTTATGTGTACATTGTGCAAGTGGCTGCTGATTGGACAATCCTAAACAACCAATCAGAATCTGTTGTATATGAAGCAGCAGACTTACAGCTAAGATCTTGATTGTGATTGGCCAGTTGAAAATGTTGAATTGAGTACCCCGGTAAAAGAAGTTACAATCAATGACATACAGTAGTTGGAGTTGCTATTTAAACAAAAATTGGAAGTTTTAATCTTGAAGATAAGGGTAAACCTTTTTGGTATGTACTACGTCTAACTTTCAGGGAATTTGCTGCTAAAATGAGGTTTCTTTAATATATATTTTTGGTTGTGAATTTTGCAATAAAATCACTTCTGGGGGAATATCTAGTGGCCCTTTAGCTCAAATTGATTTGAGTAAATCAGAGGAGAGAACTTCTGAAGTTTAAAGGTTTCTTTAGGGTCTTGTTTGGAGATGCAGTACTCTTAAGGAATACAGGAATATGTTGAGGAAACGTAAGTAAAGAGTGATATACATGTATCTGTAATAGGAAAATACTGTACTGTTGTCAACCCTTAGATAATTTCCTTGTGTGTATTTGAATAGCATTGTCTTTTTTTGGTGAAAAGTTGTGATTTTTATTCTCAAGATGTGTTCTTTTCACTTTCTTTTTTTCTTCACTGGATTGTGAAGAACTTTGTAAATAACAGAAAGAGCTAGCACCAGTCGTGAATTGGGAGCTATGACTTGGATATATTATGCATGTTACTCTTGGAGTAGAGAGTAATAAGGGAGAGCGGACGACAGAAAGATAGTTGTGTTCGTAGATATGTTTATGTGTATGTGGAAGGAGAAAGGAGATATTTGATACAGAAATAAAAAAGCTTTTTTGATGTAGAAATAATGTGAAAAGTGCATTCTTTCTTGTTTCCACCTTGTGGTATCTTAAGGACTTTAAATTGTGTGTAAATAATTTCCGGGTTTCACTTTCAACATGTGCTCATGAGCTTTAAAATCTCGCTTACTTAGTTCTCAAAGTCATTGACAAAACTTACTGACCATAATACGAAACATACAGTCTACAATCGTCTGAAAACATATTATCTATAATTCTCAATTTGCACTTAGACTAAAGGAGAGCATTTAGTATCCTCTAGAAAAGTAGCAATATAAATATAATTGTTGGTGTTATTAATACATAATACCAATATCCCCTAATAAAATTGCGTACAATGTTTAAATTGTTTACTTCAGTAAAGTATTTCTGTTTCGTCTAAAACAAGGACATTGTAGCAGTCCCTTAATATTTGCCAATAAAGGACAATGCATGTTTACAAATACAAATATTGACTGCTTTGAGTGGCACTGATAAAACCACTGCCCAAGGTGATCTGGAAACTGCAGTGTACTATCGAGAAGCTATAGTTTTAACCACAACCCCAAAATAAGCATTCAATATTTGTATTTTTTTATCCCCCATGTCAAAAGGCCATTTTCGTAATGTAACCAAATTGAATGCATACGTCTTTGCGAAGTGCCTCAATACAAATTATTTCATTCATCTGATAAGAATAATAGTATTTCAATAGACAGAATCCGAACTGCATACATTATTTGTTGCCAGGTAGGACAAACATTACGGCTTGACCTATCTAGCAACACTTATATATTTAGTTTGCATTCTGACTATTGAATTACTATTATTATTATCCTGTGCATGAAATAATTTTCATTGAGGCACTTCACAAAGACATGCATTCAATTTGGTTACATTACGAAAATGGCCATTCTCAAAGAGACACTTTAAATAAGATTTGCCTGTCAAAATGCATTCATTTGTAGGGTCTAGGCACTATGAACATGACAGACAAAGAAAGCGGACAAAATATAGTTCCTCAGGTAGACAAAGGAACATCCCTTCACTAGCTGCTATTATGTAAAAAGGTGAATATGCATGTGACACCTGTTCTACAAATTTTTACATAATAGCAGTGAAGGGATGTTCCTTTATCTACCTGAGGAACTGTATATTTTGTCCGCTTTCTTTGTCAGTCATGTTCATAGTAAGGGTAATTGTGTCTCTGCATGTATCCACTTTCACGCAACCATTGCATCCTTGCATTGTACAAGAAAGCAGAACTATGCTCTGTCAACATTTTTTCGTTATACACGTTCTGGCCAGCAGTTGGTAGCTAATTTCATGCCTGTAGGTTTGATGTATTGTAAGCCTAGGATGCATTGAAACAATTTTTTGAAGCTAGAATCACAAATCAACAAAGCGATTTTTAGCAACCGTGATACAAAACGCATCTCTTTCAGCGTTTTGTGTTTTGAAACACGTTTATTTTGATGACCGACGAAAAATCGCTTGAACGCAACCATGTTTTATACTAAAAACGTCTTTGAAAACCGTGTTTCTAGGGTAAAAAAGCGTTGCTTCAACGCACCCCTAGAATCTTCATAAGTGGCATACAATGAAACATATGGTATGGCATTTTTAATGATTTATGCCAACCTCATTGTATCAATTGTTTCATTTTCAATTCCATAAGAGTCAAAAGCAAACATCACTGTAAATTACTTTATACAAAGTAGAAATACAATACAAAATATAAAGTACCCGGTAAAGGAAAATACAATAGATATTTGAAATACATTTTAAGTGAGAATTCACTGCAACAATGCTATTATAACACTTGTATGTTGATCAGTAGGAAGAATTGAGGAATACAGCACAAAAAAACAACTCATTTTCGTTGTTTGTTTTGGCAGTCTCCCTCTGCATAAGAAGGGATACTAGCTTAAGTTTAAGATATTAAGTTAATTTAAATATACAAGTTTGTTTGTAGATTGTGTATTCTTTAGAATGCATGTGTACACAAAACAAAGATTAATGCAGTTAACAATTTAAAATTCTGGAATGTTGATAGGTGTGCTCCAGAAAGTTAGATTAATTTCTTTTCAGTTTTGAAACACAGCACATTAATTGATTATAGGACTTGATTAATAAATATGAAGATGATATATGAAGATGATTGATGAACATGCCCGCACACTTCAAGCAAAAAAAGCCTTATTCACACACAACACTGCAGACCACCTACACCAACCTGCACATTTGCAAAAGCAGCAAAACATAACTATTTTATGTGTAATTGAATGGGAGTATGTTATCAATGAAAATCACGGTAACCGAGTGCAACAGATTCCTTTATTGAAGCATATTCTCTTATCTACATTGTATGTGTTAAAAGATAAAGAAATTCAATATGCTCTTTGCTCATCCCATTTCATTGGCCACAGTGTTGTTAACTTTGTTTACTTATTTTTTATACATTTTTTAAAAATTACCGGTAATGCCGTTTTAATACGGCGTTATGAGTGGACAAAGCTCCATGCTCACAGCTATTAATTTACACGCACTTACCTGCATGTTGGCATGTAATCGTGATTCTGCAGACAATATGATGTTTCTCTCTGACATCTGTATCATAATTTGGATTCATTACAAGCTCAAATATCCAACACAAGTATCACTTGATGGTACTCACAGCAACCAATGCTTGCTCAAATATTGGGGTTGTCTAGAAGAGTGCCATATGGTATTATTTCCTATCAGGCACTATCTAGCATACAAAGGAAACCCTTATCCAACCCCAGTAATTCAAGAGCCAATAGACATGTTTACTCAAATTGTATGCATACTTTTTCCACAAAAGTTTCTCTATCAACCGAAAAGGTTTCAATATGCTTGCCTTACATAGCAACAACTGATTATTCAAAGAGAATTCCATCCATAGATGCCATTATGCAAAGCAGGTTGGCAACCGGTTTAGTGGAAGCGAAACATGCATAAATTGGAATACATTAGTACATACCGGTAGGTCTTTTAACATGACTTATCATGCTCATGCTTCTTTGAGAGCTTATACATTTCCTTTTATTTTGATATCAAATTAATTCATATATGAATGACTGTAGATTCCAGAGCAGTGGTATTTTTCCTTAAACATCCAAAAAAGAAATCATATATGCCAAAATTTAAAGGCTGAGTGTTAGAGTGTGACGACAGGCGATGGCTCAGTGGTAGAGCTGTGGTCTCCTAACTGCAAAGTCCCAGGTTCAAAACCCAAGTTGATGCACTGACTAATGTCCTTTGGTAATTAAGGCATTATCCCAAGAGATGACTTGAAGCCATCGGTCCCCTAGTTACTTATTTACAAGCATAACAACAAACCATCAACAGCGAATGATTATCAGAAATTTGTTTATGCTCAGCCTCTATTTTCATTTTTCACTATAAAAATGTTTAATAGGTCATCAACATGAGAACCTGAATTTCTCTACCTACAGCAAAATGATTAAAGGGGGAAAGTGCAAGCTATCATACCAACAAATTAGATTAAAGCCATTGCAGTCGTTTAAAAAAAAATGTGGGATTCCTTTCTACATACTCGCACTGTATATTCACCTACATGCAAAGAGCCTGCTCTGTAGTCTACTCGAGAAAGTCACACAAGATTTGACAACATACGGGTCTCCATTCATAATCAAGCAACCAAAATGACCACACAGTTGTGGTTGTGGGGAAGAGAATGATGCATAAATGTGGTTGACTTTGAAATGATACTCTGCACAAATTGGCCAAGACATACATGTATATAATATGCAAGCATGATAATATTCCTATTTTAATTGTAGGATTGTATTAAATCACCGTTTCCCCCATTTCTTGGCAGAAGCTCAAGAATCAAACTAGAAATGACATTTTCTTCTATTGCATGACATCCTTGCACACAATTCTACCCATGAAAATGTAGTTGACATCTAAGTTAGAGAGAGGACGACAGAGAGAGAGAGAGAGATCTACGTGTATATATTTTATGATTACCTTTGAAATACTGTAACTCACTTTAATTTTTCTTAGTTAATAATAATAATAATAATAAATCTGGATTTACACAGCATTATATACGGAATACCCTCTATAAACACTTCACATATATTGTTTAAACCCCGGTCAATGGATTCATTTACGCAAACAGTGCACACAATATCCACTTCCTGGGGAGTTTTCCTACCGTCATGGTCACCATGAAGGCATATAATACTTTCGATTAATAAGGCTTTTTTGTAGTACCATAGGTCCCTGTTTCTCTCCAGGGTATGGAGAGGCAAAGGTTGATTAATGTCTTGCCAAAGGACTTTAGTGCATGCTGTGTCGGGTATTGAACCCTCAACCTTTCCATTTTTAGTCAAATGCTTAAACCACTCTAATAAGACCACCTCTAGTTATCTTTTTAAGTGGCCCAAACATTGTGGAGCGTGCATGTGTACAGCGCTTTGCAACTGCAAGGAAAAGGCACAATATCAAATATCTTTTGGATTGGATTTCAACACTTGAGCTCCAGCCCGGCACTTTTGTCCTTTGGCAAAATATAAATCAATATTTTCCATTCCTTGCCTGGGGGAAATAATGGGAACCTGTTAGGATAACGAGAATCTTGATTGAAGTCATAATTGCCCTATGCCCTCACAGTGAAAACATGGTTGTAATAATCCCCAGAGCGTGGAGATGGTGCACACGATGTGGGTGTGTTGATGAATCCGATGACTGCATAACCTGTGTTGCAATATATGTACAGTGCTTGGATTAAAGTTTGATCAGATTAAATTACATTACATTCTATTAAGAACAATATATATCCAGGGTAATAATCGAGGCAGCGCCAGGAGCGTCACAACGTGACAGACATGTGCGCTATATAAGAAGCCACCATTATTATTATTTGTAGTATATTATTCAAAATGGAAGTGTCTATACTTTTAACGAGGGAGGTAATGCTATAGCTTAATGAGCAGACACGAGACAGGCAATCAAATTAGACAGGTGTAATTAAATCTTTTAATGCTGGCAGTCGTAAGAGTTCAGATCAACCTTAATATGATGAACATCCGATAATAAACCTCAAACACCAGTATCGTGTTTCATTCAAATTTTGACATCTGTTCACATATAAAGTTAGTTGTTGTGCACATTTCTATCATCTATTAAGCTCTTTAAATACTGAAATGCTTGCCACAGGCTTGCCTATTAAAGCATCAGCCAATGCATGCAAATCTAAGTCTAATACAGTAGGTGACATATTTCAAAAGGGGAGGGGGGGGGGGGGAGGGAGGAGGGGGTGTAAATTGTGACTTTTCTTCCATCATATAATGACATTAAAAAAAATCTACAATTTGCATCCTTATGTGAACAGCTCATCTTTACACTCAAGTTCATATAATATATTTTAAGCATAATGTTAGAAATGAGAGGAAGGTTGAATAAGGATGGTGAGATAATAAACCCAACTATTATTACAAAGATCCAGGGTTATTAATGAGCAGAATTATATCCTTATAGACTGTAAGCTGTTAAACACCAATAGCTATTAGTATTTTCAAAAGCAATATGTTCAGTCTCAGTTTAAAGAACATTTCACAATTTTTAAACATACTTTTGTTTAAAAAGTATTCATACCACTGAGAAATGAAGAAAAAATCTTCCATGTTTACAGAGAATTATGCAATGTTATAAATATTCTATAAATAAATCTTTTCATGATCACAAACCTTGCAACAGATAGGATAAACTAAAGCATCATTAGTGATGTGATTATATATGAAGTGTGAATTAAATGGTCCAAAGGGCTCTGGTAAGGAACATTCATGAATTAAACTGGTCTGTTGAAATTGGGTTTGCCTTTTTTGTTTTCAAACTTAGATTCTACATGTATATCTAATTCCAAGTCTCGTGAAAATAAAGTAAGTGCCTATCCGAAATGCTCTTAGAAAAATGAATAAATAGAAAAGAGGCACGATATCTCTTTCAACACAGAGAGTAACATCTTTGGCTGAATCTTTTTAATGCTTTTTGAAAAATAGTGATTTATACGTTTACCATGGATTATTCAATTGCTTTCAATTCATACTCCAAAAGTTAAATAGTAGTACCGGTAGTATTTTTCTTAGGTTAGACTGGGCCTTATCTCTTGAGAAACGTGGAGCAGACAGATGCTGTTCAATAGTACTTTACCGGTATATAAGATGGGATTCGTCTTTTCACTGTTCACTCAAAATTAGATTTTGTCTCAAACATGATCAGAGATACAAAAAAAAGAGCTTTAAAGGGGAAGTTCACCCTGATATTAAGTTGGTTTTAACAGAAGCAGGAACATGAGAGAAACAGGTCAGTAAAAGTTTGAGCAAAAAAAAAGATTAAAAATAAGAAAGTTATGAACTTTTAAAGGTGCGAACAATCAAAGACAAATGTAAAACCAATAGATGACTGATACAACAATCACACAAATTAAACCCTACCATTCCACCGAAGCTTTAATGAAAAATATAGTTTTAACCATTATTTGTCAATTCAATTCTCTGTCTGATTGTCGAATCGAGCATAAAAACATTGTCTGATAAACTTCACACTTCATGTACAGTGGATCTGTTCCCGTTTCATGAAAATAATCTACCTATTCCTAGTCTAAACATCTGGTAAATTATTCTTGTGTGGAACCTGCAGCTCACAGCACCAAAGTAGTGAACATACACGTGTACATGAATGCAAGCATTGAGCAAACCAACTGATATATAAAATGATGCATAGATTGAAACAATACAGGTTTACAATAAAAATCAATGTCTTCAGACCTTTTATTTTACATGCAAATTATTTACAACACATTTTTCAAGCACGTTTCTGTGTATTTCATACACAAATATATCACATTTTATAGTTCGAACAGCAGTTGGAACAGAAGTTACAGCACTGGAGTATTCCCATATGTTGCTATCATTATTCATGATAATTATTTCATCATTTTTACATTCACTGTGTATGTAATATGCTTTTAAATAATTCCTTTTCTTTTCTATTGGCTTGCCTCCACTTAAGCATTTTAAAGTAAAAAAACACTTTTGTTTTACAGAATTACATACATGTGATATAACAAAGAAATTTAAGATTAACACTTTCTTGCGTTTCACACAATCTACACCACTTAAACATTCACACATGTAGCTATTTTGACTTATGGTATTCATTTGTATATGCTATAAGCTTTTACATTTTCTCTTTCAATTTGAAGCATTTCACATTATAAACACTATTTAGTATGATAAGAAATAAAAAGTTTAATTTGCCTTACACATAAATTATTGTGACCCTGGCATAATCAAATTCATGATAGGTCATCAATGGTGGAATCAACAAATGTCATAATTAAAGTACTAGCCTCTACATATATGATGACAGAATTTTCACATAAAATCCTTTAAAAAGTTTCTGCAATTCAAGTTTGAGCTTCGATATCTCTCGTATTACTATATTTTTATACTTGAATTTGGTATCATTGAAAGCCTGATATTTCCCTTTAAAAATGATGCCCTATTTGTATCGATTATGTAATCATGAAATGTGCTGTACACTTGGATATGGGGCCAAGTCAAGGTGAAATGTTACCAAATGCATTGAACAGTTAATTCTTCGATTAGAGGATGGATTGTGTTTAATGACAATAACAATGCATTTTGCAACATTTTACTTTTGACTTAAACCCATATTTAGGTGTACAGCACATTCAATTATTACATACCGGTAATACCGGTCACTGTCACAGTAACAAGAGGTCACCAGTTCAAACTACAAAAGAAACATGTAAAATCTAAATTGAGGCAGAGCTCTTTTTCACAGAGAGTATTAAACGAATGGAATGGTCTCCCATCATATGTAGCAGAATGTCCATCACTCAATTCTTTCAAATCAAATCTGGACAAGTACTGGTCACTAAAGAAGGACAAGTTTAATCCTGATGAACTATTCAACTGTCCATGTTCATCCGTAACTGCACAAGGCCAAATTCAAGAGTAACCCACTAGCGGACACCGAGGGGCAAATAAGTTTTGTATAACTTTATGCCTACTTCCAAGGTATGATATCCAAGGTATGAATTCCAAATTAAAGTATGATATCATAGTAACAAGAGAGATATCAATGCTTAAACATAAATTGCAGATTTTTTTTTTGAGGAGTTTATGTAAGATAGTCCAATCACTTTACTTTGGTACCAGCAGTAACATACCAATGTAGCACATAATTTTATTCACAGAAACTTAACTGTGCACATGGACTATTTCAGATCAATGCTCAACTCAAATGTAAAAAAAAAAGAGCACACATATAATACAATGACGTTTTGTCAGTTTGGAGCCGGAAGGGCGTTAACACTGTGCAACATGATATGAGTTAATGCCCTACTGGCACCAAACAGATCAAATATACAAGATAACTAGGTTATTTGCCTTCTGAGGCATACCATACAATTTGCTCTATCATACATATCAAGCACTGTGTACAATATCGTAGGCTTGCGGTTGCACCATGTTCGAGAAGGGGGAGGATTTTGTATATCTACATCACCATGCAAGCCGATAATTATAAGGAGCATCCAACATAATTTTTTGTTCTTTAAGGATTGAAACGTACCCTCCTAATTCATTAAATTTGCAAGAATATAATGGTACGTAGGAGTAAACACAAATCAAGAACTGACTTAAGATATGACTTAAACCTGACTTCACAAGGTTTTATGCATACCATAAGGTTTTGAGCTGAATTGTCAGTTGATTATCCAATATGCCACATGTCATTTAGATTGATTGTTTTTCTTCCATTCATGAATAAAATAATCTATGAAGTTATACATAAACTGGAAGGGCTTATTATATTTATAATGCTTTTCTTCACATTCCTCATGTTTGAAAAAGAAAAGTAAATGCCGATTATCATAAAGTTCCTTATTTTACATGGTATCACGACGGAGCCATTAAACAAGACATGAACATCGAGGACAACAAAGACAAAAAGGACACAATACTGGAATGATCAATATTATTTCATTACCAACAATTTTTGGGATTATTCATCATCAGCTTCTTCTCCACTCTATTGCAAAACTGTCGATGGAATGTGCATTTTAATCTGCTGATCAGGAACAAAACAAGCCACATTCCAATTCTTACAGCATCATACAGAGCACCACTGCATGGTTTTCAGCATATTCCATGTCAATTTCATAATAATAATAATAAACAAATATTCCGCTTTTATATAGCGGTTAATACAAAATGGCTCTAAGCGCTTTACAGATATATCATTATCCCGGTCATCGGATTTAGGCTTGCCCGCACACAATGAATGCACATGCTCTACTCCCTGGGGAGCATTCCAGCCGAGCGTCATTTAACAGACGCTCACAATACTGAGCAAAATACATTAACTTTTGCATCCTACCGAGTACCCATTTAACACCTGGGTGGAGAGTGGCAAATGTAGATAACGTCTTGCCAAAGGACGTTAGTGCAAAGGGGGACGTAAATTGTTTACAGCTCGCAAGAAAGATATTGATTGACCCCAAGTACGCAAAGTTTTGTTATGACAGAAACAGAAACTCACTTTGTTTCTCGATCTAACAACATAGAGATCCAGTGTCACTACGGTGACATCTAACTCCAAGCTTTATTTTGTTAAAGCTATAGCTAGGGTTAATAATAATAATAATAATATTCCGCTTTTATATAGCGCTCCGTACATCGATACAACGATGTGCCTAAGTGCTTTACATATATATTATTACCCCAGTTAGGTATAATGTTGTGCCTAGGGCTAATGTTAGGACTTCAGTGCTTGTAGGAAATTGGCATATAACCGCACCACTGCATGAATTCCATCACCTCCATGCATTCTTAATACCTATGGGGATGAATATTGCAGTGGTGGACGAAGAGCATGATATTATGTAGATATTAGAGTAAGTAGTCTACAAAGCTTTTCTAATCAGACCCACTGGTTGCGTATCCTCATCTGGGGGTGGGGATGGGTAGCTTGCCAAAGTAGTGTGATGCATTGTGGGCACATTGGAGGCTGATGTTAAACACTGGATGGGTTGGTCTCTGTTCAGGAAAAAACAGGAGAGGGTATAACAAAAATGATAAATTCTACTTTTCCTTTAATACGCTGGCTTCTCATTTTGAAGTAAGATTCAATTCTAATTCAGTTTTAATTGATACGAATCAATAGCAAGTCAAATTTTATTTGATATCACTAGCAACCCTCTACATAAGAGATAAGCGACTGTAATTTTGCAATTGACCCTACCGCAAATACAATGATCGACAGTAGATGGCGACCTTCCTCCCACACTGCGCAGATACAATCCTGGGGAAGGCGATAAGACAAGGTTTCTTCAGGCTTCCATAGAGAATGTACAGTAGTGTTAACTAATTCCTTATTTTACTACATAACTATTGTTCAGGTTTCATGAACTCCCCCGATGATTTGATGAGATCTTTGTAGGCACTATCATAATCTGTTACTTATAATAATAATAATAATCTATAATAGTAATACGCTAAGGCTCCGCGGGGGGGCATGACGTCTCCGCCGGCCTTTGTATTCTATTGTTTTTTAATGAGATCGCCGACCCAAGTTGGTGCGGCTATCTCCTCCTGAACCCTCCCCTCGGGGTACCGGTGACCGGTGCCGTAGTCCGCGGGAGAGTCTACTCTAGCGAATTGGCTATACTCCGCCCGAGGTCCTCCTGCGTGTCGACGTCCAGGGCGAAAACAGACGCGACATGCATAATGCAGGATATGCGTGACGACAGAGATACCTCATGCATATTCAACATTACATCCGTATCAAATAGACACACGACAGACGACGTCCAAACTTAGAGACCTATTTCCATCATGATTGCCGCGATTTTGATATAGTTTTTGTGAATGGAGGTATGAAATCAAAGCTTATTTTGTGATTATTACGGACATGTATACTAAATTTTGATCATCATTTTCTAAAGGAAAGTTATTACAAGAAAACCATTAGACTGACAGTTGAGTCGCAAGCTGCCTTCAGTCAACACACAGTGCAATGCTGCTGTGCAGTGTGTGTGAGTTGACATGAGCTTGCAGGAAGCTTCAACACCAGCACCGCGCACTGCAGGCGTCCGACGCCTGCGGCGCCGGTGTTCGAGCTCATGGAGTTACGCTGTAGTGTGTGTGAGTTCAGCTGAGCTGATTTGACACTTTGAAATAAATTGTTATCTGTTGGTTTGCATCATTATTGCCGCGATTTCAATATAGTTTTGTGAATAGATTTACGAAACCTGAGCTTAGAAATAGTAAAAGTATTACTAATGTCTACGTTTTTAAACGACTGTCTGATTTTCTTGTGAAAATTTTACTTTGAAAAATGATTATCGAAATTCATGGTCGGAAATAATCACAATCTAGGGTTTATTATGTTACAGTTCTTGCATCAAATCAATGCATGAAAACTTAGTTATTGAACTAGAAAAATGTTTTTTTTTTTTTTTTTTAAATAGGCAATTATGAAGTAGGAAGCCTGAAACCTTATAGCCTACTAAACAAATCTCAACAAAGTGTAGGCCTATCCTTTTATGAATTAATGAAAAAGGAGCCCCAGAAGAAAGAGCCCCCGAAAGTTGAAAAAGTAGCCCCCGAAAATTTCCCAAAAATTTGAAATGGAGCCCCCGAAATGAAAAACTTAATTTTTTGCCTGCGCCCCCCTTTAGAATCCTGCGGATTTCCGCGGGTCCTGAGTTGAGTGTATATATAATATAGGCGTGGGGTCCACGGGTTTCAAGGGGCCAGCATAAACCCCCAAAAGCTCAGGGTTACGTTCTTCAAAGTTGGGGGGGGGAGATCAGATCGCAGCGAGTTGCGTGTATATATAATATAGGCGTGGGGTCCACGGGTTTCAAGGGGCCAGCATAAACCCCCAAAAGCTCGGGGGTTACGTTCTTCAAAGTTAGGGGGGGGGGGGAGAGAGATCAGATCGCAGCGAGTTGAGTGTATATATAATATAGGCGTGGGGTCCACGGGTTTCAAGGGGCCATAAACCCCCGAAAGCTCGGGGGTTTTAGGTGTTTAATTAGGGTCAGATGAGCATATTTTTTTCATACTTTATTTGTGACACTTGCGGGTCACTAATTGGCGTGGGGTTAATACGTAGAGTTGCGTAGTGTTGCGTACCAACTACGCTGGCCTACGTTACTATATGCTGAGGGACGGAAAGGGGTACGCAAGATGAACGAAAACAATTCAACATGTTTAATTTTTTTTCGCGTACTTTCGGCGTAGAAACTTGACGCAGAAAGTACACCTTTTTACGCAACACTACGCTACATGACTACGCAGCAGTACGCTACCCTACGCCAGATCGACAAAGCAGTAAAAGCTTTCCACACAGTAAGCAACCAAGCAAACCTGTACGCCAGCCTACGCATAACCTACGCAGGGACTATTTTCCCATTAAGACGCAGCCTAATTTCTGCGTATTCGGTACGCCACACTACGGAACTTAAAGCTTAAAGAATAACTACCGGTACAGTTGGATCGTTTTTTAAATTTTTATATAGGGCCAAATTAAAAAGAAAACATGTTTAGCATCCTGTTTTTTTCGATAAATGGGAAGGAGGAGGCCCTTTTTTTTTTTCCTTACAAAATGGCCGCTCCGTACATTTTCCCATGACATTCGGGCTATTTTTCAAGATGGCGGCCGACAATTTTTTTTTTTCATGTTTTTTTTCTTTCAAAAAATAAAAAAAATTCAAAAAAAAAAAAAAATTCAAAAAAAATTCAAAAAAAAAAAAATTCAAAAAAAATTCAAAAAAAAATAAATATAGGAGGCGGCCCCCAAAAAGGAAGCGGACAGGACGCTGTTTTATTTTCTTTCAAAAAAAAAAAAAATCAAAAAAATTTCCAAAAATAAATAAATAGGAGGCGGCCCCCAAAAAGGAAGCGGGCGGGGACGCTAAACATGTATATTTTTTAAATGGCCTGAATGGCAAATAAAGTTCTTGGTGGTTTTAATTTAAACACTCTCTATATATCTATTTACACCCCCGCCCCCCTCTAAAATCCCGCGGATTTCCGCGGGTCCTGCTAGTAATAATAATAATAGCCTAATAGTCCACTCCAAATTTTATTAAACCGAAACGGAAATTCTTTTTTGCCCAATTGATCGTGAGCCCGGCAGCCACAGCGCCAGATCAATGTTGCTCTATCCCTTATTGTTGAACGCCAAACAAGGTAGCAACAACTCCCATCTTTTAACGTCTTTTGGTATGACGCGGCCGGGGCTCGAACCCACGACCTCCCGGTTGTGAGGCGGACGCTCTACTGACTGAGCCAACACTACGGTATAGTTTATTGGTTCCAAAACTATGACTCCAAATAGACTTTCTAGTTCATGACCCTTTGTATTTTTATGGGAACTGGAAGTGCCTTTGCCAAATATACCCATGGCTGGTGCTGCCCTCTATGGCCAAATACAGTAGTTGCGGTAGCAAGAGTTGATTGGAGATCTTGCTACCAATTTGGATTAGACACAACTTTTGGTTTTAAAAAAACCCTCATATATTATGGGGTGTTCAGGCCACCAAGTTGTAAAGACTTATCAACTCTTTCCAGGCTTTGGTCAACTAAAAGAACAGCAGGACACTGCTACAGTGGATACTACCACACACACAGTATATACTTGAAACAAGCAGTCTAGGGTTTTGTTTCATGGCAAATGGAGTTTTAAAAACCATGTCAATTTGATGAATAAACATAAACTTACAAGTTCATTCTTGGGATCTCCGGCTACATCATCTTCCCTGAGTTGACCAGCTAAGAAATGTTGAGCCACTGACAGACCACTCAAACAGTAGCATGTATGGTAGAAGTCTCTAGCTCTGTAGAATATAAAAAAAACAAAAAAACAAAAACAAACAGATAAGAAATGTTGAGCCACTGACAGACCACTCAAACAGTAGCATGTATGGTAGAAGTCTCTAGCTCTGTAGAATATAAACAAACAAACAAACAAACAAATTAGAAATGTTGAGCCACTGACAGACAGCTCAAACAGTAGCATGTGTGGTAGAAGTCTCTAGCTCTGTAGAATATAAACAAACAAACAAAATAAACAGATTAGAAATGTTGAGCCACTGACAGACCACTCAAACAGTAGCATGTGTGGTAGAAGTCTCTAGCTCTGTAGAATATAAACAAACAAACAAACAAACAAATTAGAAATGTTGAGCCACTGACAGACCACTCAAACAGTAGCATGTGTGGTAGAAGTCTCTAGCTCTGTAGAATAGAAACAAACAAAAAAATAAACAGATTAGAAATGTTGAGTCAATGAAAGACATCTAGGTGTGGTAGAATATAAACAACAACAAAACAAAACCCCCAAATAATCAGACGACTAGATTTGTGAATGTGGATCACATGGTTTCGTGGTTTGAATCAGGCTGCAGCATTAATATCCTTTGGTGAGACATCAATCTACGTTTGCCACTCTCCACCCAGGTGCAGTAAATGGATACCCGGTAGGAGGAAATACCTTGAATGCTTGTGCGCCTTGGTGGTAGCCGTGCTTAGGCTGGGGTAATAATATGATTGCAGGGCCCTCGGGGAGAACAGTATTAATACTGATAAGGCTATCCTGAGTCAACAAGACATGTTATCATTTTATTATTATTAAAGCCACACTGGACTACTTATAGCTACTTGCGCCCTCTATGTAGCAAAAAATGCCTAATCGATGACTGTTAATCCCCCATGATCTCCTTTTTCTTATGTTAATAGAGAGCTGATTTGATGAGATAACCACCTGTCAGTGACCTTGCAGGGAGGTCTAATCCCCTTGGCCAAACTAGTGCATACGGGCTTCAAGAGAAATACTAAGCTTACAGCTCTAGCCATTGTACAATTAACCATACTGGGAGAATTTACTTACTTTCCGGGTTTGTCTATGAGTCCTCCGTGATTGTTCTGGCAACAGAGTAGTACATACTCCTGCAGTGCTTCTGAAACAAGATACCACACAATGAAATCATGATAAACCAAGTATATGACATATATCAAATCATATCTCGTCAAATGAAATCATATGTTTATTTCCTCTAAAAAAAGAAACACATTACAAAAACACTGACAATTTACAAACTCTTATCATTGAATCATAGAACCACAAAAGATTTGTAAAGCAGACAGAAACTTTAGTTCTTTAAATTTTTAATGTTTCAAGTTCGACACCAATATCTTCCAAAGTAAAAAAAAAATTGTTCTTACAAGGCTCTTGTTTTCTTTTTTTGAGTGTGTGTTTTTTTGTTTTTTTGTTTTTTTTGGAGGGGGGGGCTCAATCACATTCTTCGATCCCATTCCTGCCACTTACTCTGGTCAAACATCCAGGAGTCCATACTGAGCGCTGTATCCTCCTGCTTGGTCAGGATGGAGTGAACGAGAGGGAAGACTCCAGCCTGCCAGAAGGAGTAGCAACCATCTACAAGCTTGTTTGTTCTTCCCTGGAAACCACCTTCAAAGCGCATCTGACGCATAGCCAACCATCTCTGCAAAAATGTTATTCAAGGTACATTATTAAAACATTTGAAAACAAATTCTTACTAAATTGCATAACTTCAAACCAAGATTTGATTTTAAGAATGTAATGAAAGAAAAAAAATGAAATTAATTTTCCTGATTTTTTCTTCCATATTTATAAAATGTTTATGAAACTCACTTGAAAGGTAAACTGCACTTAATAGATATCATCTTTTTTTATTAAAACACTTCATCTACCTCCCTGCCTATAACAAATCGGACATCATTTTTTTTCTCCCATAGTCATAAAAATGCACAAAATATATAATAAATAAATAGTGTTCCACGACCAATATATAAGATCTACATGCACATTTGTATGTTCTCTTACAGTGTATTATCCAAAAATATACTTCATGTTATAGTTCTAAAGACATTTTCTTCATTTTCTAAAGTCTGCTACCATAATTGATGTTGTTGATATTTGTTGTTAATGTTGCAGCTCATAATGCTATGGATTTATGATGATCACAGCAATTGTATTAAAGCCTGTCTGCACTAGTTTGGCTATGGATGATTGGACCTCCCTGCAAGGTCACTGACAGGTGGTTATCTCATCAAATCAGCTCTCAATTTACATAAGAAAAAGGGGATCATGGGGGACCAACAGGCGCCGATTAGGCATTGTTTGCTATATAGAGGGTGCAAGTAGCTATAAGAAGTGCAGTGGGGCTTTAAGTAATTCTGAAGAATGAATGAAATCCAGGGGCCTGTTTCACAAAGCCTTTTTACAATGCTAAATGACAAACTCAATGACAAATCTGCTGATAACCAATCAGAAGCAAGGATTTCAGTAGCTTATAACAAATACTGTCAGTTGTCACTAATGACAAGTTTTGTGAAATGCCCCTCAGGAAACGACTGTGGATACTATACTTCATAACAGAGGATATGACAGTCAAGATGTACTTACTAGTAAACCCTGTACATCACATAGTCTCTCGTGTCCCAGGAGCACCAGGGCTGCCACGCTGCAGAAGGTGTATCCACCGTGTGCTTCCATACCAGGCTGGCCGGCAAAGCCTCCCTCGTACGTCTGACAGCTAGTGTAGAGAGGAGAATAATAATAACAATAATCATAATATGAAGAATTTAATTCCAAAAGGAGCTAAATCCACTTTTGATGAAAATTGAGTTTTTGATATCAGAACATTGTTCATTTAAAGTACCCATCTTTTAATAAAAGTATTTACCTAAATTTTGAGAGCAATTAAGTCAAAATGCACCTTCTAATATTACTTTTCCATAAACGCCTGTACAAAATCTGGTAAACAAATCCCTTTTTCTCTGAAGTTACAAAAATGGATTTAGCTCCTTTTGGAATTTAACTCTTCATATATTGTTCTCCTATAGCGTATTTCAGAACCGTAGACCCTCTCAATGCACTTTACAATTTATAATCAATGACAAAAATTATCAAAAGTATAAGTTTTCAGCGCTTTCTTAAACACTTCATCGTCTGTTATGGAGCGTAGCGATACTGGGAGAGCGTTCCAAAATTTTGGGGGTCCATATATGCTAGTGTTCTGTCACCGTAGGTCTTTGTTGCTCTGATGGTGAGAAGTTATTGAGAAGATGTTGTGAAGATGATTGTAGATGCTTTGGTGGGATGTAAGGTAAGAATTACACAATCGATCAAATAATTAAAACAACAACTATTTCTTCTACCGATTTAGGGAAACTTCATTGAATTTCTATATGAAGTTGATGAGCAAGACCTTTTTCATAGGTATGACAACCCTTACAATATGTGAAAAAACAATACAATTAATAAAGAATTAATGTACTGCTCCTACAAATATTTCTTTTACTAGTAATATTTCTAGAAGTTTCTATGTGTTTCAAATGAAACAGGTTGGCAGGCAAAGCCTCATTCATATGTCTTACAACTGTTATTTGGCATGTTTTTTTAACAATAAATAGGAAAAGTTATAAAAAGTACATTATTTTACAATCAACAAAATAATCATTAATGCTACTTTCAAGATACTAGGTCTCCTGCTACTTCTACTCCTACTACAACTTCTACCTACTTCACTTCAGCCTAGTACTACCGTAAACCTTGGGCAATACATCTGACATAAGGACACAAGACAAACACACAAATATTTCCATGATTACAAATCAATAAATATATATCGGCAATTGCAAAATTAATTGAGGAATTGCAAAATGAATCTAGCCAATACTTCTTTTTTTCTACCTCCTTCATTTCCTCTCGGCCAATCCTTTTTATCTTCTTTTTAAAACAAATACATTCTAAGCATCATGCATTTAAAACCCCTAGATCATGCGCATCTTCCATTAGATAACATAGTTCATACAAAGAAAAAGAAACTTTGTTACAATTGCTTTTGTAATTGACACATTCCAATAATTCTTTGATATTCCAGTACTTTCTATTTATGGATACCATACCTTACAATCCATTCAGGTGTACCATCAAACAGATCAGGGGTGGCAACATTTGTAAGAATGGCAGAAACTGCAGCACAATAGGCTCCTCTGTGGGAGGTAAGATGAAAGAATGAATCATTAAAGATTGTATCGAAAATATAATCACAATATTAAGCTTAAAATCGTTCTATCAACTGCACAAATCATCTGTTTGGAAGGATAAGAGCATAAACTCATAAACATTGACTCAATATATAATACATGTTCAAACGGTAGGTCTTAAAAATAGCTGTAGTTGATTCAAATTGATTACAACCTAATGCAGGTTTGATATCAATTGCAACCCTGTATTAACAAGATACAAGTTGTACAAGTACATGTATGTCATTGGAGGACTTTAGTTCAGTCTAAATCAATTGTAACTATATTCCTCTCTCTCTCTCTCTCTCTCTCTCTATCTCTCTCTCTCTCTCTCTCTCTCTGTTTGCATATATTCATTTGTCCAGTCCTAAATCTCTCCTCTCCTTCCTTCATCAGCTTTTCTGTAAATCCCTTCAAAGGTCTTCTTTTGTGTGTCTCCCTCTATCTCCTATAATCTTCACCTATCCCTGTACAGTACTAATTCTTTCTCTATTTGTAGATACAGTTGGTGTGGTTTTTAGCGCTGGATGAAGACTTTAAAGATATTATTCATAAGATTAGGCCCACCATAGCAACAGTAAGCACAGTCCCATTAAGGTTTCCAAACCAAACAGAGAATACCCCTTTATCCGTCAATTCTATTACAATGAAAAGTTTTCTTAGTAAAATCGGGTGGATTTCCATGATATTGCTACTTACAACGTTCCTGAAACCAATCATGCACAAAAACAAGTGTTGTTCTCTTCGATATCTAGTCAATGCTTTTTCCTTTTTTTCAAAGTCATTCATTTGTAGAATGATACAAAGATTATCACAACCTTTTAATCAATCATGTATCAAGGAATAACTTTTGAACAACACTATTACCATATTCAAACTGAATTTAACTTGCATACCGGTAGATAGCCCCTACAGCCCTTAAACTAATCGTGTGACCCACACTACAACCCCAGGGGTCGAATCAACAAGAGAAGACCATACATATATCACCTTAACCTTTGCAAAGAACAGTGCTAGAGGTAAAGTCAGGTCATGCCAGGTCAAAAATATATTCTGTGAACTTGACCTTACAAGCAAATGTACATATAGTGGGCTAAGACCACAATCCTTATCTCCAATCTACAATGCTCAGTCATGCATACTGTACACAGACTAATATCTTGGTAAACTGAGATTTCCTATGGCAAAATCGACTTACAAATCAAAATCTGGTGCCTGGACTGTTGGAAATACATACATGTGTGTCCTATTTGCATGTGAATGCAGCTTTTTTTTTTAAAGAGACCTGCTGGTATCACAAGTGTGAACCAAGCCTCAATTTGTATTAAAGAACCCTTCGAATTATATGGAGCACGTACAGGTATGGCTTCAGACTTGCCTGACTGACTCGAGATGAAAGAGAGGACTAGCTACTGCAGGGGGTGTTTCACAAAGATCGTAAGTCGAACTTATCTCTAAGTTGGACTTAAAAATTATGGAAAGCCATTAGCATCCTTGAAGATATTTTGTAAAAGTTATTTTAAAAGGCATAAAATGTTGATTCAAATCATTCATATTTTCTTTTATCATGGGAGATCTCATGTCCTTGATGTGGAATTTATGAAAGGTCTAAATTACTTGAATTTTTGCTTTTGAATATATTTCAAAATAAGGCTACAAATGGCTCTCCATAACATTTAAGTCCAACTTAGAGTTAAGTTAGACTTTCAATCTTTGTGAAAAAAACCCTGGAGGTCTAGCTTCAATAGAAAGAGGCTCCCCAACAGCCTTGACAACACCATTCACACACCAACTGTGGTCGAAACAGAGGGTATTGTTGGTAACCACGATCATGGCCATATTCCACGCCTGAGCGATTGGATCAATGGCAAGATTTACAGGTTTCAGTGCAGCGAGCATGCTCCAACTGTAAACTAGACCACTCATCAATGGTGATTCATACCACTCCTGCAAAAGTTCTGCTTTAAATCTCAACTTGGATAGAGTTTTGGGACATGTAAACTGTGTTAATATTGCCTGTAGTTTAAGAGAACTACAGGTTTCAGGACAGCGAGCATGCTCAAACTCTAAACTCCTACCACTCATCAATGGTGATTAATTAATACCACTCCTGGAAAAGTTCTGCTTTAAATCTCAACTTGGATAGAGTTTTGGGATTTGTAAACTGTGTTGATGTTGCCTGTAGTTAAAGAGAAAGGTTGATTTGGGAATGTGATGACAGATTTATCAAAGTTATCCCAACTTGCTTAAGATGGTTTGGAGGGACAGTCTTTTGGAGCATGCAAGCATTGAATGATGTCCCTGGTATCATTATGAATGTAAGTTATATACATATTTACTTATTTCTGTTGTTAGAAAGTGTCACAAAGTTTGGCAAAAGGTAATTATTGGATAATAATATCTGTTTTTTATAGAATGCTTTACCAGTTACCCTTTGTTTACGGTATCATTATCCTGGTCACTTGATATACTTACTATTTTAAACATTACAGGGCACATTCTCCACTCCCTGGGGGAGCATTCCCACTAGGTACTTCAACAATGTAACATGATTTAAACAACTTTCAACCATTCAAGGACCAGCACTCCTAAAATTCGCATTGTCTGTCTGCCTAGCTGCAAACAGGGTATTTGTATTTATTATAAAAATGCATAAGATCATTACTGCATTTTCATTCTCAATTTTTATCTGCATAACCTATTTCCTGAAGATTAACATTACATGGTTTGTACAAAATTTAATACAAACACAAAACTTTTCTCCTAGTAATTCTGCTGCTGTTTCCTATACAAAGAATACAAATAGCATACCTACTACTGGTACTTCTCCTATATCACATGTACTACTACAACTACACAAACATTTGAATGATTAATTTGATGAAACATTCATGCAATAAATGTGGTGTAACACTGACCCAACATTTTATGCCCCTGCAACTTTTGATACAGGCTTTATTTCATCAAATGTATACGGTAAGGTTTATGGTCGCAAATGGTTTAGGTCAGGTTTAGGTTTAGGTCAGGTTTAGGGTTAGGGTTAGGTAAAGAGATGGATCCAGGGTTAAGTTGGAAATTCTCTTAGTGTAGGCAACTGATGCAGAGTGATTGTTATACAACCAGTAAATACAAGTATATACATGTATATAAGCAAAATGTAAGTTAATTTTCTATGACACAAGTTTATTCTTTCTCTCCCTTCATCTAGGCTACTTTCACAACAAGGCAAACTTGAGCAAACAAGCTTCAACAACGTGAGCCATGTGATTTGGCAGTCATAAACTCATATCCATTCATCAATACATATAGTTCAAGATGAGGTCATTCACCCTCCTACCTGCAGTCAATTTCAAGGACAAGTCTGGAGTACAAGCAGCCTCGACCTCCGATGTCAGGAAACTGGCCAATCGCTGCTGGAACGCCAATCGAAACACCAAGACCCTTACCTATCCCATACCTGGACCACGCCATGATGGGAGCAGACCAACTAGCATACTTTCCCTCCCCCTCCTCCCATCCCAAAAGACGTTTAACCCTCGTGCCGACCCGTCAAAGACACTCCCTCAAGACAGACACCGTCATAGTGGCCTTCGAGGATCTTCAAAGGTGCCTTTCCCAGCCATCCCAGCCATTCCAAGCCAGTGCAGGACGGCATCTCGACAGAGTAGCTTCTCTCTACCCAGGAGTGATGTTGGCAGAGGAAGGAACGGAAAGAGAAGGAAGCCTTCTAAAAGATACAGGGAGGTCTTTGTATGGGACCACAAAACTAGAACTTGCTTAGATACGAGGATGAGTTCAATCACAAATGAAACTTGTATTTCTGATGAAAGAGACAATTCACTGGAATTGGCTGCAGACAATCAGGGACGCAATGTATATACACCAAAAGGTAAACATCCAGTCAAGTACAATAATATTAGTATAGATGTACTGGTGATTTGTAACATTCTCAATTGCAACGGTGGCATAAAAAACGTCTTCTTTGTCCTTAAATACGACTAAAATGTTGACAAAATATATGCAGCTTCTTCTTCAATCTTGAATGTAAATCATCAAATCACTGTCAAGCTTTAAAGTGTTTTTTTTTTTTGGGGGGGGGGGGGGAGGGTTCAATGTAAAAAAAAAAAACATATTTTAGAAGGTGCAATATTTCAAGCACTCCATAGAACCATGCATAAATGAGTATGTCTACATCCATAACATTTGAATCGAGATGAAACTGCACTAGAACAACTAAAAGTAACAGAGAATGCATCATATGACCACAGACCTTGACACCCTTTTCAAGGCAAAATTTGACAACTCTTTCCTTTTTTTTCTCCCTCCTTATTTCCTAACCCTCAGGACAAGCAAGATTAAACAGGAAACAAAGAGCTCAAGGTCTCCTGGGCATGTTAGAAAGACCACTGAGACTTGATCAGCTCTGCAAGACTCCCATCCCACACATGGCACCACTGACCGATGCAACGTCTTCAGAGATGCCCTTCACATCAAGGACGGTCATTCTTCCACCTATCGGTCAAGATGTTGACCCTTCAACTTCAGGATACAGTCCGAGATTAGAGAGGGAGCTGAGGGAGACAGCAGGAATTGAACAAGTGCGCATGAAACCAGCAAAGACTAAGAGGATGAATCAGGCAAAGAAGGGTCTGAAAACCAAGAAGGTGCAGAAGGACAAGTTGAAGCCGAAGGTGGTGGATGTGAAACACAAAGGAACAAGTGATGGCTTAGAGGATGGTGGCGATGGAGATCCTCAACATTTTATTGGAGAAGGCAACTCTGATTCTGGTGATGATGACAAAGATGACAACAGCGATATGGGATGGACAGATGATGATGATGATGATGATAGCAACGACTATGATGAGGATGATGATGATGATGATGATGATGATGATGAGAGTGGGCGAGGTTTTCTGATTGCTAGTCGAGTGAACTCACAAATGAGAAAATCTGCCTGCTCTGTCAGTCAATTTTCAAGAGCTTCTGGCTTTACGATGAGCTCAGTTGAAATTAAGATGTCTGGAGGTGATAGAGACGATGATAATACTGATGATGATGATGATGATGATGATGATGATGATGATGATGATGACGACGAGGATGGTGATGAAGATGGTGATGGAGACATAGGAGAAGGTGACAATGACAGCGAAGATGACAACAGTTCAGATGAAGACCATGATGATAACGATGATCAGCTCAACCATGTTATGGATGTCGAGGACATGGAAGATGACACAATAAAAGATTCTGACGATGAAGAGGATGAAGACATGTTTGTGAGAGTCGATGACTATGGCGAAAGTGAAGAGGATGAAGACATGTTTGTGAGAGTCGATGACTATGGTGAAAGTGAAGATGAAAATGAAGAAGAAAATACCACTACTGCAGGTGACACTGCAACTGAAAATATGAGTGAAACTGAGGGGCTAGATGATGATGGTGATGATGACGGTGATGATGATGGTGATGATGATGGTGATGATGATGACGATGATGATGATGAAACTGGTACTTACGTTGAGAGTAATAATGAGAGTGAATGTGACAATGGATCTGATAATGATCAATAGGATTAAGAGACTAGTAATAACTAAAAATAGAAAGATTCCATATCTAGGCTACTGAAACTGAAAATATGTACCCACCACGTGCCATTATTTGTTCATGTTGTATACTACAGACAACTTTGAATTACAACTCGTACAAATACTCATATTAGGACTGACTGTATTGTAAACAATGGCGTTCTAGGGTGTATCTTCTGTCGATGTTGACAATACTCATAATAACCTTCAGAGATGGTAATCATGATGACAATGAAAGATCCTAAAGCAATCAATTATTCAAATATTTAAGGGAAGTGACTGTGCATTCTTTTGTCTGTTCAGACCCAGAAGGTCATTCACTCATAGGTGAGCAGAGAACATGCTTTTCAAGTATGCCAATGCTACAACGATCAGGACAAGAAAGGCAACAGAGAATGGTATAAAAAGATATCTTTGAGAGAAGCGTAATTCAAATCCACAAACGTTCAGGACACAAAAATGTTGTTGCTGCTGCTAAATTCAGTGTTGTGTCAATTGGGATTCAAGTATTTCGCATCATGAAACGAATCGGAACCACTCCCGAAATCAATGAACATTTCTTGGGAAATTGTCTGGCTTTACATTATTTTAACCTTTCATTTAATAATTTGTTGCTCTATAGTTGTATATCACTACTAATATTTGACAATATAAATCGGACACAATGTAGCAATGTAGAAAGAGGAAAGAGCAACAGGGAAAGGAGAGAGAACGGAGGTGGGGGGAGGGGGGGGGGAGGGGGGGGAGGGAAGAGACTTGTAATGTCAATACTGCTCTTCTGCTACACTTTTGGACTCTCATGCCATTCCTTATATCAAATTCTTTGCTTTATGTATCATGAAGATTGTATATAATGATGTCATGATAAAAGTGTATTGCTCGTTACCTCTAATCGAGGGCTTCTATCACTGTATCTGAAATATATTTTTGTAAAAATGTGTAGAATTAAATTTTCATGCAACAAAGTTTTGCTATGCAATCACCTTGTTAAACCTGAGTTCTCTTCATTAATAAAAGTTTGTCCTTACACAATGCCTATGCGCTTTTACATTTGCACTTTCACTTTGTTGAACAACATCATAACAATCACACACAGGTTTCACACTGACCTCAACAGGCATACAATCATTATGATCAATAAAAACAGATTTTACTATCAACGAATCCATGAAATATATTTCAATTTATCTGACATCCATACTAGAATATAATCACTTCATTCACAAAGAATCAAAAAGAATATACAACAAAAGAGGTGTCTCTCTTAAAATGTCTGTATTTCATCATAAACATGCTTAACGACACATGTAGCAAATAAACATAACAACAAAAAAATATCAATCATTTTAGGCAAAGATAAGTATTATGGTATAGATAGATTCATCAACCAATATTTGAAAAGATACAAAGAAAGTTAACAAATTTAAAGGAGAGACACAGTATGACTCTAGAGATATAAAGTGCAATTGTCACTACATCAGGATGTAGTGAAGAAATGTGCATTTCTTATATAGTTTGAAGAGTCTTATTATGAGACTACCAGCGTCTTAATATGCCTACCAGCATATCTTGGGGGCTATTGTTTACTTTAAGATTATACTACTAGTCACAGAGACAGGAAGTTCTTTGTTCTTCTCCACCTATGTTCTGGGAGAAGCAAACCCCAGTCATTCTGAATGTCGAAGTGATGCAGTAAGGTCCGAGTTACATAACATTGCAGCAGAAAGTTTTAGTTATTTTGTGGAACAAACTACAGGCCCAATTCGGTAAGAATACGATATCTATTTCTATATATGTTATTTGATATACTAGAAGGCTAGGATGTATCTTGATATAATCTCAGTTGAGTTTGGTAGAATTTTATAGGAGTTTTGTAAAGATGATGTTAGATGTTGTACCTAGCTTTTAGGAGTAGACAAAGAGATGAGTGTGTATAATGTATAGTGTAGAAAGCCGAGTTCTTTGTCTTTGTCAGCAGAAGTTACAGTACATTTAAGTGTTTCAAAGTAGCAAAGATTCTGCTACTATGTAGATGATAACTTGTTTATTATATATATAGTTCATGTCAAATTTAGAGCAAAACTAAGTGTTTAGGAAAGAAACAATTTTCTTTGTTAGTTATTTAACATAGGAACTTAAGTGACGAACCGCGTCTGAATGCGGCCCTGTTCACACTCATGTATGTTTGCTTGTGTGTACTGTTTAATAGTTTACTGCATAGTTTCAATGCAGGGTGTGTTCACATAGATATTTAATCCAGTTTAACTTTAATCTTGTGTCATATATTAATGTGTTGTAATCAGTATCTTTAATTTAGCTATAGGGTTTTTATATGCTTACATGCTGAAACATTTATTCATTATTTGTTTGTTTGTTTATTATCATTACAGATTGTTATCTGAAGGTTTACCGGAGATAGTAATTAACCTGAAGGTTTACCGGAGATATGAAAGTGAAGTTACGAGTTGCTGAATAAAACAGAAGTTGGTTGGACTTTAGCAAATTGTTTCCAGTGTTAATTTTCATCGGTGTGCCTTGTGAATAACAACAGTTGGATTTATTGTTAGACGAAACTCCTTCATATAAAGATTTATGAAGGCAGCCACAATAACAATCGAAGCCTGTTATTCGAAGTCGAATAACAAGCGAAGTTCCACAATAACGAATGAAGTTCGAATGACAAACGAACATCAATTATAAGACTTTTTGCAGCCGTTTAATGAACTTGTAAGCAGACCTAGGTTTATAAAGGCCTGAAGTCATGCCTTTATCAGAGCCTGTATTGCGACGTGAAACGACGACAGAGAGGAATCCCACATCGAAGGCTAGAAGTCTGGCTGGTGTTAAGTTCACCAAGAGCGATGTGGAAGCAGGACAATATGATGCAGTCATCATGAAGGCTACACGTGTAGCGAGCTCACGGATGTATCGTGAGAGTGTGAGGTTAGAACTAGCTGTCATGGAACAGCAGGACAGGCTAGATGCTGTAAAAGTTCAGATGGAGGAACGAAAGATACAACAGCACGACAGGCTTGATGCTCTAAAGGCTGAGCAAGAGCATGCTAGGAGAGTCCGGAATGAGAAACGAAAGCTAATACAGCTGAAGCTGAGTCTGCTGAGAAAGAAGTCGGCTGACAAAAGAAATAGATTAGAAAGAGAGGAAGAGAGTGACAGCTCTGAAGCTGTCATCAAAGATGTCAAATTGCCAAAGGAACAGCCAGGGGATTCCGTCCATGGATTGGCAGTTGGCACAACAACACCTATTCTTGATAGAACTTCTAACCAGACAGGTTTTGAAACGATGGCAGAGTCCATGGCCCATGTGCAACAAAACGTGCTAACGCAGAGACTTGCTGTTGCGAGTCAAGTTCCAAAGTTGGAGATACCGGTATTTAGCGGCGTTGCTGACGGTCATCGAGCCAAGGACTGCACTGAGAGGAAGGTTTGCAAGATTTGTGAAGGGTGTCCCCTTGCCTGCCTGCATACATGTAAGCCAACCGAGAACCAGATAAATCCACCCGAGGAAGCCGCATCCAAGTACACCAATGTCTGCGCTCCTCAAGACAAAGATGAACAGGAGCACTGTATGATTGTGCCAGACTGGGTGAGGTGCAAGGATGATCAGCGTAATGTAGGCTTCGTTTCGGACGAACTGTGTGAGCAGTTAGGAGTACAGGGAACTGATACTACCCTGAGGCTCACCACCATGCACGCAACGGCCAATGTCAGGAGCATGAAGGTGAGCGGTTTACAGGTGTTGGACTTCAATAGGGAGAACAAGATTGACCTACCCCCGTGCTTCTCTAGAGAGTCTATTCCAGGTATCAGAACCCAGATCCCAAGGAGTGAAGGCTTGAAGGAGTGGCCTCATCTTGAGCCAGTTGCTCATGAGTTGATGCCATACAACAGGAGCGTCAAGGTATCGCTCTTAATTGGAAATAACTGTCCCCGAGCCATCCGCCCTCGAGAGGTGATAGCAGGAGGAGAAGATGACCCGTATGCCATTAAGACAGCACTTGGATGGGGAGTAGTTGGCAATGTCTGCCAGACGTCGGTGCAGGAGGATGGTGTTCAGATCTGCAATAGGATATCTGCAATTGAGATGCAGCCAGAGTTTGCCTATGAGAGTAAGGCCAAGGAGATCATGGACACTGAGAAAGGCATCCAGTTTCCGAAAGATAGCTACAAGGACTCAAGTGCAGATGGTGAGCTGTACTCCGTGGAGGAGATGGAATTCAAGGAGATCTTGGAGAGTGGTGCCCGCAGATGTGACAACGGCCACTATGAGATGCCATTACCTCCGAAGTCTGCAAAGCCAAACCTTTCCTTCAACGAGCCACTTCCCTTGAAGAGATGGAAGCAGCTGCCTGGGAGGTTGCGGAAGAACCCAAAATTTGGTGGAGACTACAGAGCATTCATGGATGACGTCATCCAGAATTATGCACCGAGAGTACCTCCAGCAGTTACAGCCCTGTCAGAAGTGGACGCGAGTGCAGCGAGACATGGCCATCAGCGATGTAGTCATCGTGAAGGAGACTGCGGACGTCCAGTGGCCTCTAGCAAGAGTAGCAGAAGTTTTCCTAGTCAAGACGGACGCGTTAGAAAAGGTAAAGCTCCTCATGGTTGATGGAACGCTGAACAGTAATGGTAAACGTCTGAAGAAACCTTGTTACCTTGATAGACCCGTCCACAAACTCGTGTTACTACTGCCGGTAGAGTCTTAGGAATAATTAGTTCTGTTGTTAATAACAGAGATGTAAAACTAATCGTGACCTGTCTTTTTCTTTCCATTTCTCTTTCTTTCTCAATCACTTTCTCACTTTCTCATTCATTCCCTCTTTCTAGATTTCTACCTTTATCTTAGTTTCATGACCTTTACGTTTCTTGTTGTTTTATCCTATATTTGCAAACAAGTTTGTCATTATCACGCAGAAGACAGTAGGGATTCCCCCTCAAGGAGCCTTTATCTCATTGTTGTATATTTTTCTGATGTCAGAAGTGTCCTCATTCGCACATATGTAGCCATGCGGTTATTAACGAAAGGTGTTGATTAAGTTTACTTCGTATACATGTTAGTTACATGTCAGGTGTATTACACTTATTTTGATTGATTACCAATCAAGCAGTAGTTAGAGCATTAATGGGTTAAGTTGATATATCTTATGCATTGTAGATAATGTTCATGAAAGTTACATGAATGATGAATGATCGTTAGAGGTTAATGTTGTTCCTTGGTAGTAATAGTAGTGCAGTATGTCTATCTATGTTGTAGCGTAGTCTTAAATTTGGATATTAACAGTTATTTTAGTAAATGTTACTAACATTTAAAGGAGCCATGTCACTACATCAGGATGTAGTGAAGAAATGTGCATTTCTTATATAGTTTGAAGAGTCTTATTATGAGACTACCAGCGTCTTAATATGCCTACCAGCATATCTTGGGGGCTATTGTTTACTTTAAGATTATACTACTAGTCACAGAGACAGGAAGTTCTTTGTTCTTCTCCACCTATGTTCTGGGAGAAGCAAACCCCAGTCATTCTGAATGTCGAAGTGATGCAGTAAGGTCCGAGTTACATAACATTGCAGCAGAAAGTTTTAGTTATTTTGTGGAACAAACTACAGGCCCAATTCGGTAAGAATACGATATCTATTTCTATATATGTTATTTGATATACTAGAAGGCTAGGATGTATCTTGATATAATCTCAGTTGAGTTTGGTAGAATTTTATAGGAGTTTTGTAAAGATGATGTTAGATGTTGTACCTAGCTTTTAGGAGTAGACAAAGAGATGAGTGTGTATAATGTATAGTGTAGAAAGCCGAGTTCTTTGTCTTTGTCAGCAGAAGTTACAGTACATTTAAGTGTTTCAAAGTAGCAAAGATTCTGCTACTATGTAGATGATAACTTGTTTATTATATATATAGTTCATGTCAAATTTAGAGCAAAACTAAGTGTTTAGGAAAGAAACAATTTTCTTTGTTAGTTATTTAACATAGGAACTTAAGTGACGAACCGCGTCTGAATGCGGCCCTGTTCACACTCATGTATGTTTGCTTGTGTGTACTGTTTAATAGTTTACTGCATAGTTTCAATGCAGGGTGTGTTCACATAGATATTTAATCCAGTTTAACTTTAATCTTGTGTCATATATTAATGTGTTGTAATCAGTATCTTTAATTTAGCTATAGGGTTTTTATATGCTTACATGCTGAAACATTTATTCATTATTTGTTTGTTTGTTTATTATCATTACAGATTGTTATCTGAAGGTTTACCGGAGATAGTAATTAACCTGAAGGTTTACCGGAGATATGAAAGTGAAGTTACGAGTTGCTGAATAAAACAGAAGTTGGTTGGACTTTAGCAAATTGTTTCCAGTGTTAATTTTCATCGGTGTGCCTTGTGAATAACAACAGTTGGATTTATTGTTAGACGAAACTCCTTCATATAAAGATTTATGAAGGCAGCCACAGCAATAGTGAGAAAGAGAACTAAAGAGAGAAAAATATATGAGCATGTGAAAGAGAGCGAGAGAAAGTGAAAGAAAGTGAGATAAAGTGAGAGAAAGATGGAGAAAAATAGACAAAGATGTGTATGTCATCAAATGGGAAGAAGTTTGGTGAGAGAGAGAGAGAGAGAGAGAGAGAGAGAGAAAGCAAGAGATGGAAGTTATGTGTATTCTACAAGATGAGCGAGTAAAAAGGTGTGGCAAGAGAGAGAAAGAGAGAGAGTGAAAAATGAAAGATATATGTATTTCATCGATGGAAAAGTATGTAATTTGGCGAGAGAGAGAAAGAGAAAAAGAGGGAGCGGGTGAAAGAAGACAAGATTAAATGGGGCAGCAAAAGGTTGAACAGATAAAATAGTCAAAAGAAGTGGCAACATACACAATAATAAACACAAAATGTACATAGACCGACCTACCTCACATCCACTTCTCCAGAATTATGCATAAGAAAAGCGCCCTCTTGTGTTTTCATTCTCATGAGGTATGATTGAAGCTTTGGTCTATGAGAAAAAATGGATAAAAAAGTGAGTACATTTTTGTAAAGGAGGTCCATATTGGCAAGGCTCTGCACTGCTGTCAAATTGTATTATGGTCCAATTTTTATTACAGCTGCAGACATTGACTGTTATCACAAGAAAAGCATAAATATCAAACAAACACGATTCAATTGTTGATAAATTCAACCGTTATTAACAAATTTAATGCGGGTTCTAACTTCTTTGTATCCAAGGCATTCTATCTCTCATCTGAAATCCACTCACTTAACATGCAATGTAAGCATAAACTCTTACACACATGATAAGGCATCAGATAAATATTAGAAGCAAAATACTTATCATCATTAGTCTGAAAAATACATGATGAACGGTCGATTTTTGAAATCTTCAAAATAAGACCCTGCAAAGCAAACACAATAAAATATATATATTCCTTGTGTCTGTTCAACACTAGGTGAAAAAAAATTGGCCTAACTGGAGAATACACCACAAACCACTAGTGCAATGTAGGGCCACGTTTAGGGTCACGTTTAGAGAAAGGCTGTGCACAACTGTGTAATGAGGTACCCAAGTACACTCCCATGCTTACAAGTGAATACTCAAATATTCGGACGCCATGTTTTTTTAAATTTTTAATTTTTTTTTAATTTTTTAATTTTTTTGCCACCACCATACCACGGGAGCAGTATCCCAGGTCCGTCTCCGAAAACTCATGCAATTTGACTTCCAGTTGCAGTTGAAGGCGCCGATTTAATAATAAAGATAACAGTAAACAATGCTGTTTTAAAAACCAAAGATGGCAGAATAATCCATTTTCCTCCGAATCCAAACAGAAATCCATACATTTGGTCCAAGTTTCTGAGTGGTGAGTTTGAAAGTGATTGAGCTGAGAAACATTTTTACCGACAGTACCATGCCAGCGGCAGGCGCTCTCCCTGGCACAGGTAAGCGTCGGCCTGGACAGTGCCAGGTGACCGGGATTTTTTTTTTTGCGGCCGAATATTCGAGTACGAAAAATCGTACTCGAGGATTTGTCAACAGTGCGGGTACTCGAGCTTTTGACTACCTACTCGTCGCAGCCCTAGTTTAGAGTCAGGGTCAAGGTAAAGGCTACCTGAGGGGTGAGGTATTCTGCAGTTGCTTTGTTTTAAAGGAAATTCTCCTGATAAACTTTTGTTCCATTCAATACTTCAAATGAGCCGGTTCTCACCTATCAATGATGTTATACGCCTCTTCTGTTCCTAGAGTACTGAGGGCAAGCACTGCAGCATAGGTGGGGGCTAGATGGGCAATTTGGCCTGGTCCTCCTGTACCGTGATAGGAAATACAATGTAATATCGAGGGGTCAGTGGCACAAAGACATAACTTCATTTTGGCTATTTTGAGAAAAAGTGGTTAATGTGTCACTGAGCACTTGGGTTTAAGACTATATTTCACTAGCCATTGACTTCAATGGGGGTGTTGGGTGAACTCAAGTCTTTGTGTTTCCTGGAAAGCCCACATTTTTATGAACATTTTGATATCAAAAACTCATTTTGGCAATATCTTTGTGTCACTGAACCCTCGATATGTCCCTAGGACTTGTGTTTGTGCTAGTTACAGTTTTGCTTTCTCATGACTATTTGGTACTTCAACCAAGAATTTAAAAAATAGATGTTATAAAATATAGCAATGACTTTTATGTTTAATGGAAATATGCCAAATAACAATTACAAAAAGTTTTGATATTTTATCCAATATCGGCAAAAGCAACATCTGAAGTGGAGCACTACAATGAAATACAATGAAATACATAACTACGTGAATTGTACTTACTAAAAAGTTGTAACTTGGCAACCACTTATTATTTTCATGCACAAATGTATGTGGTGTTAATTCAGGAAATAGCAAAAAGTGGTGTTCTTTTGTTAAAGGCCAAAGAAGGAACTGTCCCAGTAATGAGGAAATATTTTACGATTATGCTCAAGTTCTAATAGACAAGAAGTTTTAATTTTCATTACCGGTAGTCAAAATTCTCATTCAAGTTTGCCATTCCTGCCAAATGCTTACAAAACAAATTACCATCTACAGCTGTGTCAGGTTTTCCTGATGACTTACAAGATCATATTCCAATTTCTCAATATTTCACACTGGCAATTACTAAACTTGGCCTTTAATTTGTGATGAGGACTAGAGTTAAAACACTAATATGATTTTCGGGTATAACAAAATACAATTAAACACACATTGTCAAGGCATCTAAAACTGAATGTGTTAGTATGTATACTCAAGTACAAACATAACATTAAAATTAAATTAGCTAATGATAATCAAGAAAATCTGACAAGGATGTCTTCAGAACTATTCCATAACTTCAATGAAAATCATGATCAGTGCAAAAAACAATTTTAAAACACTGTGATGGGGGCTCTATTTATATGTGGTGTGGTAAATGTGCAATTTTTTAATGCATTTCATTATTTTTAACCAGAGTTTTTTTCAGATTTATTGGAGATCTTTTTCTAGAAATTTATTGATAACTAAGCTCTAGTGAATATTATTTAAATACTCATGATTCTAGTTCTTAGAACTATTAAAGCCTATCTGCACTAGTTTGGCCAGGAGGGATTAGAACTCTCAATTAACCTAAGAAAAAGGGGACCAATGGTCACCGATTAGGCATTGTTTGCTATATAGAGGGCGCAAGTACATGTAGCTAAAAGTAGTGCAGTGGGGCTTTAAAAAGAGATACAATATCAAAATCTTAGTCCAAAGAGAGATTAAATGAAGAGTTAAATTTTTTGTTTTTTACCTGCAAAACCTCCATCTGGACATTGACATTGGCCAAGGAACTGGGCAATGCTGCAAAGAGAAATAGGGTGAACGAGAAAGAGAAATGAGTTATCAAGGTATGAAATACAAGAAGTAACAGAAGACTTCTATTCACTTGTTTAACTTGGATAGTGTGTATACAAAATTTCTATGTTTCACTTTTTCCGCTTTACTGTTATTTTTTAAATTTCTGTGATGCCGTAAGTAGATCATACACGTGGTATATTTTCAATAGCCCACAGTTATTAAAAAGGGTACATATGTGTCCACAATTATTTGAAATTGAAACCAAACATTCTACAATATTTGGGATTAAATTCATTCACATTTTGGGGCAAAAATTTACCGCTCTGGGCTTTAATCCTGAGTTAGGGTAAGGGGTAAGAGTTAGGGTTGTAATTGGGTTTTAGGGCTAGGTTTAGCATTGTGTCCCTGGTTGAAGTTAGGAATTTGGATAGTGTAGAGACTAGAGAATTATCACAGAAAAATTGTCGCGGATGCGAGTGTTGTGCAACCAATCAAAATAGTTTCAGCATACTTACCTCGAGGACTGTTCGGGGTGAATTTTTCTCCTAGGAGTTCTAGACTGTGTACAATCCAGTAACAGAGCCATGGTCGACTGGCATCCAATACCTCGTAGGACTCGGAGAGGTAACATAGACCCTTGTTGAGATAGGCAAGATGTTTAAAACGCTCTAATACAGGTCTGAAAATAGAGAGGAAAAGGGGGAATTATGATATTTACAACAATAATAAGAAGAAGAGTGATAGCGATACTTATAGTAATACTGATAATAATAATAATAATAATAACAATAACAATGATGATATTGATGATGATAATAGTGGTAAAGACCGAATAATCCTGGATCAAGTGAGTTACAAGTGAGTAATGATAATGATAACAATAAATAAATATTTATAAACAAATAAATACATGAATGAATATATACAAAAAATGATTTGAAAGTCTATATGGCACAACATCTTGTAAAGACCTTCAGTGCACTTCACAATAATTTCAAATTTAACATAAAATTTCAGAACCATGTTTTATGATCACGATTCACATACTATTATTTCCAAACAGTTTTTCAGTTAGTACCCAGTTATCACGTTCATGCATGCACAAAAACGTGCATCATTTCTGCAGGAGTGTTCCTACTATATGGGCACTGTGTGAGCTTAAGGCAAATCAAAATCATCTTTTATTGTCGGGATGAATAATGACGCTTACCCTTTATCCTCTGGTGCCAAATTCTTGATCCGAGCTCTGTACATGGCAAACTTGTTGTCCACTAGCTTTTCTACATCTTCCTGCACAGCATAACATGGATGAGACAAAGCAATAGAATGGTCACATGCAAAAAATAATCTTTTTCTGTTCATTCAAGTTGTAAATTTCAGTAATCATTACACCTACAGTGCGAGTGACCTAATGTTCCATTTAATAAAGTGCATTATCATCCTAAATTACGAAGAAGAACACAAAATGTAGAACATTCAAAATAGCTATCTCCTTTATTTTAAAAAAAATCTACTACTGTAACACAGCAGGAATAAGAAGATGAATAACAAATGAGAAGAGAATTGAAATACAATGCAAAAAAAACCCCACAACACACAAACAATCTTTTATGTTTCTTTTGTAAATTAATTCATTTTCTGCTTTGGAGTTATTTCTCTAGTGACTTTAATCCTGCTCATAAACTTCTTCTTGCACTCCTTAACTATAAGAAGCTACTGCTAAATCTTAATGAAGATGCTAAATAAAGAGACATCTTGACGAGACCAGAGCCTTTGTTCAACTGCTCTTTACTTGGAGAAATTCAACTCTAACAGATATAATAAATAATAAATATATATATAACAATATATAATGGTTTGGTCTGGACAAATTATTGTCTTATGAATACTATGACAAATCAATGCATTACTTTAAATGCACATTATTTTCTGGTGTCAAATTTCCATCTTCTTCTTCTTTACCTTCTTCTCTTCCTCCTTCTTCTCCTCCTTTTTCTTTTATCTCCTAGCTCCTCCTCTTCCTTCTTCTTCCTCTCCTTCGTCTTCTCCTTCTTCTCCTCCCCTTATTCTTCTTCTTCTTCTTCTTGACTTCTTCCCTGGGCTTACATACAGCCTTACAAACAAGTTACACTTACAAATACAGGCACTAAATAACTAATTTAATTTCTCACATTTCACAACACACAAATCTCAACGTATGGGTAGGCCTATACACAAAACTACTGATGAATATTAATCTACATTTGTCAGTCGCTTTTAACACAATTCCTCCATTCACAAAACAAACCTGTTGCTCAGATGTTGAAGTTGGAACCCCATCATCAAGAAAATGCTGATTTGCAAGCCAATCTTCTTTCTCAATGCATCTAGCTGCCTCCATTTTTAGATTTTTCTCAGCTTATTGTATTCGAAATTGTGGAGCCGCATGTGTATACACTGTACGCGAGAAAGAAGCACTTATCCTTACACAGTATACAGGGTATATGCTCCGATCCGGGTCAGCTCCATCCAGGAGGTCCTGCTATTTTTGTTTTGAAAGTTATTTTATTGTTCATTCAACGTACAAACAAAAATAAAAGAATGATGACATAAACATATGATTTGTAATAACATTACAAGATATATTGGAGTGACATTATTTTAACCGCAACTTTATATGTTACATCTCAATTATTACAAATGTATAAATTACACTGCAGAAACATCGACAGTTGTAATAAGTTATAAACTTATATATTTTATTACAATATGATATGTTGTGCACCAAATGAATCCAGAGCGACCCAGAGGCCCGCCCGACTGAACGGACTTGCCCCATTGCTATTGATGACCCCTCCCCCCCCGGCCCCCCCCCCCCCCAAGAATGAAAACCTTGATTAACCACCCTTCCACACCCGGCCCGGTAAATATGTATTCATCCATAACCTCTATTATAAAACTAGATCTTTTTCTTCTTCTTCTTTCACAATGTGGAGCATTTAAAATGTGTGTGTGTGGGGGGGGGGGGGGGGGGGGGTGGTCTAGATGTTTTTCAAATTACAACACACCAATTTTTCCATTCATTTCAAATTGCACATTGAAAATGCCTTGAGGGTTCCAGTGCCTGAAAGACAGAAAGAAGGGAGGCACTCTTTACAACCCCCCCCCCCCCCCACCGGCCTCCCGACCGATGTATCCATCATTTCCCCTGAAAAGTGAATTTCACAGTAAACCAGTAATTTACTACAGGATGATCAAGGGAGGTTCCCGTTCCGTGTCATGACCTCTTGTTTAGGCTGACTGGTAGGCCTATTATGAAGCTCATAATAACTCAATAACTTATGTACAAGGCCGACTAAATCCCTTCGTACTGTAGGCCCAGGGGCGGCGATTTCTTTTCATGACCGGGGGGGGGGGGGATGCGAGGGAGCAGTGGCGTAATGAGCAAAAACGTTTTTGGGGGGCAAAAAAAAAAATCCACATCACCACCGCTCTTACATGTTACGCAGACCCTGGGAACGTTTCTCTGAATACGGGGGGGGGGGGGGGGGGGAGTACGACCAGGTAGAGCAAAGCAAAGCAAAGTGGATCGTAAATTGGCGTGGGGTCCAGGGGAAAAGCCCCGGCGGGTGTCAAGGTGCTGGAATGCTGAAACTATGCATTCCATAGGAACCTAGGCTTACATGCAAACTGTTGTATGAACAAAATGCGTTTGGTACTTTTAAAATCCGCGCAGCCCCCGGTCTTGCGGCCGATGCATCTTTTTAACAGTTTGCCCCAAATCCTGACAACCACTGATAAGCTTATACAGGGCGTCTCAGAAAAAATGAAACCAAGAATTATCGATGTTTTATCATAACTTAATCACAATTATGAGATAAGAGTAAAAGGTAGAAAAAATGCGGGAAAAGAGGGAAAAAGAGACAGAGCTATATTGTATGTGTGTCCGTTTTTCCATTTAAAATGCAAAATATTCCCCCTCTTAAAGATATCCCCTCCAAATTGTCACCATCTCGTACATCATTTTCCAATGCCGCGAAAGAATTTTAGTTTTATTTATTAGAAATAAATTTTGGAATAACGTCAGCCTCTCAAAAAAAGTATCAGAAACTGCAAGATGCCCAAATGATATTACTTTGCATGCGCGGATCCAGGGGGGCTGGCTCCCCTTCCCTCGAAAAGAAAAACGTGTAAGCTTTAATTTTACCCTTTTTTTTTTAGATGTGCCCCCTCTCCCTAGCGCTCAAGGGGGAGGGGAGATTTTTCTAATTTACGAGGGCCCCCCCAAAAATAGTGCTCCCTAGCCCCCTCCTAACCCCCCCCCCCCTTACTGAGCGAATTATCGACCGGCGCGATTTCCAAATTTTCGGGAGCAAAAAAAAAAAAAAAAAAAATAGTGCTCACTTCCCCCCCCCCCCCACCCCCCCCCCCCCCCCCCCCCCACTGGTCGAATTATCGGCCGGTTGTTTCGCCACTAAATATTTTCTCACGAATTGGGCCCCTCCCCTGCCGTCGGCTGGATCCGCCCCTGTTCGTTGTATACCGTTCTCGACTCTTAATAAGATTTGACGCTTCCTTATGTTATTAGAGAAGGTAAACGATTCGTTGTACCGTTCTCGGCTCTGAATCCTTGTCTGAATTAAGTTCCCCCCCCCCCCCTTCCCCGCCCCCTCTCCCGCGGAAGCTTTGACGTTTCTTTACATTATTAGAGAATGAAGACGATTCGTTGTACCATTCTCGACTCTAATTAATCCATGTCTGTATTCAGTCCCCCCCCCCCCCCCACACCCGCGCTAAGCGCTTAAGTTTTGACGTTTCATTTAATTGTTACAGAAAGAAGACGATTCGATCAGGGATTTTATCCCTGATTCGATGTACCATTCTCGACTCTCAATCCTTGTTGGAATTCAGTTTCCCCCCGTCCCCCACTTTGACGTTTCATATTAGAGAAAGAAGACGATTCGTTGTACCGTTCTCGACTTGTCTAAATTTTTAAAAATGTGACACTTTGTCTGTTCCTTTTCCTTCCTACATCCTCTTACTCCCCCCCCCCTCTCTCTCTCTCTCTCTCTCTCTCTCTTTGACCGGCATTTTTTTTTTTTGAGGGGGGGGGGGCGACTGCTCCACCGCATCCCTGCCTCGCGTCTGCTTAAGAGGGGAAATGTAACAATCATGTGAGAGCACACAATTATGTTAGTAGAAATTAAGAAAGAAAAAAAAGAAAAAGATCTATTAAACCAACCATGGATAAATCACGGCCGGGAGCGTGGGTGGAATGTCATATCATAGTTTTGTGTTATTGGGCGAGGGGGCGTAAAAACCAAACGAAATTTTGCAATGTTGAATGTTATGCATTCCATAATCCCTAAGCCCATAATGTACGTTCTTTCCGCTATATTTCAAAATTTCCTGGGGGACGTGTCCCTCCCAATCTGGCCCAGGATCGTCGCCCCTGTCCATGATTACTACCAACATGAGTTCAAATACAAGCACAAGTAAAACATTTTTTTTTTAACTCGCCCGACTTCTCTCTCTCCCCCCCCCCCCTACTCAGTGTTATTTAGAGTACGCGTATGCATGTTCCCTCTCTTTGAAAGCACCTCCTATGCTCTCCGGTGTGTAAACTCATGCAATACGGGCCGGATTTTTGTGTATTACGAGCCGGACTTTGTTGCGTGAAAAGTACCCCTTTACCCGAAATTTAGGAAACACGAACGCGGTCCCTCCGACCCCGGAGTGCAGGGGGGGGGGCTTTCTTTTTTTCCTTTCTCCTTTTCTATTTCTCTCTCTCTCTCTCTCTCTGTTTCTTTTCTCTTCTCTTTTCTTTTCTTTTTATCTTTTCCATTCTTTTCTATTCTCCTTTTTCCTCTTCTTTTCTTTCGCTTTTTTCCTTCCCTTTGCGCCGCGAATAGGGGGGGGGGGGGCGCAAAATTTAGAAACGGGGTAATTTCAGGCAGCGAGGTCCTGAATATCCCAAATGATATAACGATATTTGGGCACCCGAATGTCGTCATAAATCGGGCAGCATGCCCCCCCCCCAGTATAAAAGACCTTATTTGTGGTACTTTTATATCCGAATAAAATTTATACCAGAACAAGGTGTCTCCCCCCCCCCCCTCGTTTGCTTCATTCTCGCATAAAATAATGATAAATCGGGATGATTCCTGGCAACGAGATGAACGAATAAATAACTTAATATTTTTATCTAGTTAATATTGATGAATAAATTACATTTTCTTTTTTGATCGCTCACTTCCAACATTTGGGATCTGGATAATATATCATTTTCGGACAAAAGTTCCTCACGATATACGACGGCCCTCACGCGAAAACGTGCCAGTACTTCTAGCCTCTATGTGTGAAGGATGAAAAACAATCTTCTCTGATGAATTTGGGATTTCGGTGACGCGAAACTTTTTAACTCCTGAAGGGTGCAGTGACTGAACCCACCCCCCCCCCCCGAAAACCAAAAAATGCTGCCTTTGTCATCGGTGTTCCCCAATGACTGAGCCCACGCTACGCTACGCTACGCCACTGGTCGTGCTGGTGATAATGATGATTAGTCAAAACTCTTCTTCGGAGTATTTAGGAGGAAAAGGATCCAAGATCCAAGATGATGATGATGATGATGATGATTGATGGGGATGATGTTTATGATTGTAGAGGTAGTGGTTAAGATGCTAATGATGACGATCGACGACGATGAAAATGATATCTATTATGACAAAATGACATGAATGAAAATCGTTTACATCCATAACATTACAATGATGATGATGATGATGATGATGATGATGATGATGATGATGATAACATGAATTTGATTTTCCCCCTGATCTTCGCTCTGTATATATTGTAGCCTCGACTGGGCCTTGGGATGTTTCCGTTTCCTTACATTATATGCACACATACCCGGATGTAATTGGCCATTGCATTAGCAAATTTAGATTGCAGTTTGTTGTAGATACCGTAACAAAATGGTGAGTGTATTTCGCATATTCTATATTATTTGTGATACGTGATTTGTTTTGGCGTGTAATTCTTCTTCTTAAGTAGATTATGAAAATATTTTTGGAAAGGATGATTGTATTTGTTCAGAAATGGCGTAAATATTGACCGTGCCCTCCCATGATTTTGCTGTGGGCAACTCCCTGTGTAGTCCCATCCGTGAATGATCGTGTTGCAAAAGAGGCTTAATTAAGCACATCAGTTTATCTTGTTCCATTTTGCGCCCTATTTATTTTTAGTTTAATTACCATGTATTTCGTCGAAGATACTCATAGAGTTCCGTATTAGCAATTAATCAACTTCATTCCACGAATGTGTAAAGCTAACTTGGATAAGTCATAAATTTGATGAATGATGCCTGGAATTTTATTGTGCTGCAAAGGCAAAAGCGGAATAGTTCCAGACTTTCTTCACCTCTATTTTTGTCCCAGATTGTGATAAAAATATGAAAAAAATGCCACAAGTTAAAATTCTACTAACACATGGACAGAATCAATAGCTTACATCATATATATAGTGCCTTTATTTTTATGCATTTTTGGGAGTAATTTTTTCAATAGAAAGATATTCCTAAATGAAATCGTCATGCAATTTTAGATGATAAGCGATAGTTCATAAAATTCATATTCTTTTTCTTTCGCACCCTGACACTCTTGTATTAATGTAGGCAGTCACTAACAAAACTTCGCTTCTGTTTTAAAAGCATGCATTTACACAGAGCTCTGTAGGCTGCCTATGCATATAATATTACTTTTACACACTTCGCTACACATGTCTTGTGTGACTAAATGTAAACCTTAGCAAGAAGTTAAATTTTGTGTTTAATGATGATGATGATTGAAAGCATTTGTATGGCGCCATATATCTGTTTAAAAAAGACATTCAAAGGCGCGAGCTCCTCAAATAAAGTAAGCATTTAAATGTCTGAACTTTGAAGGAAGATGTGAGTTTTGAGTGATGCTTTGAAGTGGTCCAGGTTGTCAATTTCATGAATAAATGGTGGCAGGGAATTCCTCAGGCAAGGAGCAATAGAGGAAAATGCCCGGTCTCCATATCCCTTGAGATGAGTAATGGGTATCTAGAGAGTAAGGCCAGATGAGCGAAGTCCAGGGCGAAGATGATGGGGCTCTATGATAATGTAAAATATTGGCACCCATATGCTTGCGTGAAGATCGATGTAAACGAAACCTTAAATGCGTCCGTAATCACCCATTCCCGCATCAAGTTAAAGGCGACTTTTAAAATCAAGGCAGGGTGACAGAATTTCAAAATTTGGAAAATGTTCCATTCAATCTCCAAGCTGGGAGAAGGTACCTTTACAAATATGAACTGTTCAGGTGTTCTTTTCAGCGTTACTTGCATGTGGTACGTGTGTGATTTGGGGCTGAGAAAGGATTATTGCAAATATCGACCTATTATTGGGACAATTGGGACGATGCAGTTAAATCTATAATTCAATTTTTGTCTTCCTCAAATGTATAAATTAATGTTAAGATTTGTTACTACAAATGTAATTATGTTTTGTATACATTTTACATTGTTTTCATTATTATGTATTGTATTCTGTTGGAAATGGAAAAATAAAAATGAATGAAAATGAATTCTGATGATAAGTATTGAAATGCCCTTGGGATAATGTACTGTACATATATAAGATTGAAACAAAGTTTTTTTTTTTCATTGTATCTACAGGGTAATGATGTCACACTACCGATGGAGATGTGCTCCAACTGTAAGTAATTCAAACCTTATTTTTGCGTATAAACATTTTTTTATTTACCTTTACCTTTTACCCGAGATTCTGGAAGAATGCTGTGTTCTCAGCAGTCGGGCTTCCAGTTCAATTTCATTTTCTTCCTTCTCGTAGTTGGGTGTCTTCTTGGTAAGTGTCTGGCTCAGTTCTGCGTCGGGTATTCTACTCATATGGGGAGCAGAAACGCTTGTCCTTCCATACTCGATCCAGTCTGGCTTTAAAGGCATTCACCGTGGTAGCAGTGACCACCTCTTCAGGAAGTGTGTTCCAGTCATTGATGACACGTTGGCTGAATGCATCCTGTCTAATCTTCGTTGAGCATCTTTGTTTTACGATCTTTAGACTGTGGCCTCTTGTGTTGCTAGTCGAGTGTTCAAAGAAGGTATCAACTGGGATGCGTTCAAGTCCATGGATAATTTTGAAAACCTGAATCATGTCGCCTCGCCGTCTGCGATATTCGAGGGAGGGAAGGTTGAGCGCCCGAAGTCTCTCTATGTAAGGACGGTTGCGGATGTCATAAATCATTTTGGTAGCTCTCTTCTGCACCCTCTCTATGGTTTTGGAGTCTGTCTTGAAGCGAGGGTACCATATGGAATCTCCGTAATCTATGAGAAGTCTGACAAGGCCTTTGTACAGCTTTGGAATTGTGGACCTGTCTCTGCACTCAAAGCTGCGACGGATGCAGGAGAGTACTCCGTTGGCTTTCTTGACAGCATATGCCACATGGTTATGGAACTTTAGCTCGTCATCAATGAGGATGCCGAGGTCTTTCTCCTCTGATGTAGCTTCAAGGACATCATCTCCAAGGGCATAGATGTGTTTGACGTTTCCTGGGCCTATGTGTAGTACTTTGCACTTTTGTGTGTTGAAGTGCATTTGCCATGTATTGCTCCATTCCATTAGTGCATCAAGGTCAGATTGGATTGAGCACAGATCATCTTTGGTGGATGCTTTGCCATACAGTTTAGTGTCGTCAGCATAGATCTTGACAGACCCTTGAAGTCCATCTGGTAGGTCATTGATGCACAAGACAAACATTGTTGCTGTATTATTAGCATATTATGAGAAACTGTTGTGGTTTTATTTGTAATGTGCATGCTATTCAGCCAGGTTTTAATGACTATTTTCCATGTCTATACATTATAGTGGGATTCTATTGAGGAAGAGAAATATAAGGAAAATAGACTATATGAAAGGAAATTGATACCATCTAAAGAAGTTGTACAAGATGCAATATGAAAACAGCATTATTGACTAACTTTAGAAGTGACACCAAGAAAAATATTCATGATTATGTGAGCATTTTCGTAATAAGTGACATAAGCGGCTGTGACTTCAGTGTGAATTGTTGACTAGCCACATAAAGGAAATTTTAAAATCATCCAGAATTTGCTTTATGCTGGGTAGTCACACAGAGACTGAATTGTTGATGGTTCTTGATCTTATGTTATATGAATATCAGGCCTTAAATTTCAACATTTTTAGGGCAAGGCCACTTTTCTGTAGGGCACATTCCTATATTACAGCACTAATGGGAAGAATTGGAAAGGGCACAAAAAATCTCCAAGGCCAATGAGAGGGGCATTGAGGCCAATCAAAGGGGCATCCAAGATCATGGCCTTGGTGGCCTTGGATTAATTTAAGGCCTGGAATATAAACTCTGGGGGATTTGCACCTTATGGACCTTCCAACTGAGTTTTGTAACTTGTAGATCTACATGTACGAGGTTGGATCTGAAGTTCAAGGAGATGAAATACAATTGTTGTCAATTCTTTGTTATTGTCAATCAAATAATTGCACTCCTACACATGCCATTTACATGTAGCAATACCCTAACTTTACCCTGGGTTTAAAACATTTTCACCAGTCCCTGCTGTAAGCAAAGAAAATAAGTTCTGATATTTCAAGTTTTCAACAAAGAAATAAAAGCAAGGCCCAACACAAATCTGTAACTGTCACCAAAAGCTAACCTCTAGGGTTACACTTCAAATAAAACATAGAAATCAGATTTTCAACTAAAGAAATTTTGTTGCAACTCTTATTCTTTCTTTGACTCCTCAGAACTTGGTCCTGTAATTGACCTATATTCCCCCACACTTCTCTAGCTTCCCTTTTTTTATGTCTCAAATTATGTACAGAACCTGGAACAGATGCTTAATCATACCTTCCTATTTATCAATACTGGGCCAGCACAATAATCCCTGGCCTTAGCTGAATCAATTAACTCTCTACCATCAATGGTACATTTCAGATCTTCACTCTTTTTCTATTTCTTCACTTCAACATTCAGTACCAACTTACATATACTTCTTTCTTCAATTATATACCTATCTCTCTCTCAATTGAGAACCAAAGTCCCACACAAAAATAAAATAAATATTTATGTGCATTTTCAAAGTGACAGTTATTGTTATATAAAATATTCATCAATGCTAGCAGCCTAGCATGCTATTCACACTTGTATTCTTGCTCAGTAGAATAATTCATAAAAATCATTTTTTTAAACAGAATATTTTTCACATGAGCATTTAGCATTTGAGGAGTTTCTGTGTCCTTTTGTGACTTTTGTCTGTATTTGTAAAATCCATTTGTATGCTAACTACATAGTATAAAAGTATAGCAAATAATTACATGTACACTGCACTTAGTAGAGAGTCTATAGTACTGTCCGGTCTGTTCATCATAACAGTATCACTTTCTTTAACTTACACTAGTCCAACATGAACTTAATAGTGTGTGTATGCATGAGTCCTCTATGGACTGGCCTTGGGTCTTGTGAGGGCAATATATGTGGTATCTCCCGAAAGTTAGAGATAAAGACCAGTTATGGTCATGCGATTGCATGGTGAAAGAAACGTTGTGGAATCAATCAGAAAAGGTTGATCATCTAGCATATAAGTATTGGTGTGTACTGCAAGGTTCTGGAATCATCGAAATGATAAGAAATTTGGCCCAGTCTTCGTAAAGTTACAAGCACAGTACACAGAAAGATGTATATGGGACCATGCACACGTGTGTGACACGTGCGTTTATCTCTCACAGTCCAATAGATAAACTAATTTACCAAATATATCAATTAGTAGGCGGTTTACCGGCAAAATTGTTATCATGTACATGTACATGTATTAGTCAAAACATATTCTTTCACATGATTGGTAATAAAGAGCTTCCATTTCATTTTTTGAAATTGGGGCGTTTCCAATACTGGTCTTTACCTTTTAAAAGCCAGTCAATATTGTTATTGTTATTCAAATCAGACATCTAGAGCAAACACATAAATCAACCATGACAATCTTATAGAACTAAAAAAAAACTTTGTCAAACCAGCACTTTGCATCCAGTGCTTGACAAAATTTTCGATACACTACAAACAGTGTACCTAATTTTGTGTGATTATTACGGTACGTCACAATAGAGTGCGAGCAAAGTGCGCAGGTTCTTGTACGCATAATAGATGCGCAATGATAATAACAAAATACGGCGCGGTGAATATGAGACTGTATTTCCTGCTTTTTCAACACATAAAGGCCATAGGCTTTTCATGAGAGGGTAATATGGTCTCGTATTGACTGATTATCTCTTTTAGGATTACAACAAGTGTAATATGATTTTGTAAGACCACTGCTCGGATGTCTGATACAGGTAATAATTAAAAATATTTGGGGTCCGTACTGATATTTGGGCACCCATGTGTCCCGGGTGCCTGTTAGTGTCCAGCCCTGGTAATTGTGGGTATTTTAAAAGGAATTTTATTTTCAAGGAAATAAACTAAACTGCATTATAAAGTTGAGCTTGTGAAATATGCATGATTTTCATGCAGCATGATCACTTCTGATTCACCTGTTTCTGGCCCCATTTACCCATCCTTTCAGCATATATTTCCATTTTGTAATATTTCTTTACTATTGTAAACACATGTTTTGTACACATATTGTTACTGCTGTTGGTGAATAAATAAATAAGTAAATGAATAAATGAATAGAGTAGACAAATATGGGGGTGTATTATATACCGGTACACTTAGACTGTAGGGCAAGTCACTGTATTGTGTTGTTTCGTAGTCCCATCAGTGGCAGTCGACCAAACCAGTATGAAAATATAAATAAAATTATTACAAACATATTTACCGTTTGTTCTCCTCATTTTCTTTACGGTTTTTCGTGAAAACTAATTAAAGATAATAATTATGTTTCCTCCTAATAATCGTGGGTAATATCCCGGGAAATCGGAGGTGTGTCCAATTCAACCAATCACGAGGCGGGATTTTCCCTACGTCATTGTCCTCGTTCGCTACTTAAAAACATCTAACAACCATAATGGAGAATGACACCGATGAAGTTTCGTCACCGATACAGAGATAAAGAGGTGTTTTATTCACTTCCCGACTGTGGATGATGTCGTTTTGAAAGAATTTACAGACACAAAATGGTCCAAAGCTTTTGCTTCTGCTGAGATTTTGAAAAATACGGACGGAGAAAAGAGCAAAATTGCGACGGATTTCCTTGCCAATGTCGCCCGTATTGAACCGTATACAGCGACAGTGGCAGTGGTGCATTGCAAATGACAATGTTGTAATTTGCGCTGCACTGGTACTGTCGCTGTATGTATACGGTTCAATACCGGCGACATTGGCAAGGAAATCCGTCGCAATTTTGCACTTTTCTCCGTAAAATACCTCGAGATTCTAACAAGACTGAATTTGAAGGTGAGTTTCAATTTCTTTGTTTGCAATAACCATGATAACCCAGCAAAAATTAAGGCCCTGTCTTTGACTTTGATCTAGATCTAGCCTCATTAAAAAAAAAACAATTAGAGAATAGAGTCTAGAATCTAGACCCTCTAGGCTCTAGGCTCTAGGCCTAGATTTAGGCCCTTCATTCATGCATGATGGAGCTTGAATGATGAAGTTTGTCAGTTAATTGAATAGTTTACAATGCCTCTGTGAGTTGACATCAATTTTGTTTGTTATGTCATTGATGTAATCATGTACGTACATGTAGACCCTCCTTAGCTGTAAATTATAATAGGCCTAATGGAAAACAAAAAAAATGTCGAACAAGTTGGACGCATTGAGCCAGGCTTTACTTAACTTTAGACATGCCTTCCTAGTTAGTTTAACTTATTGTCCTGGTCAAAACAGCATTATTTTAAACTGGTTTATATTTTAATGCTGGGATGTGGTGTGTTGTTTTCATTTTTTGTTATCAGTGCATGACGCCATTATAGTTCCACACTAGGGGTCAAAATACAAAGCCTATTTAGACAAGGGGCACTTTTTCTAACATGAAGATAGACATGGCGGCTGTCAAGCTATCAGTATCAACAATTTTAATTTTAAAATAGAAAAGACGGCGAAGCTATTGCCAATTTTCGAAATGACTTATAGACTAATATGAATTTTTGTTTTTGAAACATTTAAAGAATTTTCAAAAGACGCCAAAGCTATCTGAAATTTTTGAAATGACAGCGAAGCTATCGCCAATTTTTGATATGAGCTTTGTTTTTGACCTAGTGTTTTATATTCTTTTTCCCCCAGATCCATCTGATATCCCTTCACAACCTAAGAAGCTGTGTAGGAGTCTACAATCTCGGCGCTCATCTGCCAGCTTTGATTTGTTGGACCTATTTGAGACCATCAGCATAAAATTTACGCGTTCATATTGAGCACTAAATGTATGCAATATTTTTTGCTGTTTATCAGCAGATTTTTCAACATTAACTGGTTCTATTGATAACAACAAATATATATGACAAAATTAAAATGAACAAAGGCAAGATCATTGTGAAACTTTTTCTCTGATATTTCTTATTCAATTTGGGGATTAAAAAAAAAGATTTTTTATATCCCTATGGTTCCTTTGTAAATTATGTACAAAATAACCAACCTTTCATGAATAGACATATACAAATGTATGGGTCGACTGGGGTGTTTTACATATACATTATGTGCACCTGTAATATAAGAATATACTAAATATATGTACAGATATAATTTCAGAGCTGGAAAAATGTTTTTTTTAGATGCCAAAATTAATCTCCCAAGGTTTGATTGTTACAAACTGTTCCAATTTATATTTCATCAAGAGGCAAACATTTCCTTCAAATGTCAAGGAAACGATGTCCTACAGTTCCCTATTTATTCCAGACCTGATAATTATATTGATTAATTGATAAGAATTGTATCAAGGAAAGCAAAATGAATTATTTTGCTAACAGTAATATTACAAGTAATCACTTACAGTAATGTACTATTGTACTTGCATTGCATGCTCATTTGTTTCATAATAATAATAATAATATGGACATTTATTATTTATTATGCATACATGTATTTTGCCATGTTGAAGCATTGCCAAGATTTATAGTCAAATATAAAACTTTATTACGTTCAAATATATGGGTCGTTTCACACTTTCCATCACACTCTTTGGACACTTGTTGTAATCGAAATATGTAAAATTTATGAATTCCTCAACAGTAACAGCTTTTTGGCAATTTTTCTATCAACATATTTTAGGACATTTTCTTTGAACCAAAAAAAAAGACAACAAATGACTAGACACATCTTATCAATGTTTCATAATTTATTTCAATTCCATCAATATTTATGTAAAAACTGTTAACAATCTTTGCAGTTCAAGTTAAATTGTATTTGTAAATTACAACATACATGTACCATAGTTCTGATTTCACTGGCAGTGGCAAGTACCGGTATTAGAAAAAGTACCCGGTAATAAGCTACTTGTAGATAAATGTCATTGACAAAATGGTAGTACGGTAATATATTTTACGTAATGAATGAAATCAAATTAAACAGAGAAGAATATAATTTATTTGGCAGTTTTGGTATGAATTTGTTGTTAGGTTTCTCTTTGAAATTTGTATTGTTCTAAAATGATGCTATATGCAGACCATGAGCAGTGTTGCTAGTACTACCTAGTATTAGTATTAACAAAGTTTTGAACAGCAATATATTTTTCGGGGAAGTGGAAAATAAACTAAAAGCAACAATATTGATGATTTGATTGGAAGGAGTTTGCACAGTTGATGAAACTCAATAAGACATGTTGAATATAATAAGGTAAAATATGATGAAGGAGAGTGGAAGAGTAAGGAGAAAACAACAGGGGAAGAAAAAGAGATTTTTAAGAGGAGACATGAGAACAAAAAACGTGTGTGATGAGAGAGAGAGAGAGAGAGAGATAGATAATAGAGAGAGAGAGAGAGAAATAGAGAAAAAAAGGTAGAGTTAAATGAGTGACATGAATATACAAACAGATGGTAACTTAAACAAGATGCAAGAAATTACATAACTTGGGCTTAACAAAACTCGTCTTGATGACGTGCTGAAAAAAAAAAAACACATGGAAAATTGCAATTAGTGTTTTCAAGTTCACCAACAGCATAAATATAAATTAATTGCGCAGAAAAATCACACCCGAACAGTCTCATAGAGGTCCCAAATAATTTTTTTGCCAAAAATAATCAAGAAATAGCAAATTTGAATGCCTTTTGAATCAGCAAAATGGCTGGCGCTAGTCTTTTTCAAGGAAATCTTGTTAAAATCCAATAAAACTAATTAGCGAATTAAATTAATTGCGCAGAAAAATCACACCTGAACAGTCTCATAGAGGTCTGAAATAAACATTTTGCAAAAAAGAATCAAGAAATAGCAACTTTGAATCAGCAAAATGGACTATTTACCATAGTTGGCGCTAGTCTTTTTCAAGGAAATCTTGTTAAAATCCAATTAAACTAATTAGCATATTATCTCATCAACGGGTGTACGAAATTTGGAGAACAAAGGTGTTTTCTCATCAGCAACTTCATCACAATCATTTGGTATAGTTAGTTTTCTCTGCCAAAGATGGGACTACGAAACTTTTTTTTTAGATGGTTAACTGGCCCTTGCCCCACAGTCTAACTCTACAGATTTGACTCATTGAATATTCTGTTCATAAATCTGAGCCTGTTTTTCCCAATATATTTTTCAGAATAATTTTTTTTACATTGCATAAGCTAGTCACACAAATCATTAAAATAAATGTCCTCACGATGATTGGGGTATTACTTTGAGACGATCCTGAGACGATATATGTATACATCTACAGTATATGCACGTACATGCACCTTATGAGAAGCATAGATTATCATAATGAGTGTTCCCATAATCTTGCCTTTATCTGGAGATTTCATCTGACAAGTGTATGAACTGAGGTGATCCAATTAACGTTGTCGAAACAAGTGTAATAACTGGCTGAGTGGCTTGTTTGCCTCCCTCATTGCACTCTAAACATTGACTTACCAGAGGCAATGCTGCCGTGTGCGGCGTGTTGGTAGGAATCTAGTTAGGGGATGGCATGAAAGTGCACTATGTGAGATTGTGTGAACAAACCCCATCATGATGGTTGCCATATTGTGGATGAACTAAAGTGCACTGTGTGAACAACCCCTGTCTTTAACATGATTAGCTACAGTGTACATCATGGACCTAAGTCCATTGAATGAAAGCGCACTGAACAGCAAAGTGTAAACAAGCCCTGTCTATTACATGTACCGAAAGTTGGATCACACTCACAGGTGAAAAGTGTCATACATTTATGTATGGTTGTGTGAACTAGCCCTGTCTAGTATGCTGGTCAGCTCCCAGTGTTTTCTCATATGTTAAAGATATAGACCAGTAGTGGTAAAATTGCGGTTTTGGGGTGCAAAATATACATTCAATATTGTTTCGATGGCAATACTGCCACCTAAATTCGCCAAAAAGCAGAAATATATGCCCAAATGTTCAATGTTGAGGTGCATTCGGGATATCTATCCAGGCCGGATCTACGGTATATATGATAATTTACCAAATATATCAATTAGTAAGTGATTTCCTGGCAAAATTTGTATCATCAAGTATTATTCAAAACATATTATTGGTAATAAGAGCTTCCATTTCATTTTTTGAGAGGGGGGCGTTTCCAAAACTGGTCTATACCTTTAATGTTCAACTAATTTTCTTGTTATTATACCATAAGTGTAGACTGGCCTATACCAAGTCCTCTGCCTTACATGTATGTGTGAACTGTTCCAATGGTCTCTGATGCATTGTATGTAGACTCGCTGTATTTAAACAGATTCTATGTGTAAGATTTTAAAGGTACTATGTCCCATTTGCAGGCCAAAAAAATGAAAAAGTTAAATTCCAACTGCATTTGAAAGATAATACTAATTTAGAACTTCCCTAAAAAAGGTGGGGCTTGAAAATGTCTTCAAGTGGAAAAATAAGACTATTGGTTGTCAAATCAACTTTAGGGCTATAGAGCCCAAAAGTAATAGTCTTGATTTTCAGACAATTGTACCGAATGGTCATATGTTTTATGCTGCGCAAAGATTCAATCAGTTTAATCTTGGCCATCACAAGAAGTGGGTTATTGATGTAGACAAATGCTCATGTACCCTTTACAACTCTTTTCATGTATGTTATTACCAAAGAAGAAAAAAAGCCAGTCAGTCACTCAATAGTGTCTGACAGTGAAGTCTAGCAAGTAAACGGGTTTCCTTGCATAATTTGAATATGAGGACACTGCTAACGTTTAAATTTCACAGATAGGACATACATGACATATTCATAATTCCTGCAAAGTTCTACAGCATTTGAGGTTGGCTGCAAAAGGGACATAGTTTCTTTAAGTGTGAACTACCCTGGTGCCAGGGTCCTACTCATGCTTCGGCGGCGGTGGCGGCATCCCATCTTTTCCTGGACAAGACGATTAGCCGAGCTCTTTTAGCGCCATTTGGTGCCGGTGTTCACTGAAGCGTGTCTGATTGTAACTCAAGATCTCCGAGCCACTCACCACCTGAATGTTTTATAGGCTCCGTTTCCAGAGAAATTCATCACTCATCATGTCTCTTTAATGGCTCCTAGAAAAAAATACCGATATTGGGGACTGCGAACAGTCCTAGATAATGCTAATGATACATTGTATGTAATGTATGCAGATATTTGTAACCATAAAATGATGTTAGTATCATAATACTACTAAATAATCTTTTTAAATTATAGGCCTTGTAGCTTAGCTCCATTATAACATTTACTCTTCTAGAATTGAAATGCGTGTCTACCTCAACGTAGAATAATTTGATGGGGTGAGGAGGGGGGGGGGGGGGTGTTACAATTTTTAACTTCTCAAAATGGAATGCTCTTTGTAAAACAAAAGGAGAAAAAAATGTTTTTCAGTTCTTTTTTTACCAATAGGCAGGCCTGTGTAGATTTTATTTTCGAGCAGTCTAGACTAAATTGAACTGAACTAACCTGAACTAAACTGAATTAAATTGATCTGTGGTGGGCGTGGCATGCAGGATATCTCCACTATACTTTTTTTTGTTTGATGTGATCATACATATACAGTGTAGTAGGAACAGTATTTGAAAATGAGCTTTGCAGTCGGTTTCTACAACCTTCAGCTGTACCAAAACAGTAAAGTCAAACAGTAGAAAAACAAATACGTGCGGTGTTATAATGTAATGTACATGGAGCTTTTATCCAATGGATAAACATTGTAATGTAAGCATCAGGAATAAATGTAAAGTCATAACAAAATGCCTAATGTATTGTAGTGGACTCTACATGTATACAATGTCAGTGTGTGTAAGGTCCGCAGTCATGCAAGGTTTATCACAAAAAGATACATGTACTAATATATTTGCTACCTCTATTTCTTGTACAATTCAAAAATTAAAAATAATATGAAGATAATGAGATCTTCATTTAAGCCTTTGTTTAAGGGTGTAGTTTTAAATTTTAAAATAATCTTCTCAAATTTTTTAATCATAGAACATTTTAGAGTAAACATTGGTTAGTAAAGAGCATTAAATTATGATTAAATTATTTATCAAATTTCTGTCATCATCACAGTTGTAAGTGTAGGCCTTTGTTACCTCAATCTTCGAAGCCAACTTCTGACGAGGAAAATGCAAATATTCAGAATCTTACATATTTAGTTAATTTGCACGAGTGGATGTGATTCTTTCTTGTCTCATTCACTAGTATCTTTTTCAGGTTCTATTTTACTCACCATGACTTTTTTTAATGCACTCTTACTGTCTTTTGCATCAGATACAATATACTCAGAATCCAAATTTCAGGGAATAATTTTCCTCAAATATTTTGATTAGCAATTTCAGCTGATGGATAAATATTTCAAATGAAATTCTGTACATTTCTATGGAAGAAAACTGCTACACAAACAATATTTTGTATAGCAGTCATGCAAAAATGCATAGCAAATTGCGATGCGATACCAGGAAAATTATTCCCTGAAATTTTGGTGAAATTCTGTTTCTTGATCATAAGACCTTTCTGGATCGCATCCAGTATGTCTTCAACGCAAGTCCTTGCCCCAAACCCCTCCCCTTCCTCCTTCTTTAATATTTTCTACTATTTTCACTTTCCTGCTTCTTATCCGGTTCCTTCCCCCTTCTGGCTATACTGTAGGCCTCTGTGTGTACATCTTTCTGCGGTGTGCCCAGGTGCCACTGTCAAAGCCAGTTATACAGGCATTCCCATAAGATTGGTTCTGCAGACGGTAGACCAATAAGCAACAGTTCACTGACATTAGGGCAGAGCTTAGTCAAGAATAGAAATACACTTACTGACTCCCATGGACAGAGCAGTGGTTTTATATTCTTATAGTGACTCGGTAACATTGCCTCAGACTCTGAAACAAAATCCTGGATTTACCTCAAGCTGCAATCACAAATATAAACCTTTAGGTCAGTCAGGAATCCCATGACTTTTACAAGTCAATCGCCAATCTGATTATCAGGATATTTATGATTGGAAATCAAAATTTCATTTTTTGTTGTCCTAACAGCTTTTATAACACTACAGTCTATTGGGGAAAATGAATATGGTAAACCAGGTCACTCAAAGATTGTTACTTTTTTGAGGCACTTAATTACAATTTTGAAGCGCAATATTTTTAGAGCTTCAATATTACACCATATCACAGACACTGATAACACGTAGGGCCATGCATATCAGATTTAACATTGTTAAACGATGCCTTTTAAGACTTATTCAGATATGAAGTGGCAAAACTGTGGCATTTAAAAAAAAAATGATGACGTATTATGATTAATACGCTTCACGTTTCTGTATCATGTAACACAGAGCTCAGTGAATATGCGCAAATCCTTTGTCGCGCACAGTTGCCATACATTTAAACACAAATAAAACATGACGACTTCTGGTGAAATTGGGGCTATCTACAAAAATTATACAGGAATTATTGTATCCAATCTAAAAGATATTTGATATAGCACCTTTTCCTTGCAGTTGCAAAGCGCTGTATGACCCAATTCAGTGTTATCTTTTATCTTCTACTAGAGCAATGTATTTGTTACATGTTTTTTTATTTTTTATTCTGCTTTCATCCTTCCACTCACAATATTCTGATAATTATTTTTGAATATCTGTAAATCACTAGTGCAGTGTTAATCATGTTTGATATCAAATACCTATTGGGTCACACGACCGACCGCACTAGATATATGACTCATTTTCTCTTCGGCACAATACCAGTACTGAGCCATCCTGATGTTCAATGAATGAACTTCAAGTGCAATTTATATGGCTGCAACAATCATGCAATCATGGTCAACTTCTATCGTTAAATTCGGAAAGAGCTAGAAAGAAAGGGAGCATGTGCATGCCATTGTTAGGTCACTGGAAGGATGAAACTCAGCGATGTCAATTATACCGCATTTACGCGACGTCTCGGCTTGTGAGCTTGAGCGGCGAGGCAAGCCAGACATGGCAGTTTCATGATGTATACATGTAATTATAAACTAATCAATTTGATTCCTGAACTGGGTCGATCATATCAGTTTTGGGGGCTTTGATCTGCAAGCGATATCATACAGTGTTGAATTTGAAAAGATGTACAACATGATCACGTTTGGCCTCCTTTGGGAACTCAAGCCGTGTTCATCAAATGACATCAAATGACATCAATGTCATTGGTTTTTACCTGTCGAGGATATTGCATGTTTAGCTGTATATTGTATGTTTGGAACCCGACGAGTGTTAACACTCCCGTTTTAATTATGTACATTAAATGAGCAGTTAGCTATTTCATTTCCGGCAAATTTTAAAATGAATTTCTTAATCAAAATTTCAAACCTTATCACCTGAAATTCATTATAAAGTCAAACCTGTCTAAAGCAACGGCCCAAGTGAAACACAAAAAGTGGTCTTTGTAGACAGGTTCCTTTAGTACATGTTTTAATGAGAAACCGTTTTCAAGGAAAACAAAAAATGTGGTTGTTGTAGACAGGTGGTCACTAAAGCAGGTTTGACCGTATTATGTTTAATTAAATATATACAATGCAAGGTGTGCCCAGTAAAGGCTCTACAATCTTTACCGTAGGCCCTACATGTATAAATATGTTCTATGAGAAGAATATGAGATGAAATTCTCCCCCTATTTCTTGATACACCCTATACTTGTGATTTCCTGAAAATGTCATCGTGCCTTCTGCAAACCCCACTGCCCATGTATGTAACGCATATCTGTCACGCTGAATAGCGGGGAAAGAAATGTTGTGCATATAATGTGTGCCCCCGCTTGCTCGGGAATCTCTTTCCACAGGGGTTGCCAAGAGGTTGTGATTGTCTTTGGAAAGCAAACTAAAAGAATGCAGATTGTACTACAACCACCTGTAGGGTTGACTTTGCCTTCGCTATCTGTCCATTTCTGTGTGTTGTATCCAATGACATCTCCAGATACAGTGTAGATTATGAAAGCTTGGTTATGACTTATAATAATAATAATAATAATAATTATAGGCATTTCTATATCACCGTCTATCTAGAAATTCTATTCAGAGGCGTATTAATTATTGCTCCGGCTTTATCCTAGCTGCCATTACAGCACTCCTGCATATTTTCAAGGAATTAATTCCTGCCAGGTACCCATTTACCTCACCTGGGTCGAGTGTGGCAAATGAAGATTAATGCAAATGAGATGACAAGTGATGATAGGGTACTGTGGTGGATCCAGAACGCTCCTAGGGAGGGGGTACTCTACTGAAAAATCTTTTTAGTCGCTAAAAAATAAAAAGCTATAAATGGGCAAGAAAGTGACGAGAATGCAAGATGATATTATTGCATTTAAAGAAATTGCATCTAAATCATGTTTTATTTCATTAACTTTCAAATTAGGTTTTGACTACTTCAGAAGCGACCTGTTAGTTGTTCAATGTATTTTGAATTGTGGTATAGTGAGATAATGAAATTGTTGTTGGATTTCAGCTTTTTTCAGGGTTTTTGTATACACACAAAAATTATCAAGCTTTTATTGCTCTGGAGCTATTCATAGTTTTTCATTGCCTTTGTAGAGATTTTCAGGGCTTTCATATATTTTTTTCTCACCGAGGAGAGAAATTTAAAATAGTGGAGGCTTACCACAGGTACAAACTGTAGGAAATGGAAAGAGAGAGAGAGAGAGAAAGAAAGACAGTGAGAGAGAGAGAGAGAACTGGACAAAGATAGGGACAGAAGCAGAGAGTAATAAAGAGACAGAAACCGAGCTCTAGTTTCATTTCCCTGCATGGAAGAGAGACAAAAATATTACAGAAACGTGACTTTGCCAGCCTGCCTGTCTGGCCGCGGCGTTGACGATGTAGCGTAGTAGTACATATATCTTGTGTGCACGGACTGATTGTGTGTCATTTAACCGCTTGACTTTGACATGATGATGAATCAATACCTGCCTCAAGAGGTAATCGTCATTTCAGGCTTTCACCAAACCCCCTTCACTCCAGCGCGCTTGTTTCTGTGTGTGTATGTGTGTATGTCGAAAGCCCACCGAGAAAATCATGATTTTTTTCCCCCCCCTCTCCTGCATCCATGCAGTGTGAAGGGGCTATTAAAATGTAAATTATGTATCCATTGTTTAAAGGGAGTGATCATGTGTCGCTGTAATGTCCCCAGTGGTTAAACCTACCTGCCTATAAATGTCCTGCTGAAGCTAATGACCCTTTATTTACAAGTCAAATGTATGTGTGTATAAATAATTGATTCGGTCCACAGTAAATGTGTATATGTATGGCTGTGTTGATATTTCAGGGCGACACAGTTTTCTGCCTAGTATACCACCTAATAGAGCATTCAAATAATACATTCCAGGATTTACAACTGAAAGCTTAAAGCAAAAGGCGATCACTTCCAAGCATTACGGAATGACATATTCAGAGAACTTTTTTGACATTTTGATAAATTTTTTCAAATAAATGATAAAAATATATATGATGTACTTTCACAGCTGTTCAGTTTCCTATCAACCATTCATCAAATTTATGAAATATTGTATCTTAAATAGCTTTGGTACAGAATGACTCAAAAATTGACCTATGCCGTTCTATATAAAAGTATATCAAATTCAATATTTCATAAATTTGATTAGTGGTTGATAGGTGACCCAGATGTTGTGAAGATACTTAGTACCTCATATTAGTTAATATATATCATATCATCAATTTGTATATATTTATATTAATAAACATATCTTTGATATTCTTTATTAAGAATACACAAATTCTCCAGAAATGTCATCCAGCAATGCTTGGAATCAACCAAAAGAATGAACTCTTTTATTTTGAGACTAACATAATTGAATAATAATCATATTTGATTTATGAATTGACAGATGTCATAACATGCTCTTCATAAATAGTTCACAATCATTTAGTGATTTTATTTGTCATATATTTTATATTTGAAAGGTGTTGTAACGATTCAAGCACTATTTGCGGATGTTTCATCACCTTTGTGTGTTCATTCTTTAAACTGTATAATAGTTGCAACATTGTGTTATTCTTTTTCATGTGAAGTCAATACAAATGGATTGTAAAATTGAAAATGATTTGTTATATTATATTCTTTTTCATGAGATGTTAACTCCAATGAATTGTGAAATTGTGAACATGCATGCATAAATAAATAAATAAATAAAATAAATAAAATAAATAAAATAAATGAAATAAATGAAATAAATGAAATAAATGAAATAAATAAAATAAATAAAATAAATAAAATAAATAAAATAAATAAAATAAATAAATAAATAAAATAAATAAAATAAATAAAATAATTAAAATAAATAAAATAAATAAAATAAATAAAATAAATACAATTAATAAATAAATCAATTTTTCTTTTGACAGTTGATGCGGATGAGATCCGTAGGCTGGGGAAGCGTTTCAAGAAGCTGGATCTGGACAACTCGGGTTCCCTGAGCGTAGATGAGTTCATGTCATTACCGGAACTCCAGCAGAATCCACTGGTCCAAAGGGTCATTGATATATTTGACGAGGACGGGAACGGGGAGGTAGATTTCAAAGGTAAGTTACGCACGTCACATGACAAATGTTTCGTTAATTTGGAGCAAGAAGTAAGTGTGAATTTGTTACTACTTATATGCGTTAACACTCTTCTGGTTCCGAAACCACGGTTTCATTTAATTCCTTTTTCGTCTTTTTATCCATAATATTGTGTGTGACTTATAGCTTTAATTCTCTTTTGTCACTTTCTTGTCTTTACTTCTCTACTGGTCTTTCACACATGTTTTCCTGGAAATAAGGGAGCAAAAATCTTCTGAGACGTTAAACAACACATCTTTTGTACCACATGAATATTTAGACAAGGCTTTGAAACGATTACTTGCCAGGACAACAAATTCACACTTATTTAGGAGAAATATTTTCATTTCAATCAACTCTTTCTTTGTTTGTGCCTGTCAGTATCGGGGACAATCGTTGTATGTTGATGATTTTTATTTTCCCTTCAAAATTCTATTGATTCTTTGTTTTGCGATTGTAATAGTTGTTGACTTTTGCAATTACGGCAACGGGCTAAGTGACATACACATTTACATGGTGCAGGTTTACAAATTTAGTTGCTTCTCTTGCAAGATGACCTGCGTTTGTAATCCATGTTCAAGCATTTTCCCTCTATACTAAATTACTATAGCTCGTATTGCTTTCTCTCTGTACATGTTCTTCTGTTCTATCTTTGTCTATTTCTTTTTTATATCCCCCTTTCTTTTCTCACTCTCTCTTACCCACTCTGTCCGTCTATCTGTCTTTTCTTCTTTCTCTTTTACTGTCTGTCTGTCCCCTTTCTCCCCCCCCCCCCCCCTCTCTCCCCCTCCTCTCTCTCTCTCCCCTCCTCCTCTCTGTCCCCTCCTCTCTCCCCCTCTCTCCCCCTCTCTCCCCCTCTCTCCCCCTCTCTCACCCTCTCTCCCTTCTCTCCCCCTCTCTCCCCCCTCATCTATCTCTCTCCCCTCCTCCTCTCTCTCCCCTTCCCACTTTAATCCACATTTTGCCCACAATCCACTGTACATCAAGCCACACTTTGAAGAGCATCTTCCCCCCACTCATCCCCCTCCATTATGCAGCGTAAAAGCTCTCTTTGCGTGCTCAAGAAGAATGCAGAAATGAATTTTTCATATAGCCCATCCACCCTCATCATTTCTCACCTCTGATGCATGCCGAAGGAGGTTGCATCAGACAGTCCTCGGTAGGTCTGTTTTCATCAGCTCGAGATTGCCAAATTTCCCGCTATTTGAACTATCCCGATCGCAAATTATACAGTTAATTTGCGTCTTCGTCAGTCCGAATTTGAAATTAGCAGGATATTTGGTCGAGATAATCATCCCAAGATGTCTTGGGCTAGTTTGCAAAAAATCCCACTATTTGTCCGGTGCGTCCTCACCAGCCCGAAGACTCGCACTATGCAAGAACGCTGAGCAAAATATCTTGAGCTATTTTCTCGAGCTCGAGTTTCAAGTTTCGAGGTCAAGTCTCGAGCTGATGAAGACGCGATTTGTAACTTTGGGATTATTTTCCAAATCAGAAATAGCGAGCTATTTGGCAATCTCAAGCTGATGAGGACAGTCCTCGGTGTGAGGGGGAAGAAAAAGGTTGTTTCCTCCTCTCCTTAATCTCCACTTCGCCGTCCGTCGATGCTAGATACATCCACCTGCATGATTTCTAACTCCCAGTTATTCATTCCGTCTCGCGAGCATTTCATGGGTGAAAAATTGCAGGGTTCACTTTAAAATCATGGTTGACTGCGTGCTTTGGGCTACTTGAATACATGTAATATTATCAAACAGACTGAAATGATCGGCATTCACACATGTCTGTAAATACCATAGCATTATAACACAATTTCACATTCTCTTAAAATGCAAGAAAGGTTTACAGATCTGCATTAATTCTATTTAAGTGGAAATCTGTCAGTATTATCTTTTTTTTCTTCTCCTGTTAAACAAATCATTGAATTGTGATACTGCACACGATGAGTATTCAAAATCTTGAAAATAGAATTGTCATGAATTATTCTGCTCAATAGAAATAAACATTAATGCAACTGTGAAACATCCATTCCTTATTCTCATGGTCTAATAAACTCAGCCAACCAATAGCTGTACATTTTTATTCAGGCACGTCACGATTCCTGATATTTTCTGAGAAATATGTAAACACTCAATGTTACCATGCAGTATGCACTGCATTACAATGTGTCGTCATGGCAACATACAGCTTCTTGATAGAAAATTAAACTGCCAACGCACGTTTCACATGTAGTGTCCACTTGTTGTCAACCTAGGGGTCAAATTTTCGAATCCAGCAAAAGATTTGGTAATATGATTATCCTTGGAGATCAGGGGGGTGTTTCACAAAGATCCAAAGTTGAACTTATCTCTAAGTTGGACTTAAAATTTATGGAAAGCCATTTGTAGCCTTAAAATAAAATTTATTCAAAAGCAAAATTTCAAGTATTTTAGACTATTTATAAATTTCACTCGATAATAGAAAATATGGAAGATTTGAATCAACATTTTATGCCTTTTAAAATAATTTTTACAAAATATTTTCAAAGATGCTAACGGTTGTCCATAATTGTTTAGTCCAACTTAGAGATAAATTTAACTTAGAATCCTTGTGAAACACCCCCCTGGATGTCTATTTTAGGAAAAGTTGGTTCACATCTTAATTTAATTCATTCCTCAGAGGTACAAGAACAGTTATGTTAAAAAAAAAAGAAGTACGATTTCTTCCCCCAATACTAAAAAACTAAGTGACATTTTGCTTACTCCTAATCTCGTTTCTTGAGGACAGGATGTTTGCAAACTAAAGTCCGAAAATGGACATTCTACAGTAACAGTATGTTATGTTTTGACCATTATACATTTTCTTCATTTTCTTACCCATGATTCGACTTTAAATAAGTGTTGTTATCCAACAAAAATTGTTAAGAGCACTTGTTTTCATACCCCACCTGTTGTACTAGCTGTTGATCTTTCATCGAGATAATTAAATTGTTAGTCACATTGATTCCCCCCAACCTCCTTGCTTAACTTAGCATGTCATACTTCATACGTACAACTTCCTTTTCAACCATTGACCTTTAATAATAATAATAATAATAATAATATTTAATTTATATAGCGCTTAATAGACCGAAAGACCCCTTTCCCATACTTTCGAGATGTACATTTATCTGTATGGGATGTTTTTGCATTTCCTTCATACACTTGACTCTATAGTATAGCGTTTGGACATGTATAGTTTCAGATACATGCATGTAGACCCAAATGTTGATGCATTGTATTGTGTGCATGAAAGGTTTCTACTGAGCTTTGTACGTACATGTACATGTAGCATACACCTTTAAATGTATAAATACAAATCTTTTTAATATGAATCAAATGCATAAATAAGCATTCCTTAATTTGCTTACTGTTGACTTTTTGTGGACTAAACGTACCAGTAATTTATTTCTTATTTTTGCAATTTGAGTATATTGTAACCTTCAAAATATTATCTGATGGACATATGAAATATTCATGCGTGTAATATCATCCACCAATACTTTGGTACTCTGTATTCTAAAACTGATGGGAAAAAAGAGGCATGTCTTTTACATATTGTACATGTCTACATTATTAGATGCAATTCTTAGAAGACGGCAGCATGATCGACCTTTTGATAGTCCGCTATCTCATTAGGCCTGTTTTCATCGGCTCGAGATTTGCCAAATATCTCTATAACTGTACTACCCCGATCACAAATTAACTGGATAATTTGCGTCTTCATCAGCCCGAAGTTGCAATTAGCGGGATATTTGGTCGAGATAATCATCCCAAGATATCTCGGGCTAGTTTGCAAAATATCCCGCTATTTGTCCAGTGCGTCTTCACTAGCCCGAAGACTCGTACTATGCCCGAACGCCAAACAAAAAATCTCGAGCTAATTTCTAGAGCTCGAGTTTCAATTTTCATGGTCAAGTCTCGAGCTGATGGAGACGCGATTTGTAACTTCGGGATTATTTCCCAAATCAGAAATAGCGGGCTATTGGGCAATTCGAGATGATGAAGACAGGCCTCTCGTCTCCCTGACCTTTCCATTCTTGCTCCAAATGAAATCAGTGAGCCAGATTAGATAGGGATATAGTCTACAATCCAATTCCGTATTTGGATACAAATCGGCCTTAGAATTCTAGGAAATAAGAAATTCAAAGGCCATGCTGTCTGAAGTGTAGCGAGCAGTCTTCTAGGGTACTGTGTATATGATTTGCATCTTTAATGAGATTTTAGGATTTTTGTATGAAAGAAAGTAGATTTATTTATTTTTAGTTTAGTACAAGACATGAATAGATCATGAGGATTCTTTCTTGAATAATGTATCCTTTTTCACAAGTACATGTATATTAAATTGAATATGAGGTGACAACTAACCAGGGGGGGGGGGGTGTACAGAATTATGTATACATGCAGTATTTTTCAATGGAATTGTATTGATTATAAAGTTATGCATTTTGATTATTTATATGTATCTCATAAGGAAACATACTAATTGGTACTATTTAATATAATTTGATAAGAAGAATAATTTTGTTGCTTCAAATGATCGTACATTCCTCGGATTACCACACTACACTTCCACTTCGATTGACTGTTTCAAACTTACAGACACACCTCTCCAACTACTGAATGTTCATTTATATTTATTTTTCTTATTTTGTTGTATGTCATTAGCGTTTCTTTGTCATGTAAAGCGCATTGAGCAACAGTTTATTGGATTTTGCACTTTATAAAAGCAATTGTTTGTACATGTATGTATGTATGTATGTTAGTTATTGCTTTTATTTTCTCTCTCTCTTTTTGTCTGTCACTTTGCAGAGTTCATCCAGGGTGTTTCACAATTCAGTGTGAAGGGAGACAAAGAATCAAAACTTAAATGTAAGTATCCATTTTTTTTACAGTAAAGTTGATTTTTAGGGTCATTTGGTCAAATGTCAAAGATCATTTTTCATTTGGAAACATGATTATATATCAGCATAACATGAACAAGAAGATGATCACACGTTAAGATGTGATGATACAGAAGGGCTACAGTACGTCCTAAGAATAGCTTGATATTCTTCTTCTGGCCCAGAGATATTGAGTTCATAACAAATTATTTAAAGGGTTGATTTACAAGGAATAAAAACCAGTAATAAATTGTTCAGTTATCATTGGGTTAAAGGTCCTATGACAATTGTCATGGAAACTTTCATTATTTATATTACTTGTATTGTATGAGGGCATAATTATTAGGAAGGTATTCTAGATCCTTTTACAGAAAAATCAGTCAATAAGATATCCATTAACCTTTGACCCCCTATGTGTCTTGTCTCATATTCAGTCTTCTTTAGGATCTATGACATGGACCGGGACGGTTTCATCTCAAACGGGGAGCTGTTCCAGGTCTTGAAGATGATGGTGGGGTCAAACCTCAAGGACACGCAACTGCAGCAGATCGTAGACAAGACCATCACCAACGCAGACTTGGACGGGGACGGCAAAATATCCTACGATGAATTCTGCACTGTAAGTAGTTCATCAGTTGGGAGTTGGGAGAATTTACTGTTAGAGGGTGTTGCACAGTGATGCCTTCAAAGAAAATCATACATATCTTTGTTGTTTGAGAATTTTTTCAGGATTTTTTGCATGTTAGAGGGTAAGTACAGTAGAAGGAATATGATAAGTAACATTTCATACAAAAATGACACAGTTTTTTGTCATCAACCTTCAACAATGTTACTGAGTCACTTTAAAGAATAACTCCTGAAAATTGGTCCATGAGAAGTTATTGGAGATGGTTTAGTTTAGGCCTCTTACTAAACCAAGAACAACTCCCAGGATTTTGGTCAACTGGAACTTATTACAGATAGTTTAGTTTAGGCCTCTTACTTATCCAAGAAAACAACTCCTAGGAGTTGGTCAACTGGAAGTTATTGGAGATGGTTTAGTTTAAGCCTCTGACTAGTCTATAAACTACTCCTAGAAATTTAGGCCAGAGGCCAGAGACAAAGAACTGAAAGGTCACTTGCTCACAGCAGAGATGTTCACTAAAGGAATGTGCTTGGACCAGCCAATAAATTGTTGGGTCTTGTGATCCTTTTATCCAAGGTTAAAACCCTTATAGGATTTAATTATTCTAAACTTGATTTTTTTTTAAAATAAAATAAATGCATCCTAGTAGAAATCCAGTATTGAGACCAAGTCAATGACCATTTCCTTATGGAAACCAGGGCCCGGTGATAGTGCCGGGTCTGGACTACACTCCAAAATAATATCTGTTTGTCTCTGTCTTCTTTGCAGACAATTTATTGAACTCCTTTCCTCATGTCATAACAATATGTTATACTTAGTGATAAAGTTGAGATCTGGTCATGCGATTGCATTGTGAAAGAAACGGTGTGAAATCGATCAGAATAAAATGATCATGTAGCATATAAGCATTGGTGTGTACTGCAAGGTTCTGGAGTCATCAAAATTATAAGAAATTTGGCCCAGTCTTGGTAAGGTAACAAGCACTGAACACAGAAAGATTTATATGGGACTACACATGGCATAAAAATCAGGCCTCATTTTTAAGCCATTACTCTCTCTGACGTTCTTCCGTACTTGCATAATAACAATGCTAACGCTCACAAATTATTTGTCACCTCTCCCCAGAACTCAACCTTCTCTTTAAAATCTATGCCTGTTTACAATACAGGAATTGAAACCATTGATTTGTTTATATCAAAAGTAACACTTTGGTTATGTTTATGAATTAAAAGAATTTTTTAGCTGTCGTGATGGATGTGATGCTAAATGGATATTATTATTTTTCTCTTTATTACTAATTTGTTGATGAGAAAGCCTGATGGATATTTTCCTTTTGTTTTTCTATCTGCAGGTTGTTGCAAATACCGACATCCATCAGAAAGTGGTCGTTGATGTATAGCCCCGCCCCCTGTGAATGTTCCCAGCTCCAAGCTGCAGTAATCTCTCTCTCTCTCTCTCTCTCTCTCTCTCTTCTTCTTCTTCTTCTTCTTCTTCTTCTCTTAGCTCTCTCTTTACATCTACCAGTCTATTGACTTATATTTCATTTATCTTCAATGCAATGTTGTTAAGTTAGCATTAAAAAAAAGTTGAAAAGGACAACAACAACAAAAAGAATCTGCTGTCATCATGAATCCCTAATAGTCTGCCCTCTCCTCTTCTTAAACTCCTTTCCGTCTTTTTTGTGCTGCGTGCCATAGATGACAAACATACCATGTCCAATGTTATACTTGGCACAATAATTTTGGATAAAGAAGAACTAGGATTTCTCTCTGAAATTTCTGAAATTCTAAAAGGGTATGTTTGTATCAATATATATATATTGATGTTTGTATCAATATATATATATTGATACAGTATAAAAAGAAGGACGATTACTAATCACGTGTACAAAGTCTTGGACTATAAAAATCTAGTCTACTTTAATCATGGACTAAGAAGAATTCAGATTTCTTCCTGAAATAACCAGTAGAGTCTGTTTGCATTGAGCTGCAGTAATGGAAGGAAGTACAACTACAAATCATGTCTATGAAATGATTTGTGATATCTGTTCGTGAAATGAATGGACAGATGGTCAGATACATGCATAATTCATAACGATCTCCCGTATACCATCTGTATCCTTGCCTATTTCAACATTCAAAAGTCATAGAAAATGTAGTCACCCTATCATTTGACCTTTGATCTTCGACCCTTCATGATGACAATCAAACCAGCGGCAGATCATTTGAAAGTATTCCTTTCACAAACTGTACATAATCTTTTTTTCTTTTCATTCTCGTAGGTAAATGGTACAAGATGTCGGGGTGTGGATATGTGTTTCTTTATTAGCGTAGGGTTGAAGAGTGTGTTTTGTTTTCTTCGGATATTATACGGGTAGATCGAAAAGTTTATCTGTATCGCATCACATATTTCTTTATTGTTTGTGAATCTCGTCGATCTTAGTTTCTTGTGAATCGTGGATAAATTTCTTTGCATTGTATCTTTAAGTGTTCTCATAAACTGGAGAAGGAAACAAAATTGAGTTTTTAGAAGAAATGAAATAAAATAACATCGAAATAGGCAATAGACGTTGTTGATTCACAGAGCATTTGTTGTTGTTTTCATTACTTATGGATGCAATATATCAAGATGTAATTGTTGTTTTGTACAGGCACATTAGTGGACACTTTTTCTTACATTATTCAAAATGTGGATTGTTTTGGATTGAGTGTGATAGCAACAATACGTGTATCGATTTCTGTTAGGAATGCATATCACTAGTTTTGTCTGCATTGCTTTTAAGGTTTAGTAGCTACACTGCAGACCATTACACTGTATATCTCCCCCACCCTTTTCCTAATCCCCTCACCACCCGAACCAACTCATAAAACACTTGGAACCATTGAAGTGACAATCTTTTGTCAACGAGTCATTATCTGTGATTCTTTTACATCATTTTTCTCAGATGGGATTTATCTGAACAAGTCTTATTGTTTAATATCGAACATCCGTAACGATGGATTTAAGATATTTACTGACTAAATATGAAATTAAGATTAATTGTCACATATTTCAAGGAAACATTGGTGTAATTGGTGCAAATCATACCAAAGTGAACCAGATTTTCTACACAGACATGTCATTTTCCCTTACCCATCACATTGTTATGGTAGTCCAGTATAAATTGTAATGACGTGATCTCCATTTCGAAATGGATTTTTTTTTTTCTTCTTATATTAGTTTCCTTTCACAGTATGCATTGTGAATTTGATGTTAAAATGAAGGTGCCTTTGGGATGGAATTTCTTTCCTCCCATTCAAACAGTGTACCGCTCCTCTGTGTTAAAGTCATGTGCCAGTCCATTTTCCATGGTGGGGGAATACCCTTTCTGGTAGGGGAATCCCCTCTCTGGTGGGGAAATCCCCTTAACCCTGTCTGTGCCAAATATGGGAGTGCCATGTACAAAGTCAATGGCATGTCAATCTCGTGGTAGGCAGAGGGTTAAATATACTGCAGATAAGCTTCAAACATCAACACTTCTGCATGCAAAACATGCTCTTGTAGAGGAACACCTTCCTAATTCATTTAAAGTATGATAAAAATGTAAGCAATGTTTGATACATTAATGCATTTTACATTAAACAAAAACAGTCTTCACAACACGACCTACCTATGAAGATTTCTTAACTTTCTGAATGATTTTGTTTTAGCCAGTGGTATTTCCCCCAAAATATTACTTCCATTTTGGTGTTATGAAAGCAAAATAAAAATGAAAAAGTTTTAATAGCTTCTTTGATTGATATTTCCATTTAGGCCTATTTTGTGAAGATACTCTGGGAAGTTTTGTTACCTTTCAATCAAAAAAGATTTTGTCAAAGTATTACAAACCTCTTCTTGCCATTGATTTGAAATGATGTACTTTAGCAACATGCAGGGGCTTCAAAGTATTCTTTAACAAACATGTCAAGAACATTTTTTTGAAATCTAAAGGATTCTGTTTGAAGATTGTAGTTTGTAATACATAAAAGTATAGAACCTTTTCAAATTCAAGAAACCTAAACTTTACACTCCCTGGAGTTTATGAGAAGGAACCAAAATGGTTTTTCTTATCTCAATATTCATTTCACATTATGCATTATCAGAAAGTTATATATGATAAACATTTATCCAAATTAAGAGAATTGTTGTTATATGCATGCATTGCATAATGTGAAAGCTTAATGTATCTTAAACAAAAACAATTATAACACATGTAAATCTCTCTCTCTCTCTCTTACTCTCTATTTGTGTTAAGGACTATAAAGGGTGTACTATTATCAACAAGATATGTTTGTAAGGTATCTTAGATTTAAAAATGAGAAGCTTGTAAAGTGTGTGTATACTTTATACTCGATGTAGTTTTTAGATGAGAATTGATCAAGTATGAAAAAAAATTGATTCTTTTTCAAGGTGTAGAATGAATATGTGAACAGTAAATTGATTGTTGTGAAGCTGTGTAATAATTGTGATGGTTATTTCAGAGGCAGAAATTCAGCTGGCATAATTTTAGCAATATTTGAGTTTGGTGTAGATTGTTCTGTTTTATAATGCAGTTTGAAAATAAACCAACGTTTAGAAGTTTATTTTCAGTTTTAATGCTATATGAATATTTAAAGAAAAAAGACACAGATGAAATGTGAAGTTTACAGTAGGAAAAGATCAAATTATAATGAGAGATCTCTTTGAATCTGGAAACTTGTCTTTGTGCTTGAAATCATCTTCACATCCCATTGTGATGTCCCTCAAAAGTGACACCAATATCAATTTAATTCACTTTTGGATAAAGACTCTATTGAATTAATTTTTAAAAGATTGTTCATACAATATGAATACAAACAGCTTTGGAAAATCATTTGATTATGAGATGCAATGCCTTAATACTAAATATTGCAAATTTGCTAAATTGGAACAAACATTTTAGAGGCAATATAGAAATTGCACTGCAGTTTATGTCTTGTAAATGTTTCCATCAATATCAAGTAAATTACAATTTTATTTCAAAAAAGGCATAGCCAATTCTACCCCCGTAATTTTGAACCAAACCAAATTAGAAGTCCGAGAAATGAAGTGTATTTTTAAAACTGAAATATGCCAGTTGAATATATGCAGATATCCCTTAAAAATTTCATGTTAAATTCATGTTTTAAAAAAAAACTACCGGTAGGTGAAATTTTTGTTTTTTCTTTTAAGTGGGAATCTTCTGATGAATTTGTTCTGTAGTAATGTAGATGAGTATGATGCATGTGTTGGAGTTTTGTTTATATTCTGTCACAGAGAGTAAAGTGTAAAATCTTCAGATGAAATTTTATTTACTTGTGAAATTTCTGAGGGGCAGGCTCCCATATACGTGCGTGTGTGGATTTTTGTTGTTTCCATTTTTGTTTTTTCCCCCTTTTATTTTTGCTGTGACTTTTTACTTTTTTTCTATTCTGAATTAGAGTTTGATATATATTGCTTATACATTTATGTGTAGATAAATATTCTAGTTTGTTGTTGTAACAATGAAATATAATTCAATTTGATTATGTAATACCTATTCATGAAAGAGTTTAAATGAAATTCCTTATTTTAAAGTAGAATGCAATCTCTGTTCATCATGTTCTTATAGTGTTGTTAAGCTGGTCTCACATTGGCAACACAGTGTTTCATGAATGGTATGACAAAGATAAAATCCACAACCATTAGTAGTATCGATAGTAGACTTTAATGGATAACTTGTTTAGCATAAGGTCCATGCCATTGTACAGAAGGAAGAAGTATCTGTGGGAATAGTTGTAAAGTTACTTTGAAAAAATGCCAACCAAATCCATTTTTCCTTTTAAATTGTCCTTAAAAAAACCTCTGGAATCTTCCTATGCATACATGTATATGTAGAAAGACACAATTCCTATGCATTCAATCTTAAAGGACTATTATAAGAATTTTTCTAGATGGAGATGTGGGTAAAAATTAAACATTTGTGTATTCAGCTCGGCAGAGCCACATAATTGCACCTTAAACTGTTATTCGGTGTATTTCAAAATACTTTCGATACTATTCTGCATTTGAAGTCGTGTAGTAATCTCCACTATGTAAAGTAAGAACATGCCAAATCAGTGTTGTCTTCTTTTTAATGGCCAAAAATAAAGTTGTTCATTCAGTGTTCACAAAATTGTGCAGAATTTCCTCGTAAATAGTGTGTATAGTTGTACATTTATTTCCAGTTTATTCGCAATTAATGCTTCACATCATTACCTGTTTGCTTGTCTTGAAAGCTACAGAGTATTTAGTTGTAAAAGTTAAGCCATGATGCCGATTAGAAATGATATTGTTTATCCAACTAAGAATACCTCTGCTTCATGCATTATAACCAGTATGACACAGAAGTGAAATAATTCATCTGGAAATTGAATCTGTGTAATTTCTGAAATTGAATCACAGTAGGCGTGTGCTATTTGACCTAGTTGTACCGGTAGACAAAATTAGCAACTAGAATTGGTTCACAATAAGACAATCACGCACTGTAGTTACCGTTTGGAATTTTCTTCAATAAATTGTATACTCGCCTGCAAACACATTCATTTGTGATGAAGTGATACACGTAGAAAAAGATTGGTTGTCACAATCGAGGCTGAAATGAAGCAGTTGATTTGATGTTCTTAGCTTTACTTTAAGACAAGCACATTAGAATCGTGTTTAAGCAACAAAACAAAAGTTAAAATCATGAATGGAAATTGTAGTTATGCTATAGAATTAACCAAAATATATATGTCTACACCTAGTAGGATTTAGTTCTAAAGTATGATGTTGCACAATTACATTTTCTTGTATATTTTGATCTTGTTTGCAAATGATTTATATGTTCCTTTTTTTATTTGAATGTTTGTTTTCTTGTAAATTGTGTATTCATGTTTTAAACAGACAATTCCATGTGGGAATACATGTATACGTTTCTCTTAAGAATAATTATAACAGCGGAATAAAGTTGGAATGAGACAGAAAGATAAAGAGATAAAAAAAAATACTTCAAGAAAAAGGGCATGGGTGTGTATATATTATTTATGTATGTACGGTACTCTCCAAAGCTGCAAACAAAATTCCTGTTTACTCGACAATCGAATAGGGTAGAAATTTGTAACCGAAATTTTGATTTTTCCAGTCAATACTCGTGTTTGTTTTGTAAGCCTGCCATTTAATGCATTCATTGCTGCTGCTGCTACCCGAAACTCTTATTTCGGCAATAAAAACAAAGGCAAGTAATAAAATGAATAAAATATAGTTTCTAGAGTTGTACAGACTCTTGCCCTGTGATGTCTGTTCAGTATGTTGTAACGTAAGAAGTGCATCGAGACCCGTACCCAAGAATAATATATGGCATTGTCATAAATGTGTACCGTCACCCTAAGTGTTCAGTAAATTATGTTTTTATTGCTATAATTGTAGACGGGTAGAAATATATTCTCTACTTAGCCAGTACAGACCCTTTAGTCACTTTGAAGTCTGAACTGTCTGTGTGCTAGACTATGATAATAGGCTCTTGATTCAGCCAGTGTCTGAAATATGACAATAGTCTGTGCCTGCAGACATTGTTCTGATCAGCATCAAAACTTGTGAAATTTGTTGTTTCAAAAATGAAGTTTTGTATTTACTGTTTTCTGCAGAAGTCACTTTAAATGTTAAATACCCTTAAAAATAAATGAGCTAAAAGATTTTCACTTCTTTACAGACATCCTGTACATGATCTACATTAAATTATCACTGAGAATTTGGGTAGCAGCAGCTTTAGTATAGAATAATGTATAGAATGTATGTAGAAGACCAATTCTGAAGCTTGGATGTATAATTTATGTTTTATTTCATTTAAAATGTACCAGCCGGAAGTGCACCGATGTATCATCATTAATGCAGATGGATCGGTCACTTTGGGCAGAACATTTTGATGTTTCCTCTTTCTTTTAATATTATTTATATCATACAAAAAGGTTATGTTTTTCTTGTTCAATTAAATACTTCCTAATTTGGAAATGTCTCTTAGAGTATTTTGTGTTGTTAAATTTCTGGTTTGAGAAAAGTTTAATGCAGTGGAGTTTAATGCATGGGTTTGCTGGGAGGGAGAAGAAAAGTATAGAGAGAGATGGGACAGATACTTGGAGATAGAGGAGGAGAGATTCTTGGGAATAGAGTGAGAGAAAGAGAAGGGTTATGGAACGAGATAAATAATGAAATTGAGAATAAACTAGACATATTTTTTTCCATCTGTGCAAAACATTTCTTCTCATCCAAGCAAGTGTAGAGATTTAAAATATTGATCGTATATTTTTACATGAAGATGTTTCACACATATAGAATAACAGCTAATGCCTAATCATAACATTTTATCACCCACACAAACGGGCACCCTTTACTTTTTAATTGAAAGAAACTAAAATATGGTGTACATGAAGCGTCTGACAAGAAATAGGAACATAATACAAGTGGAACTCTTGCGTGATATTAACATTTATTTTCAATTTTGTCTGTTACCTAGCATTGAACATGTTAATGAAAACAAGATCTTTTTTAATATTCAAAGAGCAATTCTGTCCCAGTAAATCCATAATACAATACAGAAGTTTCTCAGCAAATGAAATACATTCATACCTTTCAGTCTTGAGTGTACTTCTATCAAAATTCCTTTTCAAAGACTATTTTAAAGAAGAGGAAAATTATTGCACATACACCATATTTGAAAAGAAAATGCTTCAATGCGATTTACCGGTGTATCCATGTACTACAAATACAGTGGCAACTACTGTTAAAAAGATTGGGAGAGCTCAGATATTACTGGTAGCTTTTTCAGTCTTATAGATGGTGTAGTCCACCTAAAATGTTCTCTTCACACAAAATAAAAGTTTGTCTTTCTTCTTGAAATTATAATTTCTGTTCTCTAAAATGTCTGAATACAATATACATGTATACTGTATGTACACACCAACGATATACAAATAAAACAAGTGTTACATTCACTTTTTAAATTTCTCTCTACTTATGAAATATCTACAGTCGTAACTCAAACACACAAATATAAACTACATTGGAAATGGAAAGGAACATACCCTGTTTTCATCATAATTGCAAACTCAAATAATTCAAATAACACAATACTACATAAAGAGCAACTGGCCTTCATCTGTAACTAAAACTTCAAACACTGATGTCTACCAAACTGGAGAAGTGTGTGTAATTAGCTAGGTCAGTTTTGTAACCAATGGCTTTGGTGCAATTTGGGGACCATATTCAATTCAGTGACCTTCAGCTCTGGACTTGACCCTTGAATGACGTGTAGCTACATCAAGATAGTTGACCTCTGAGTGACCTTTACCTATATTCAGATGATTGACCTATGAGTTACCTTCGACTCCATTCAGAAAGTTGACCTCAGAGCAACCTTTCGCACCGTCCTGATGGTTGACATCTGAATGACCTTTACCTATATTATTATGGTCGACCTATGAGTTACCTTCACCTCCATTCAGAAAGTTGAACTCAGAGTTACCTTTCGCAGTCCTGATGGTTGACCTCTGAATGACCTTTATCTATATTAAAATGATTGACCTATGAGATTCCTTCCACCTCCATTCAGAAAGTTGACCTCAGAGTGACCTTTAGCACTGCTCTGATGGTTGACCTCCGAATGACCTTTATCTATATTCAGATGATTGACCTATGAGTTACCTTCGACTTCATTCAGAAAGTTGACCTCAGAGTTACCTTTCGCACAGTCCTGATGGTTAACCTCTGAATGACATTTATCAATATTAAAATGATTGACCTATGAGTTTCCTTCACCTCCATTCAAAAAGTTGACCTCTGAGTGACCTTTCGCACAGTCCTGATGGTTGACCTCTGAATGACTTTTACCTATATTCAAACGATTGACCTATGAGTTAATACCTTCGACTCCATTCGGAAAGTTGACCTCAAAGTCACCTTTCGCACAGTCCTAATGCTTAACTTCTATGTGACCATTTACTTTAGTCTCATGGGTCACCTCCGAGTGACCTTTAGCACCGCTCTGATGGTTGACCTCTGAGTACCTCTCTTGGTGAGGGTTATCTTCAGGGGGTAGTGAATGTCCTCATCAAACACCTCTTTCCCTTGGGCTTTGGCCTATTTTATATTTATAAAAAAATGGGTAAGAAGGAGTTTGAAATGTTAATGTGGTTGGATGAGCAAGTATGTGCTTGTAAAATGGCGACTGGCCGCAATGCTCCCCAGGGAGTGGAGAATGTGCATACATTGTGTGTAGGTAAGCCTGAATCTGATGACCAGGGTAATAATATATCTGTAAAGCACTTAGACAAATCGTGGTATCTATGTATTGGGCGCTATAATGCTATTAATAATAATGATAATATTCCGCTTTTATATAGCGCCCGATACATTGATACAGCTATGTGTCTATTAAGCGCTATACAGATATTTTGCAGTCATCCATGATACTACAAAAAAAGATCACAATGTCCTATTGCATGGGCTAAGCAGGGCTCAAAATAGGATGGTGCAATGGTTAAAGGTCAACCCATAAATTCTGTATAATTACAGAGATTGCGTAGCATGATTTTTTTTAAAAATTTGTTCATGAAATTAATTTCTTAGTGACAAGTTTTCTACTCTCTTTTATCCATAGAATTATGGGATTTATATAGGATGAAGAAGGTTGATATTTAGCACTCATCAGTTGATCCACTTTTCTATGTACTTAATCTGGGTTTAAACCTGGCTTAAAGTTAGGAGTTATAGACAAGGAAAGCGGTCTTTATGAGCAGGTGGTCTTTAAGCAAAGGTTCCTGCAATGCAGGTTTCTATAAGAGGGATGACTTGATTCATATTGTGTTTAAATAACAGACATTTTTTTATATCAGTTATAGCTCATGTTTATTCCACTCATGTAAATTTTTATATTTTTGAGAAAAGGAAACAAAAAATATGGCCATTACAGAGAGGCGGTCTTTCTATACAGGTGGTTGCTAAAGCAGGTTTGATTGTAAAACCATCCATCTCTATCTATACTGACCTGTTGATACACATTCCACACCATAGGATCATAGTTCTCTTCCAGGGTGAGATGGAAGCTGGATTTGGCCTGCTGACAAAACTTATCAAGGGTGCGGTTCCGACATGGAGCAAATATTACTGCCATGCCCTGTCAAAAAACAAGCATACACAAAGAAAATAAAAAAATAATCTCTTAACCATATATCCTGTTCACTTGAGCCTTTGTTTTATTCAGTGGCCTTGTGGTCTGCGGATGCAGCCTGTGCAGCGGCCAAGGTAATTTTCCTCTGGGCAGCCAAGATGGAGTTCAGTTCCTTACAATTTCTGCGGCCAAGGCCAAAACTGAATATTTTAGGCAAAAATATCAATGGCTGTCAGGGACAACATTTTGTTCTCTATTAAACTTGTGATGGCCAACTTCAGAGGGATGCCTTATCATAATGGCTGCAGCACCATTTGATACTTTTGTATGCCCCGTTGAGTCAATCATAATTCGACTAAGTATGGCTTCATTATTCTTCCTCATAAAAAAACAAATAACTCCATGATGAGGCCAACCTATGGAGAATACTTTTATGCCCAATATAAAAATGAAACAAAATTTCACCACAGAAAGTCTATTTTAGACAACTCTTCAATAGTTGTATTTATGCTTTCTTAGCAGTCAGGTAAAAAAACCATCACTACTTGTACAGACCCGGTTGAGGATATAACTTTTAGCACTATTTATGGTAGATTATTGTTTTACCTGACTGCTATGAAAGCATGTAAATGCTTGTAAGTATTAAAGCAACCAGGGGACCGACGGCTTTAAGTTCTCTCCGAGGAACTGTGAATTCTACTTGTGAATATTTTCTGCAAGTGCATTTGTGCTAATGGTTACAATGTTGTTGAATGATTGCTCCCAAGAACTAAAATCATACTTACATCAGCAGAGAGCAGACTATGGATTGTGTGCACCAAGTCTGACCTATACTGGTCAAAAAACAGGCTGAAAAAAAAAAAAAAGTAGCTTGTTAATCATAACAATCTGTGACATATTCAGAGTTTATATTAATGTTAACTTCTATGAACAGTGAATACATACACTTTATTTCTGAGTATTAAAACGGCCAACTTGCTTTTTTCCCCAAAAGAGACTATTGCCAGATCTGAGTCCACCTTTTATTAAACTCCTAGAGACAGAGCCTGGAAATATCCAGATTCACTCTCATTTAGGTTCATTCACATATAACATGTTAAACCATTGGGGGGGGGGGGGTGGAGTATTTTGTTATAAGGCCTTTAAAAAAAGATGTTGTACTGCCCTTTAAGTGCCAAAACATTTTTTTTTTGGCTAATATTTCTCAGTTTTGATTGCTATAATACATTTTTTTTTTTTTTTTTAAAGCCGATCGTAGATTTCAAGATTTTTGGGTCGGTCGCAAAGGGCAATACAACATCTTTTTTTTTTAGGACCTACTTTTTAGCCCCACTTGACATATATTGACATGCAAAAAATTGCTACAGGTAACAGTTACAGTTTCTCGCATCATAATTAAGTCTTTAGAGGATAAAAGGTCTCCTGAAATGATCGATTACTATGAGGCAGTCTGAAATCTAAACAATGAAATTTGAAAAGAAAGTTGTTATTTTATAGGAAGAGTATTTACTGCTGTTTAGACTAAAATTGCTTACTTACTGAATCAAGAGGGATACTTTTTGTGTGCTATCCATTTGGAAACTTTTTCAAAGTAGTAATTCAAACCATTTCAAAATCACAAAGTTTGATTCAAATATAACATTTCCTGATTGCAGTACAGGTAGAAAAGCAAAATTAAAAACAAACAAACACAAACAAAGATAAAAATCAACAAGACCAAACAAAACAAAACAACTCCCCAAACTTAAAAAGAAAAATATCTATGGAGGTACTCTTTTGATTAATGGTCTGTTTGTTTCTCTCACTCTACCCTTCCCGAAAGATGATACATGCATGTTTAGAAGAGAAAGCCTCTTCAGAAGACACGTCTGTCAGCCATCTTGTAAGGTATGACAGATCGGATGTGCTATGGTATGATAGCATCGTCAGCTTCAAAGCAAACATTATATTCCACTGCTTGATAGTGTGTTCATGATGCTTCTAGTCTGGCTACAAGGCAAACATTATATTCCACCGCTTGATAGTGTGTTCATGATGCTTCTAGTCTGGCTACAAGGCAAACATTATATTCCACCGCTTGATACTGTGTTCATGATGCTTCTAGCCTGCCTACAAGGCAAACATTATATTCCACCGCTTGATACTGTGTTCATGATGCTTCTAGTCTGCCTACAAGGCAAATTGAATATCAAATTATACTAAATTGTCTTTGATTTATATTAGAATTGGATTATTTTTTTCCATTTCTGTTGTCAGAAAGTGCACTAGCTTAACCATAAGAATGAACCTTACATTAATTGTTCATTGAAATAATGATGAAAATTGTAAAAAAAAAAAAAAAGCCATTAGTGGTATCAATAAATTTCAAATGGATAAGGATGGAGGAGAGAGACAGACATATAATACAACATGGACTTAAAACATATTTGACACAGAGCCAGAAACAGAAAGAAATAGAAAGAAAGAAAGATAATTTTTCTTGGGGGGGGGGGGGGGGGGAGACGGAGGAAGAGAGAGAGAGAGAGAGAGAGAGAGAAAGAGAAGACATGCAGTAAAACAGAAGTGGAATAAAACAGAGATTAATAGGATAGGAAAAAGAAATAGAGAAAGAGTGAGAGATAGAGATAGAGAGAAAGAGAGAGAGAGAGAGAGAGAGGGGGAGGGGGAGTGGGAGAGAGAAAGGGAGATAGAGAGAGAGGGATGGGGAGGGGGAATGAAAGAGATGTACTAATGCATGCCTGGATGAAACTCACACAGACAAGTGAGAAAGAGGAAGAGCAAGAAAGAGCTAGAGAGAGAGAGAGAGAGAGACAGAGAGAGAGACAGAGGAAGAGTGAGAGAGAGAGAGAGAGAGAGAGAGAGGGAGAGAGAGGAAGGGGGATGGGGGAATGAAAGAGATGTACGAATGCATGCCTGGATGAAACTCACACAGACGAGAGTGCAATGTAGCATCAAGGCATGCATAGTTGGCATACCATAGATTCCTTACCAGTCTGCACTGAGGATGACATCTACACTCTCCCTCAGGTCACTGAAGCTACTCTCCTCATTCCATCTCACGTTTCTATACATATCATATCACAAAAGAGTAAAGTGTCAGATCTTCAAAGTTGTCATAATTATTCTTATCACGAGTATCTATATCACCACAATAATTTTTTTTCTGAGGTATTAGGATGAACTTCAATTGTTATTCATTAGGTCAATGAAGCTACTCTCCTTGTTCCATCTCACATTTCTATACATGTCATATCACAAAAGAGGAAAGTGTCAGGTCTTCAAAGTGTCATAATTATTTTTATCATCAGTATCTATATCATCACATTGTTTGTTTGAATATGTTTGATCTCATTTTTATTTATAATATTATATATGCATGATTTATTGAATAAAAAACAGATTTATAATTTGTGTGTTTATTATAAGTTTTGGTCGGTAATTTGTAGTTAGACAATGTTGCACTTAGAAACAACCGTATTAAGCGCCTAATAAATGTTGTGTATTATTATTACCACAATTAATTTTTTCTGAGGTATAAGAATGAACTACTTTAATTGTAATTCATTAGATTATGATTTTTTGTAAAATGGGTGTTTTACATGCTAATCACTAGACTGCTTATCTTATCTGGGCATCTACCCCACTACTACTTCATGTAGTAGTAGTAAAAGTAGATTCAAGTTCTTGTAAATGGGGGGGGGGGGGGGGGGGGGTTGATAATAAAATAAAGGTATAGATGCAAAACTACACAAACATATAAATTTACATGAGTGGAATTAATATGAGCTATCACTGATATCACAAAATACAATATATACAATATGAATGAAGTTGTACCTGATATTCACTTCGGTCTTTGTGAATCTGTCCTTGTTTTTTTCTACAATGACCTCTATATCTGATAATAAAGAATTAAGGATTAATTCTTACTAAAAATACAAAAACATTACCATCATATTTAAAAGTTCTATGTGCCATTTAAAAAATGAGATTAAGATGAAATTTGCCGCATAACTGGTTCAAAGTTTTATACAGGTAATAAAAAATGAATACACAAAGTGAATTCTTCATAAACAAACGTAATCTAAACCATATTCATACTGCCTTTGTCAAAGGCATGAGAAATGTTTAAGTATAAAACAAAAGTAGCAAAGGTTTATATTTTAAACACCCCTGATAATCACTTTGCATTAAAAAAAATTAATATAATACTTAAGCAACAATCAACCAAGGAAGTAAAAAAAGACTTGCAACTTTGCAGTAAATAATGCACATTTTCCATCATGATCTCAGTTTAAATGATATCAAATAACAGTAGACAAAATGTCATTTAAAAAACGTAATTAATTCAAAAGGATACTTTTACAGGATAAATCATTTCCATCCGTAAGAATGACTCTTGCAGCATCAGAAGTGCATGCAACCTGCAAGGAAAGAGCATGTGTTTATACAATCTTTCTGATCAAGATTCATATGGTATTCGTATTTATTAATAAAACTCAGTTAAATTTTAATTCATAATCGTTGAAGATAAGTTAACAATGACAGTCGAGAATCACTCGTATTCAGTACAAACTCAGTCAGAAGTAGAAAGGTGCCCATTGAACATACATGTAAGTCTCAGAATTTCAACTCTGGACATCCAGGGTCCTGATGCACACATACAACAAATTGCAAAATGATCCCCTATGTAGCAATATAGCAATGCTATTCATAACGTTAATAGCACTATAGTTAATCCTAATTTAACAATTTTATATTTCATCATTGTTTTCCATCCAAACACATAGTCAAAGTGAACATTGGGCATAGAGGGTGAAGTAGACACTTTTAAGTCATGGCAATATCAAATTGCATACATAAACCGGAACTAGCAATTTAAACATCTTTTTTTTAAACACAAATCACAATCTAAATCAGCCATTTGAATAAAAAAAATTTAAAAAAAATAAATCAGTGACTTTTCAAACAAACCACGATAAATCTCCTTTAAAGAATTGAATAATTTTTCAAACCATATATATTTCAAAAACTCTTAAAAAAAAGGACAAAAACATAAAACCATGAGATTTTGTGAATTTAATGCAATTGGCAATGCTGGTAAAAAAAAATCATCATGCAATTGATGATGGTCAATGACAGATCAAAAAAGGATTTTTTTATGAATGAACTCACAGCAATGCCAGCCAAACATGTCATGCCTCCGCCAAGCTCACAAACCGTCTTCTCTCTGAAAAATGTAGAACATTTCAAATGATTTCCAAGTGCACACAACAAAACCAAAATGATGAATGAAATCAAATGATGTAAGAGTGCATCGTACCCCTTCGGGACATTCATTCCACATTTTGTGGTTTCACGTTTTTTATTCAGAGCCCTAAAATATATACCAGCTGGTTTCAGAGTGAGAGCAAATATTTTTGCACACACTGCATCCATATTTCTTGCATGACCATATAGCGTTAGATGCCAAGAATTTTTTAAAGGAAAAACAATCTTTAAAATACTTAAATTGGCAATACATTGAGAGTTTCATAATGAATATCTTCAATCAAAATTGACATTTTTCCAACTTTTTGACAATGCTCCTACACATACATGTAGATATTGTTTTTTTTAGAGATATCACATGTTGTCAGAACAGTGTAGCAATAAAAGACAAATATAGTTGTTGCCAATTTGAAGAACAGCATGTGATCAATTTAACCATTAAATTAAATCCTGTCCTGAAAGAGTAAAGGCGGCTAAAGACTGTTTTAGACTTTTATTGAGATTTTCTTTTTGCCTGTGACATAAAAAATTAATGTAAAGTGACTCGATGGTTGTCTTAAAGGGAAAATTTAAACTTGCAATTGTACTGTAATATTTTTCATCTTATTATACAAATAAGCCAGAACCACAGCAAGATTGGGACTCTTAAGTACCTCAATTGTTATGTTAGATGTAATTCTGTGGAACAATAATGACTTTCAAGATAAAATGAATTAATTTAATTTGGATTCGCGATAAGATAGACACATGGAATGGAATGATATGAAAGTCCAAAGAGTCAAGACAAAATGATTATGATTTAATGAATGGATGGTCATTCCAAGCCATTATGAAATGCAGGAAGTAATTGCTTTGCAATATCAAACAAATCAATTGTATCCTCTCAATAGTTCATATTCTTTCTCTGACAGGCATTATATGATTCTATCTCATACATCTAATTAAAAAATTATGATACAATTATTTAGGTCTTGTTTTTATGATATTGAATTTTAAAAATGAATGAGTCAAATGGGATGAGGTTCTGAAGATGAGTGTGCTTAGAGTCAGAAGGATGTACTGCCATCTCATGTACTAAGGAGTACGGCCCTTCCGGTTCTCACCAAATGAATTCTGAAACTATTATCAGTTTAAGTTTACCTGAACAAGTCTCTGTGTGTCAGACAATGGTGGGCCAAGACTTCTTCTGAGGGCCATACACCTATAAATAATATATGGTTCCAAAGAGGGGGAGAGAGAGATAGGTAGAGGTAGGGAGAGAAGAGAATGTTCTAATTTCATGTCGATTTACTTGCACATATGAAAACAATTTATCAGAAAAACATCTACCTCACAGTTAGTAACTGTGGCATCATATATATTGAAACATAATATTCATTGACTCTTGTGGCAGAGATTCATACATACAGTAACATCAATTTTTCATATTTTTTATTAAGTGTACTGTAACTCTCTTTATCATATCCTAGTAGTGTCCCTGTTTATTGAAATGTTTACAAAATATGAGAAACAACTAGAATAAATGAATAAATTTAGGGGCAAATAATACACAAATCATGATATACTTACACACATTTCCAGTGTTGTTGAATCCAATCAGCTCTTTAGGGGAGAACTGCTCTTTGAGATGTCTACAATGTTTTCAATAAAATCCATTAAAAGAAGAAAGTCACTATAAGGAAATCTTCATTTTGCAGAGAGATCTTGCTAGTTCTTTTCACAAACACAAACCAGCATTCAAAGATTCAAGCATCATCATTAACATTGTTCAGGATTTTTGTTTTCACCCTATTGCCAGTCACGGTACATTACAGCAATAAAATATGTCATTAACAAAAACCCACTTTATTGAGAAATCCAGTTTTCTTGACAAAAAAGGTGAAGGAGGACATGGGATATTAAGCCAGCATTAAGTTTCTTCTAAGAGCTAGAGCGAGATATTTCTACTTCTTTACACAAAACAACATTTAACTTTTTAATTCTTAAAAGTGTGCCGTGACTAGAAAAAGGTTGCAAAAAGCATGGACCATGCCATTGTAGGAATTCTGACAAAAATAGTCATGAAAAGGTTACAAATACCCTTTCATAAACCTTGTACATGTATATATAGTAAAGTAGACCGAAAGCTTCAGTCTCTGATATCAACGGTTGTTCCGCTGAGACGTCTGCCAGTCTGGCTCAAATGACCGCCTCTATACATGTGTACCGGGAAGGTTGATAAATGTCAGTTTTATCAAAGAATTACCCACACCAGATGGTTATTTCTGTGTAATAGTAAAGTGGCTTGTATACAAACCTGACATCAATGCAGAAATCTCTGTGGGATGGGCTTGAATATTGAAACCAAGAATAATTTTCTGTGCCATCTGACGATGATGAAATTGAAGGAAGTTTTTTGGTTGTCAACAATCCATAAGAACTAAATCTCCGAACAGACACCTCACTGGTTATATTCTTTCTTGTGATCTCATTGTTGAATCCTTTATTCATCAGAGCCTGTTGAAAAATTGAAATTGTAAAAATATGACTTCTGAAAATGATAATGGCGATAAAATTTGCCTTAACAGGGTAATGTAGTCATCTAATCAGCTCTGTACTCATCATCCTTGCTACCATTATATATTTTAATATAATTATAATATTTTATTTTTAAAGAACTATTACATACTACTACTAATAATCACTATAATAATCCTAATACTTTAACTATCATGATTATTATAATTATTATTACTACTACTACTAATTATGATTATAATAATCATAATATTATTATGATTATTATAATTAGTATTAGTGGTATTATTTTTTAAATGTTATTGTTATTTATTTTCATTATTATTATTATCATTTTTATTATTGTTATTATTATTATTATTATTATAATGATCAAGAAAGAAAGCAGTATGGTTGGTCTAAATGAGGAAGGTGCTTGAGACAAGAAGAGGAGGGTGTGTTATCGTGGTGTGAAAGTCAGAAACCCCTCATAATTAGCAGGAAAACGCTAACTTTAATAAATGATGATGATGCTGAATAATAATAATAATAAACATGCACTCTTGTAGAAAAGTATATGATATGTCTCTTTGCACCTACAAAGGACTTTGGATATTACCCGGCTTTAGCTCCAGCATCCGTAGCACTCAGTGCATTCCAGGAACTTATTATCATCCTCCTCCTTGTCATCATCATCATTGCCCCCACCATAAATTAATTCAAAATTATCATCTTTATATCACATACCTCATTTGTATAGATCTAGCGATTCATGGGTTTCATCATGTTTATTGGTAGTAGTCTAATTGGATTTATTGCTAATCAGTATTCTTTAGTGCACACGCTCTGCTCCCTTGGGAGTATTCCATCACCAGGATCTATCTTCATCTGCATCATTACAAATACCACCACAACCACTACCATCATTGTCATCATCACCATCATCATTTTTTTGTTGGCAAGTAGATTTAGATGTTTACACCAAGTTGGCTAATAATTAATAAACATAGCTACTCTAGATGGGGATGCACTTCTCGCGAGCTCTCATCATAATTTATCAGACATATAATCTTTTACCTTTCCAAGAAGTTTCCATCGTTTTTTAGCAGCATCCCTGTCATTTTCTTTCAATCCTGTTTTAGAAGACATCTTTGCACACTTGCAGATTCTGCATTTGTTTTTGACATTATCAGGTTTTGTTTAAAACAGGAGTATATTCTTTTGACTCTGCTATCCTTAGATCTATGTCTGAGCCCGAGTCAGGCTGAACTGAGATGATCAAAGCTTGGTCAGGTGAGCTGATCTGAGGAACTGATAAAATATGCAGCTGACAACTTGCAACTATATACCGTTCGTTTCCGTAGCTAATATGGCTAGGTACGGTACGTACAGCCCACCTAGCAGCTACATGTTTACAGTACAGCAGTCCGTGCGAGTCTCCCAGCTGCAGGCTCTGGCTCTGGCGCGCGCTTATTTTGTGTGTGGATCTAATACTACACGGAATACAAAATTACATATGGAGATTTATTTAATTCCTATTTTAGTTTCTTCAACTTTTAGTTCAATTTATGTTTAAATGAACAATATGAACATTTTTTGCAATATAACTATACCCACCAAGTAGCATGAAACACTATTAAGGGCAACTTTTGCTTGAATTTGAATGTGTAGCAGACGACACAAAACTGTAAAATCATTACAAGTTTATAAAATATATACCTTTATCCAACAGATTAATACAATCTTACTAATATAATGAATAGAATTTATTTGAATTATTTTATATAATACATTTATTGTAATCTTAGTTTTTTTAATGCATTTTTAATTTAAATATTTCAATTGAAAACTGATAAACTAGGACTGCCTAAATATCCATTTCCAAAACAATTAACTTGATTCCTTTTGGATTTTTTCCAAAGTCTATCGAATGTTTTGAACCATGGTGAAAATAGCAGTACTAGGGTGCGGTCTCATGGGTACCAAAATTGCAGGTAAACATTTGGTCATTATATATTATTGTACTGGTGTCATTCAAATCGTATTTTGGGCTGATATTCGAGCAGTCCCGTCGTGATCACTTTATCTGTCGACGTTCAGCTCAGCGAGCTTGGACCATGACAGGGACCCACCCGCTCGCTCAGCCTTGGGCGGATACCGCGGCTAAGCCAAGGGCTTCACTTCAGCGCGGGAGGCTCAGCTCTGTAGCTGTCTGAGTAGACTATTTAAAAACATAGACTATTTCTTGTTTGAATTTTATGAAATATCTCAATCGATTTGACTAATTTTTCTGTCTTACAGTGTGTGGCCTGTGGTTAGCTGAGTTTGGGTGCAGCATGCATACAATTAGGCCTATTAATAATAGATTGTTAATAGGTATTAGACCTATCTAGACCCTAGAGGCTAGAGGTCTAGAAAATCCCGGTGGGGTCACTCAATGTGACTTCCGGACCGCATGACCGTTACCAAAATCGCGGAAAAAGGGGTAAATTTCAAGCAATGTCCGCGGACAAAATATTCCTCGAAATATAGAAAATAGGGGTGCACAGGTGTCCTCGAAATTGATAAATAGGGGTCAGGAAAAGGGAAAAGAGAAAACCAGGAAGAAAAATTATCGGAGCCCATGATGATGGCAGAATCCGGATCACAGTAAGCCCAAAACGAAATCCCGAAGATAAAAGTAGTACAAGGAGATCTTCACGCAGAAGAAACTTTTTATGGGCCTATACTCTTAAAGAATTTTGTTAATTATTGTATATGACATTTTAGAACATTACATTTGGAAATGAATGATGCGAAAATGTCTTTACAAATACAAGCACCAATGCATGTTGTGTTGAAAGATGTCATCAGTATTATGGTGAACTGATTATTACTTGTGCGTGAACTTGTAATTGAAGGACTCTGGTCTTTGGCACCTTTATGTTAATGGAAAAAAAAAGTAATTTGAGGACTCGGGTCTTGGACACCTTTATGTTATAATGAAAAAATGGTATAATGTCTTGTCCTTGAAATATGATATAGGGGTAAATTTGCGAAAGTGTCCTTACAATCTTATAAATAGGGGTATTCCAAAGTACGATTTTGTCCTTGTTTTTACGTAAAAAAGGGGTTGAATTTCTCAAAATGTCCTTGAAATTGACCGCAAAAGGGGGTTATTTGCATTTGTGGTAACGGTCATACGTGTCACCTTCTGCTGGGGAGTGACCCCACCGGGTAGAAAATCTAGTCTAGATCTATGCAAGGCTAGGCAAATTCATGCAAAAAAATATATTCAAAAAATTGACTTGAAAACACATCACACAATTAGTCTGAACCGAGTCAGGAGCAAATTTGAAGAAATTATATTTTTAAATGTTGTAAAACCAAAGATATAAGAAGAAAACTGATCAAGTATCTGTACTAAAAATCGTACATGTAAAATTGGTCGTAGACATTCGACAGCTGAGTATGACGCGCACGGTTGCATTACGTGCGTTCTCGAATCCAAAATCGTACCTCACACACACAATCTCGCCATACCGCGAATGGTCCGTCTTGGGGAGCTAGCCGGCTGAGAGTTTGCAGCGATACCAACGCAGCTTCGTAGCTCCGCAGCGCGCCATTTTAGCGGGACTCGGAAAGGTTTGCGATGGGAAGGCAGCGGCCTAGCTTTTTGCCCAAACAACGCTAGATCGGCTGCTGGCAAAATGAAAATAACTACGATCGAGAACATCGTCGGTTTCTTAACTTTTCAGTGAGATAATTCTGAATTCTAATTGAGACTATATAATAAATTAAATCGACAAAGAAACCTCGGTGGAACTCTTATAACTATACAAAAGCTTGTTTATTTCTTCATTTGACATTTGTTTTCGAGCCATTTTTTCGTGCGCGAGTCAATGCAAACTATGTATTACCAAACTTTCAACACACAAGGAACGGGGAACACTCGCGGACCTCGTAACAAATTCGTTGCAAAAAAAATATTTCAAGGGTGATTTTGAAGCAGTGAAGAACATTGGCGCTGCAATGCGCAGAAATATACTAGAAAGAAACTTAAAAAATAATACCTGAATTTTCAGAAAATCGTATTTGTATTAGTGTACCTAGATGTGACTTGTTTATAAATCAGATTTTATGAAGATTTGTCGGGAAAAAATGTCAATTTTTTCCGTTTGGTGGTCATTTCTAGGCTAATATTTTAAAAGTTGCATCAGTAATGGGCCCGATGTTTCTCTTATCATACTCGCATGTTATTTCTACATAGATTAAACATAGGATGGTTAAGGGTAAGACCAGATAACATTATAAAAAAGATATATCCTTCCACCCTCCCATATCCAAGTTTTGGGCTGATTATTGCCGACCCACCGCAGCAAGGCCATTCAGATTTTCGTACGCGCGCAAAGCGCCCTCTAGTGCCCCATGAATGTGCCTAGCAAGGCGTGGTCTAAGCAAAGTCAAATCAAAGTGCATTTAAATTTTCCCTAACATAAAAGATAATTTTATCGTTTTCAGAATACGACCCCAAGATAGTAATCATGGTAATATTCTAGTCTAACTCAGAGACGGTCTAAATTGTATTCATGATGGTAATCACCAACTTGCCAGTGTTACGGGTACGGCGGTGGATGTAGGGCAGGGAGCACAGGCCCTCTCCACTGGCCCCCCTTATAAGGGTAACCTTTAACAAAACAAAAAAAAAGAAGACGCCCCCCCCCCCCCTCCCTTGATTTGCCGGCTGGCTGATTCGGTGCTAAATAATTTTCTCACGAATTGGGCCCCCATTCGGCCCCCTCCCTTGCCGCCAGCTGGATCCGCCCCTGAGTGCCGAGTATAGTTATTTGTTTTGTCTTTTGACTAGATTATAGATAGGTCTATCGTTGCTGAGATCTGTTCCCCAAACAGAAACAGGTGGATCGAGATCTAGTCTCATGTTAGAATTTATGCACATGGATACCCGATGTGATGGAACATGTTCTAACCCAAATTTAACAATGTAATACTCAACTGAAGTAAAAACAATCACTTGAAAGTTCGATTCTTAATGATTGATCCATAGCTTGGATGCAAAGAGTGGGTGAGAAGTTACTTGAGTATTATAATTTGTAAATTCAAAACAAGAAGAAGAAAAAGAAATTAAATGTCATCATATTAAATACAAATATCGATCACATTAGACCCACGTTGATTTTTTTTTTTTTTTTTTTCCATCACAGGATGCATGGCGTATCATGGGCACAGGGTGAAAATCTTTGATGTCAACGCGTCAGCTCTCGGTACTGTTCAGGAAATTTTAGACCAGGACAAAGAAGATTTACATAGAGATGGGCTGATGACACATCACAAATTTCTGGTAATTAATGATTTCATAGAAAACTAAACAATAACTGCTACCAATATATATATTTGATACAAAGTCTTTTTTTTAATGCAATTTTATATGTAAATCTTTGATAATAAAACTGCTAAAGTGTGTACATTTGAGAAATGTTTATTTTTTCAAGTGAATATCCAAAAAGTATCATTGCATGTACATGTATCACACCAATAAATTGTGATGTATTTACTCATTGTAATTATGAAGTTTTATGGTTAGTAGTAATAACATGGTTATGCTGCCCCTGAACTATAATTAGTTGATAGTACAGACCATATTGTCTTATTACGGTATGCTGTATGAGGAAGAATGTGATCAATGTGTGTAGGAATATTTTGAACTTGAACGAGGGGAGACTTGTGATTTAAACAGAACTTACATTTCATAACCTTTGAACCTTGTATGTTTTTCTTTGCGTGGTGTCAAGGGTCAAGTGTTATGCATGAGTCGGCTGGAGGACACGGTGGAAGATGCAGAGTTTATCTTCGAGGCTGTGATAGAAGACATAGATGTCAAGAAAGAATTGTTTGAAAGTAAGGACCATTTTTTACTCTTTATGTGAAGGTCTTCCATTTGTCCTTTTTCTTCTTCTTGATTTCACTCACTTCTAGCAATCTTATTTTGGTACTTTTGTACTCTGTGCCCGTTGCATAAAACTTACCATTGATGGTAACCTTGTCATCAATGGCAACTACCATGGTAACAGGGCTCAACAGTAGTTACCATTAATGGCAAAGTTGCCCCTTTTATTTTCTCTGAGCATACACTGTTCATTCTTCCTTAATTTTACAAATCAATTGATCTACAATAAGTTGTCTCTTTATCATTTCAAGCATTCCCATCTTTTTTCTTAAAAAAAAATCTTTCTGTCTGTCTTTCTTTTCCTCTCTCCATTCCTCCTCCCATCAATCCCAATGGCATTATAAATACCGTATACCGGTATGCATTCAAAACTCAACTTTTGAAGAAAAAAAAAAAAAATCATTTTTTTATTTATTATAAATTCCCCAAATGTGGATATTAATGTGGATATTGATACCTGATTACAACTATGATAGAATTTTTGATAAAAGTTAAAAGACAGATGATTTCATGATCTAAAAGAAACAAGCACCTTTTTTATTATTATTACTATAACACCACTCAGAAGAATAGAAGGGGGCCAAATCACTGCTGTTACCACAGTTTTCCTATCAATTCCTGGCCCGTCTGCACAATTAATGAAAGTGATTAGTTTTTTTTTCAGTTGATATGGTGCAATAAATTGTGTAACTTTTGATTTTGTTGTATTTTTTGGACAGGGTTGACTCAGATGTGTAAACCAGATGCTATCATTGGCAGTAACTCTCTTCAGTGTAACATTGACGACATTGCAGAAAGGGCAAATTGCAAAGAGGTACAGTATAGAATCCATAAATTTTATCATGCTGTTTGTAGATTTAGTGTTAAAGTGCACCTTAAAAGATTTTAGACATTTGCTCAGTGGTAGAGCAGTGGTCTCGTAATCGAGAGGTCCTGGGTTAAAAACCAAGCCAATGTGCTCGTGCCCTTTGGTAAGGAATCAATCCTCATTACCAAGTCCCTTGGAGAGGACTTAGAGCTGTCAGTCCCCTGGTTGCTTACTTACAAGCATATTTGCTTTCTTAGTAGTAGTTTGGTAAAACAATCATTAACCATTATGCTGGTTGTACACTTAGTGTAAAAGTGCTTAGATTTTAGATTGTTGCTGGAGCAATACAGGAAATAATGGAAATAATTTCAACTTTAGCCATTTCTATCAAAATGTCTGCATTCATGGGATTTAGCCCATTTGTATGTGATAAAGGAAAATTAGTATGTGGTCGATGACATTTTTAATGATTCCATCATGTAATTGTGGTTGTATTTCCTAACCTTCATATTAGCAGGTTCACCTGGGTGGTTACAGGAAAATCAGACAAAAAAAGAATATTTTGTTTTTTTAACTTCAAATGAAAAAAAAAAATGTTTTCAATTATTTCAGTTCATTAGGTTATTGAAAATGTGGTACTTTACTATCTGTGATGAATATATACATTACATGTAGGTGCAATTAACTTTAACAAAAAGTGATTATACAGATTGTGTCTTTCTAAAATATATTTGTTAACAGAGGATCATGAACCTAAGATTTCTCCATCCTGTATACACGATACCTGAAGTAGAGATTACCACCACCAGACACACAACACCTGATAATGTAGAGAAAGGTTAGCTTCATCCACTTATTTACTTACTTTCTTTCCAACTTTCTACAACTTCTCTTATTATTCCATTGTATGTAAACAAAATCCTATGGCCAGAATATCGAAGTACGGTAACTACAATTCATTCTTGAATTTCATTATAGTGAACTTTTTTTCTATACATGTAGTAAAGTCAAGAATCATTGTGGATATGGTTGCTAATGTTTATTGGAAAGTCTACCTTTAGATTGAACTGACTAAAAACAATGATAATATTTATCATAGTTTGAGTTCAATTCTTTCTTTGTTTGTATTTGTATGTATTTTTATGTTTGCTATTGCAAAATACTGTCCCATATCTTATTGTTTCTTCTGTTAGAAGTAGCCTTTCTTTCATAAATGTATGAATTTCTCAGTAATCAATGCTAGTGATATGATTAGTAAAGCTCTTCTCTTTGTTTTATCACAGGGGTCTTGATTGGCAGTGTTAGTTTCTGTCTGCATTGGTAGTCAACTTACTATTTGAAATTTAAAGGATGCAGATTTAAACTTTGGGGAGTCAGTTGCACCAGCGATGATGTTCAACCGTGGCGATACTTGTTTTCAACCCCCTTGCTTTTTTTAACAAGACTTTCTTGATTCTGTAACAGTGAGGCAGCTGTTGGAGAAGATGGGCAAAACTCTCTTCTATCGGTCAGGCAAGGAACCTCTCATCCTCTCGGATATCCAGATTGCTTCAAGAAAACTAGGTAAGTTTCAACTATGTTAGAGACGATGGCATGGAAGTTTATGGTATTGGTCAGAGCTCACCCATAGCAAACTCTGTAATTCCCAATTTAGCATGAATGAATTTTGCACGTAGGTGTAAAGAGACATCAGAAAATTATATCCACAGCTGGGCTACTTAGTTAAGGTTTGCTTGAAATATATATACAGCATTGGTTTTGGAGCCAGTTTTAATTATACAATTGTGCCTTATTGGGATGGAATGTTATGGGCATGAGTAAGACTTGTCATTGGTACATTTGGACTCGCATTCTGGAGGAATTAGGTAGGGGGATTTCAGGAAAACCAGAAACTTTTTCATGTCACTAATATCACATTGAAGTGTTTCACAGAGATTAAGACCGACTTTAACTATGGCAGGCTGTTAATGCCACTAGTTGCTCTCACCATTATGGTCTTTAGAATATATTTTTCCCTTCAATGATGAAGTATCAAAGAATGCAAATTCTGTAGATTTGGGACCATGATTCGTACATCCCTTGAGAGACCAATGCCAGTAGACGGTGAGAGAAAACAGTGGCATTTAAACGACCTGCCATAGTTAATTCCAACTTAAAGTCGATATATTCTTAGTCTTTGTGAAACACTACCCAGGTGGTTTAGATTTGCTAAATGATTGAATTCAACCCTGAAATGTTGCACTTCCTGAAAGCTTCTTGCATGGCTGTCTGCAACAAGTCATAACAGTTTTAGAACTAAATAGTCTCTGCTGCTTATAAGTACCGGCTTGCATGTGATGTAGATATACAGTAGGCTTGCGGTTGTACAATGTGAGAGAGGGGAGGAGTGTGTAGTCCTGAAAAGTAGTCCTCTCAGTAGTCTTTCTTTCTGGAGTGGGTGTGGGTCAGGATGGATAGTCAACCTGTTCGAATCATCGAGCCACTCGGACCACCCATCCTCCCCTACTGCCACTATAGTTCTCCTTAGAACTATAAGCTAAGAAAGATAACCGACAGTCTTTTTCAAGACTACACACACTCAAGAAAGAAAGATTACCGATAGCTCTTTTTAGGTCTCCCTAATCCTCCCCCTCTCTCACATGGCGCAACCGTAAGCCTACCGCATATGAACAGTTTCTGTTTTTAAAGTAAATATGTTGGTGTCAGAGCCACAGCTGAACACCCTACCCTACCATTCTGTACTTCAAACAGCACGTCGTAAGCAGATCCTGCGGCAGAGAGGCCTTGCAGGATTTCCACTGAATGATGTACCAGGGCTGGGCCATGATGGCAACACGACACCCATGCAAGACGATGATTGTGGTGAGAAAATGGAGATTTCTTGAACACTACAAGTCCTGTTACTAATTTCAGAAGACCCTTAGGCATAAGCTGCATTTGCTGAGGCAGGAAGCTCTATATACAGTCAAACCTGCTTTAGTGACCACCTGTTTATAAAGACCACATTTTTTGTTTCCCTTGAAAATGGTTTCTCATTGAAACATGTACTAAAGGAACCTGTCTACAAAGACCAGGTTTTGTGTTTCCCTTGGGCGGTGGCTACAGACAGGTTTGACAGTACTATCAAGCAGTATTACGATCAAGAAGTAGTAGTAGTATTTATTTCCGTATAAAAACATAATAACAATGAGATACGGTGGATTGCCCACAATTATGAACTTACTAATACATTTTTATTAAGGTTTTTTCTTTTTTTAAATCATTTTAATTTAGACATGCATCTTGCCATTAATGTTATGACTAATTCCTTTATGACTGCATTACTTTTCCACATGCTGCCTTTTGAAACGGCCTAAATAAATCATGAATGAGACATCTTTTTTTTATTGCTTATAAGTTTAGGTGTTGATTTTGCTTTGTTTCTTGGATAATATGTAATTATAGAAACATACTCCCATGTTGGTACACAACTGGTACTATTTTTCTGGCAGGAAGGCTATTTGATAAGGAGTTAAAAACAAAACGAGAATCAACATTTCAACATTGAATGCAGTCAGCATTGATTTTTGCAATATGTATCTAGATTAAATGCAGAAACATTGTATTTTGGTTTAATTTTTCATTGACCTCAGGATCAGTTTTTAAACAACTTTTTCTTCAAGTGTTCTTCATCGATTATAGAGGGAAGGGGGGGGGGTTGAAAATTGACCTAGGGACCAGGGAGCTTTTAGATAGTCATATATTTGACTTGTGTTCGTTTTGATAGAAACAAGAAAAATCTGTTGCCTATACAACAGATTTTGCCTATCTGATGCTGCAAATAGTCATCCAATGGGAGCTATAAGAGCATTGAGCCATACCAATTTACAAAAAGCGAATGCCTTTTTTCGCTCTCATCAGTCATTTGTAGTTTACTTTATTTTCTACTCACATGCATGATACATGGTGTTCATACTAACCAGACTTCTGTGTTCACACTTTGACCTTTCAGCCACGAGTAACGATTCCGACTGCGCGATCTGCATGGACCGAAAACGCGACTGCCTTCTCTGCCCGTGCCACCATCTCGTCACGTGCCACGAATGTGCAAAGTCGCTGGTCAATCGTCAGGACAGCTGCCCGATATGCCGGAAGGAGATTTCGGAGATCATTCGCGTGTACACGGCTTGATGCAACGTGGCATGAGATTTGTTGTCAAACAGGGTACCCCATTGCCAAGGATGGTGGCTACAAAAGTACTTGCTGCTGATTGAAAGAAGGGAGCAAGTATCGTAAGGTGGCAAGTACTTGCAATCTACAGTCAAACCTGCTTTAGTGACCACTTGTCTACAAAGGCCACATTTGTTGTTACCCTTGAAAATGGTTTCTCATTGAATCATGTACTAAAGGAACCTGTCTACAAAGGCCACTTTTTGTGCTTTCCTTGGGCGGTCGCTATAGACAGGTTTGACTATGAATTTTTTTCGTAGTATTTTCACCGACCAAAAGTTTTTACCTAGGTTTAATTTATCCAGAATTTTAAGAGCATTGTTCCACAGACTTATCATGTAGATGTAAATACCCAGAAGTTTTAATAGAAAATGTAGAAACAGTAACTTTAAATGCAGGTATGGTAATACATCTTGAATATTATAATGTTTTGTGCAATAATGTGTAGATATATATTTAATGTAAGGTGTATTTTTAGGAGTAGTGAAAGATGACTACTTTTTTAAGTGGGTGGCCTTCTCCAAAAAAAAAGTGTTCCTTCTTTACTCAATGAAGAACTCAAGACAAAACCTTTTTATGCCTCCGCTACAAAGTAGCCAGAGGCATTCATGTTTTTGGGTTGTCCGTCGGTCCGTCTGTACGTATGTATGTACATACATCCGTCCATCCCGTTCTCGTGATCGCGTTATCTCAAGAATCAATTGATGGATTCTCGCCAAACTTTGGTCATGTATGTATCTTGCAGAGCCAATGAACTGATTAGATTTTGGGGTCACAAGATCCAAGGTCAAAGGTCACAGGGCTCATTAAGTATTCAAAAATAGCTTGTGATCGCTTCATCTCAAGAACCCATTGATGAATTCCTGCCAAACTTGGGTCATGTATGTATCTTGCAGAGCCAATGAACTGATTAGATTGTGGCATAACAAGGTCAAATGTGAAAGGTCACAGGGCTCATTATGTATGTACAAATAGCTTGCTTATGTTTTGGTTTGTGAAATTGCTCCATGGCGGAGGCATCATTTTCAACTGTGGGTAGTCGAAGGTCCATCTAGTTATTTTTAAATGTATCAATTTATGACTTATGACAATGGAAGGCTGCTTTCAGAGATTTCTGTGTTTGTAGGTGATTTTGTTTCTGTTTTTTGACATTGCATGCTTTGCCCATATTGATATCTACAAGTATTGGCTGACCAAATGATATGTCTGTTACAATTGTTACTAGAAGAAAAATATTGCAAATAAAGATAAGAATTGTGAAGTTAGGCTTGTACATGATGTCTTTATCTTCTCTCTTGGCATAGCAGTTTCAATGTTACATTCAAGTACCCATTTACTACACATGGGTTCAGAGTGGCAAATGGACATTTATGCCTTGTCACAGGGCATTAGTGCAGGGATAGAGCAACGTCGATCTGGCGCTGCTCAGTGGCTGCCGGGCTCACGATCAATTGGGCAAAAAGAATTTACATTTTCGGTTAAACTTAATAAAATTTGGAGTGGACTTTAAAAGATTATTATTATTATTATTATTAGTATTATTATTATTATTATTATTATCATTATTATACAATATATTATACATTATACATTATACATTATACAATACAATATATATACATGAACATCAAACATCCTTTCAGAAATTTTTGAATTATTTAATTGAAAATTACAATAGATTACTTATTTTATCTTAATATATGTTGAAATATATGTTGAAATATATCCAGAATGTGATTTAGTCTTTGTATTTTGCCAGAAATTTCTGAATTATTTTATCAAGAATGAGGGCAAAAAACCAATAGTTTACTTATTTCATCATCATAAAATGTTAAAATATATGCAGAATGTAATTAAGTCTTTGTGCAAAAATGCTTTATTCTCTACTTAAACGTTTGTGTCTCTTTGCATAATTTATTACCACGAGTGATTTATGTCTGTTTGTACATCATTGTGTGTGTCTCAATATTCAGCTTTGAGTTTTTCAACAAGGACAATCATAGAGCTTTGATAGCTCTAGTTTATACTTTTTCTTTTTACTATATTTATAATTGTTTGTACATGTAAGTATTTATGCTTGTTTCCTGTAAATAGTATATACCTGTGCATTACTAAAATCAAGTAGCAACATCGGATCAGAATTTTAGTGACTTGTAATTCTCATTTTATGAGAAAAACAGAAAAATTGGCACCAGTTTTATACTTTTGACTATCCTCAATATATGCAAATTGAATAATACTTGAAAAACATTTATACAATCTACAAAACATTTAGTGAATGTTATTTAGTTCAGCTATAATTACCTGGTACATTACATATCCTGTGTGAAAAATTCTACTTCTTTGATGGCCTTGTGAAAGATTATTTGTAAGCTAAAGTTGAGTTCTGGTATTTATGGAATATATATTTGAAGATTCAGGAAGAGTGGCTCAAATTGACTCTGATTTGTTTCTCATCCAGTATATACATGTCAGTCGTTTGGACCATGTAGCAGAATGTAACCAAACTAATGAAACCTTACTAAAAAATTCCATTCAATGCATGTAACAACTCACTTTTACTCCTTTGGAAACAAAATATGGGTGCGGTAGAAACTCATACCTTGATTGTTTTTCATGTATTACTGAGCTTTTATGCATTTTTTTTTTACCAGAATCATTCAGCTGTGTTCTATTATTATTTGTAGACTTGTGTGATTTTGTTATGCCATTACTAGAACTGAAGATTACCTTATTATTTTGAAATCATTTTATCATTTATTATTTTCTTCCATTTTTCTACTCATCCTAAAAAAGAGACTTTTACTTGTCCTGGGGGTTGTTTCACAAAGATCCTTAGTTGAACTAATCTCTAAGTTGGACTTAACAATTATGGAAAGCCGTCATAATCTTTGAAAATATTTTTGTAAAAGTTATTTTAAAGGGCATAAAATGTTGATGCACATCATTCATATTTCCATTATCATGGGAGATTTCAAGTTCTTGATGTGGAATTAATGAAAAGTCTAAAATACTTAAATTTTCGCTTTTGAATATATTTCATTATAAGGCTGCAAATGGCTCTCCATAATATTTAAGTCCAACTTAGAGATGAGTTCGACTTAGAATCTTTGTGAAACAACCCCCTGATATCCTCAGAAATGCTTGTATATAAAATATATGAATATCTATTTTCCTTTTTCTGTATTGACTGATGTAATAATTGATAAAGGTTTCACTATCAAAATATGATTATCTGATGTGATGTGTGTTTTGTTTCTTTGTTTGTTTTAGAGGGTAATGAAGGCCTGACAGGGAGTTTAAAGGGACAGATCTTGTTTATCATATGTAAATCAATTGTTTATAAAGCTGAAATCCAACTTCAAATATTTTAAGGCTGCAGTACATGACCTGACCATGATTACACTTTTAAATATATATATATTTCAGTATGATTTCATGCCCTCCAGCTCAAGTCATGGTGAACAGGAATAGAAATATCCAGGAAACATCAGTAAACTGGAATAGATCGGTAAACTGGAATAGATCGGTAAACTGGAATAGATCAGTAAACTGGAATGAAGGGAGAAGAAGAGAGAGATAGGGGAGAAAGAAAGAGAAGGGGGATAGGAAAGAGATAGATGGAGAGAGAAGGGATGAGACTCGGCTATTGAGAGGAAGTGAGATAAGACAGAGTAAGAGAGAGAGAGAGAGGGGGGGGGGGTAGTGAAACAAAATACTGGAGAGAGAGGAGGAGACAAATTTATTGAGAGGAAGAAGACTTAACTATGTGTATGAGAGAGAGAGAGAGAAAAATTCCTATCTCTCTACTGTTTTTTTTAATTATATAATTTATAGCAATTTTGTGTTACAGTTACTAAAAAGGCCGACCCCTCTTGCACAATTTGCATATTCATTGCTTCCTCATCTGCAAAGCTTGTAATGTAGATGATTGGTTAAATTACGAATACATGCTAGTGGTAAGGTATTGTTATTCTGACCAAAACATGCAAATATCTGTTCGTCTATATGCAACCGTTTTGGAGGGGTGAGCTTTTGTAGTAACTTTACACACAATATACAACAAAATATTATATTAAATTAGGTTTACCATAACATTATCACACCCCAAAATGCACAGATGAGTGACTCTCTCCGGCTCTCTCCGGCTCTCTCTGGCTCTCTCCGGCTCTCTCCGGCTCTCTCTGGCTCTCTCTGGCTCTCTCCGGCACTCGGCAGAAGAGAAGAATGTGAAGTGCCCCTATCCTATAGAGTTTCCATCTATGCAAAATACATGTTTATGAACAAAAGAAAATGTCTTTCGAGTAAGAGATCTACTAGCTATGAAGGTCGAATTCAATGATCACATATCAAATCAAACAGGTTTGACCAATATCTATACTTGAACAAGAAGTCTCCTCAAAGAGTTTTCTATCTTCAATCATCATGATTAACTTTCTGGAACTTTGTAATAACTTTCTAAAACCAACTTCCAAAATTCTTACAAAATATCTGAGAAAATATTAACTACCGTATATGGGTAATTGCTGTAGACCAACCCTCCCACCGGTTTACAATTTTTTGGTTATATATAGTTTACATATCATTTAAGTTTCACAGTTACTACATATTCCCACCTCTTCTAATGGGCATGCACATTTATTCACAGATATTTGCATGTACCTCTAGCCATGTCCAATCATAAGTAAGAAAGAATAATGATGATGGATATACTGAACAGCAACGACCAATGATAGACGATATTTAAATACATTCTGATGAATATGCCAGCATTTACAAACCAGGGTTAGAGGTTTCACTAACTGTGCAATAAAATGATATCCTATAATACTAATCTAATCAAAATAGCCAGTTGGTGGGTGGGATGGCTTTACAGAGATTTGAGAAGGTTGAAGTTCTTTTAGAAAGTTAGTTATGATCTTTGAGGTTGACTTTTCTTTTGAAAGTGCAACTCCTTGAAAAACTTTCTTTGATAATACTTGATGTGCAACAAAACTCTTTAGATTTCATCATTGCGTCATTAGTGATCAATTTCTTTCCATTATGGTAAAACACCGATAACTCCATTGTCATTCATAGTAGATTTTACATAAACGCAAGGCGGTGATACAAGTCTGCCTTCGAATGCGGTACTTCTCCGGGCAAGGGTACTTTTATTACTCATTAACTGCGGATAGTCAAAAGACATTGATCCTAGACATAGTGCCGTAAATCATTCATGCCTTTTTAATTTCGCAGATAAACAACCACAGAAAATGTTTGACTATACAGTATTTAGTTGTATACTTTGTGTATAGTTAGTAAAAAAAAAATCACCCCTCAGAAACGTTTGCACATACGTCAGCAGATGTTTGAATATTTTAATTAAAATAACAAACAAATAGGTCACAAGTTTTGTTATTCTAATGAAAATATGCAAATATCAGAGGGGTGATATCTTTTAGTAACTGTAACAAAAAAATGCTATCAATACTATATTACTGTCAAACAAATCTAGCGGGTGGGAGGAATGGCAACTACTAGAATTTTGAAGGTTGTTATTATTTTAGAAAGTTAGTTATTATGATCATTGAGGATACTTTTCTTTTGAAACTGCAACTCCTTGCAAAACTTTTTTTGATAATAGATGATGTGCAACAAAACTCTTTAG